ACGTTATCAAAATGTGATTCGTTCCAAGCTGCCTCGAGCACATCTCTTATGGCTAGACAAGTGCACAGAAGATTACCAGAGTTTATGTGTCCAGAGAAATTGCTCTACGATCTTGCGTCTCAGTAGGAACGCGAGAGAGTTGCATTCGTTCTTGCATTCAAACAACACATCTTCCTTTGCAGTGAGACTAGAGATGTCAAATTTGATCACTAGATGTTTCGCCGAGTTTGGGTATGCTATTTCTGCGATATATGCCCGTTGCGCTCCTAGTGAATAGATGTTGGCAAGAACAGGGTGGCACCGATGGCGATTCGGTCTCCCATGGAGTCAAGCAGCTTCCGACATTACCCCATCGAACCACACCCAAAAGTGATGGCATGGTACGGATACGGATAATTCCTGTTCATGAGTTAGTTTCCAAACTCACACCAAACCATCAACCACAGAGATAAGACACGTATGAAGCTCCTGTTCCCTCTCACTTCATTCATCTCGTCTTTCCAAGATCTGAAACAACATCATAAACACATAATCGTCTACTGCGAGCCCAAACACGAAAATCTCACCATAATGCACCTCCTCACCATCGCCTTCCTCACCAACATCATCGCTCTCGCCACTGCGACACCTACCCCAGCTCCAGAACTCACTGGTATGACTACAACCACCTCAACAACCTCGACACGCACAACACCCTCCATACAACCATACGTACCCGAGGAATCTCCCAGCTGCAAGGGTAACATTTGTTGTGGCAAGGGCGGACGATGTTGGAGAATCAGTCCTACCGATTTGCCTGCGAAGCCACCTGGCGTGAGAGTCTAGGATATGTGTGACATATGAGCACATGAAAAGCATGGCGTTCTCAAATGGTTGTCCACGAGGAGAAGACACAGCAATTCGCCTTGCAACAGCGGAATGGAGTTGTATGGTTAAGCTATGGTTACTGCTACGATTATGGAAGCTACTTACGCATATCCACCTTGTTTCTTCTTCCTCTTTTGAGCAAACCTGTTGTTCTGTAGCCACAGAAATGCACAATCTTCTCTAGGATGGGGTGCTGTCCACAGAGACCCTCAAACTCCGAATCCTCTGTTCTAAGTGCACCATCGGCAAAACTGAACCAAGCATCCCGGGCAGCGGAGTAGATAGTTGGGCATGAGATCACCACAGTTGTCTCAGATGTCCTCGGTCACGTACTGAACAAGACTCGTAGGGTTATCGTTGGCGACTTCGAGATGAGCGTGAGCTTCGTCGGGCGTGATGGCGGCCGGAGGATCGTCTGTAATGGAGGGAGCTATAGTAGTGTCGTGTGCCGGATCTGCGGTGTCCTCCGATGGCTTCGCGACATCGGTCGCTTGTTCTTTCGAAGGTAGTTCATCCGCTGTGTCAAGATGGCTCGCAGAATATTTCACACCAGCTGACGATGAAGTAGCGTTGGGGATAAGAAACCAGGGTGAAGACTCGCCAATAGGCTGATCTAGCGGTTGGAGCGGTTCAGAAACGGGCTCAACCTCAGGTTCGACAAGAGCATCGTTAGAGGCTGGGCGTCCACCGAAGACAAGCTGGTCACCCTCCTATGACTCAGGCAATGGTTCGTCCGGATTGAGTTCTTGGAACAGTTGACGTGCCTCTTGGTGATGATCTTGCAGATTAGCTCCCTGTTGTTCTTCTTCCTGAGCAGCAGCCTGAGCAGAGCGCCTGTCGTCAATCTCCTGATCGGCAGCGCGCAGTTCTTCTCGACAAAGACGCAAGATTTGTCGGCATCAGACTCGATGCCATTGTCGGCGGACGTGGTTGATGCGGTCCGGATGGAAGAAAGATCTTCTATCTGCAAGCGTAGGATTAATTTGCGCGTCTCGTTGTCGTCCAGTTTGGTGATGGACGAAAGAGGTACGGATGTAGATGGATGTAATGACGAGCGAGATTGATGGAAAAACAGAAAGTGACAGGACGGTTTAGAAAGCGCAGTTGCCTTCCGAAAGAAGAAACTGCGATGGGTACCTCAAACATAACTTCCTCCTCGCAGATGTCTCCTAATATTGAGACCATTGTGTATTTCTATAACTACGCCACGATTCTCCATGAACCATGGAGAGAACGCTCTGCTGTTGTCAAGCTTCTCCTAGAAGGCCAAAGTGTTTGTGCAACAAATTGGCCGATACCCCATCACGCTTCTACAAAGCACCTCACTCTTGGACACGGATGGACTCGTGATTCTGAGATTTAATTTCTTCTTGAAAGATACAGGAAGTGGGGATTAGGTTATGTTGTGTTCCAATCGCTTGCTCTTTGATATGCCAATAGGGACTGGACTTCATCATTCCGAGCATTCAATTCCCGATGGTACATTCTCAGCTGTGCCTTCTGTCTTTCTTCGTCCTCCCTTCTTTTGTTCAGAGACTCCTGTTGCCTAATTCCTGCTCCCATCAAGTTAACATCACCGAGCTATCAAAGCGTGTGTCTTTTGCAGGGGTATTGTGCTCTGCAGCTCTTTTGGTGTAAGCTGTGATTTGCGGGCGATGGAGAAAGTGGTGGATGGTTGTGATGTGGATGGAGTGGGAGCAGCAAGTGGGTGGAAAGCTGGTCTCGTCGTGTCTGGCCATGCTAAACATGGTGCGAATACAGTCTGCACAATAGACATGACCGCACTTGGGAAGCTGTACAGTGATGCGACTCTTGATTGTCTCTAAGCACGAGTCACAGCGGACAACTTTGTTGTGCTGCGTCAATGTTAGTGGCCAGATTGACAGTATGGTCATCGAGAGGCAGTCGGTCAGGAGAAGCATGTTTACCTGGTGAATGTGCTGGCTCTGACCTGTACCGAGGTCGACGTCCTTACGATCATCCCAAGAGGAGGCCATGTTGTTGGGCCGCGATGGTCATGAGGTTAAGAGTGGATATGGGAAAAGCGTTGGAGTTCAAGAGCGAAGCTGTGAAAGCGCGTCAAGTGATCGATCAGGGCGGAAAATCAAGTGAGGGTTGTCGCGGAAACTCCTATTCCGGAACACGTATGTCGTCGATCTCTATCCGACTCTGATATCATGCGAAGGGTCGTGATACATGTCGGCAACTCACTTGAACCCATGTCCTCCAACTTACTCGTCAAGTTGCAAAGAGTGTTACCTCCCTCGGCATCTGCCTCTCCCTCGCCTTCCGAACCCATCTTCAAGGAGTCAAACCATGATCCAGCTCTCGGGATAATCCATCACTGTCAGTCATCGCGTTTGAGTCCGATTCTTGAAGCTCTACTCACCGTCGGGTTGACATCAGACCTCGGTGTTCAGGTCTCATGGTCGCAAGGAAGGTCAAAGTATGTCTACAAGTCCTCGACAAACCCCGAGGAAATGGCATTGGAGAGCTTGACAACACCGTTGCGCTGACATGAAGTCAGGCCGGATTACAGCAGTTCGCTCTCGAGGGCGAAGATCAGTTGGACTCGATCTCCGGCTACCCAGCCTTGCCTTTCTGCAGCATTCGAACCAACACTAATTGTAGTTCCATTGATGGTAGTTTCTTGGGAGCTGGTTAAAGATGCAGCGGACGCGGAGATAGACACCTCATAAAGCAATGAGAGACGCACTCATCTTATCATAGACCAGGCCCATTAGACTAGGCCCATCAGAAACCTGCTGCCAATGATCTTGGTGCCCCTTTACAATCCATCTTTCTGCACTACAGTGTAGTGATGATCTTGATCTGAGCCTGGAGGGAACCTCTTGTCATAGCGCTTGGAGAGTCCCACGTTCAGGCAAAGCGTAATGTATGCATCGTCTGTACTACTGTTTCCGGAAGGAAAACCATTACCTCGCTTCTCTTAGTCTGCTGAGCTTCGCGGGCGACCTTTGGGGGTGGGCGGTGTTAAAGAATAAGTCCGACTGATATGCCTTTGACACCGCCAGCTACTTCGAGGCTCTAGATAGGAAGGAATGGTGAGAGTCAATGATAAAGAAGAACTGACGACAGTATTTCAAAACGATTGAGAAAGATGGTGAAGAAGTTATAATGGAATGAGGGCGATGGTGACGAGTAGATTAGCGTCATAGCGACGAGATGGAGGATTCTGATTCGTGGGATGTCTTTTGTATGTCACTGCTGAGCTTCCCAACTATCTCTGACACTTCATGTCTCGATGTAGACTACGCCGCATCGGCAACCCGGCGAAGCAAAATGTCTAGCCAGGTCTTCACAGAAGAGTTGCAGCTTCTAGTCGCTTACTCTTGCTCTTCTCTGGAAGGAAAGACGGTAGCCGTAGCTGCAGTAGCTCCAATATCAAGAATCGAGGCAGCAGTAACCATCTCATTGCACTTTGGTAGCCATTCGGCGATACACCACCACTCCATCTCTCTTCTCGTAGGTTTCTCCTTCTCGGTATCTGTGTCGTTGAAATTTCTAGCAACGAGATTGAGGGTTGGAGGACAGATGTAGTTGTGGCCATCTTTGACACATCCTTCCAGTTCCATGCATTTTTTGGTTCTGTGGCAGGTCAGGAAGCTGCAACAGGGGTCGCGTTTGATGAACCAAGTTGAGGGTCTGGCCCAGTTGGGTGAGACGTGCTTGGTGACGGTGTTGTTGAGAAGGGCGTCGATGGCCTTCTCAGGAAAGTCGAAGGGAGCGGCGTTGGCAGGTAATGGGGTACCCATGCCGAGGAGGCCGAGAACAGTGGTGGATATCTTCATCGTTGATATCGAAAGTACTCTTGTCATTGGAAGTAAGTTTGCGGGCCGTTTGGAGACTCTTTGGGTTGATGGAGAAGAGATGGAACTGCGACCTAGATGGATCTGTGCTCTTCTTGAGCGAGAGAGTGGGAGTCGATGACGGTAATTACAGATAACGTGCTCAAAGTATCGGCTGCGTAGTCAAAGTAGTAGCTGGTTGGTTGCAACGCCTGCGAGGCAGAATTTGAGCAAGATAACAAGGATTATTGACATTTCGAAGTCCAGGTGCACTGTCCTTTCCAGATAGAGTGTACAATTCGTATTATCGTATCAGCAAAAAGCTCACATCATCTGCAAGACCATGCCATCCTTCAAAGCCTTGAGTTGTTCATCCGAAAGGGGATCTTTCTTGTCAAAGGCGTGCTTTTTNNTTCTCTCTGCGCGAGACCATTTTGTGATCTGGAAGGCCTGTCCACCAATCTTGCCGCCTTTTCCGTACGACTTGGTGTACTNTCTGGAACTACGAGATTGTTAGCATTAAGGTCATTCGACCAAGAGAAGACTTGTACTGACCTTTGTCTTCCAACCAAAACGATCTGCCTTCTTAGGTGGCAATGTGACTTTACCCTCAATCTGCGAGTTCCACTCATCGACCTTGTCGTCAACATCTGAGACACCTTTGATGGGGATGCCGGCCTCCTTTGCAAGAGCAAGGAGATAGCGGAACCAGAGAAGGTTGAAGCCAGCATAATCACCAAGGTCAGAGTCAACACCCTTGCCCTTACTATCATCAAGAGGGTCCTCAACATCTCCACCCAAGTCATCAGCTGCTCTTGCCCAGAGTGATATCACCAAAGAGAGATCCTTGTACTTTGAGTCTGGCTTGAGTACGCCTTCTTGATCGATGCGGTTCAGCGCGGTGAGGAACATGAACCCAAGCAGGCTGTAAGTCAACCACGAGCGTTCACCGTCGTCGATCATGTGCCAAGGAGCATGAGGCTCTTCTACTATCCACCAGACCATTGACTCCATGATAGTCCAGAGTTCTTCGGTCTTGCCATCTTTGCTGTTCAAGATCTTGTTAAACTCAGCCATATTGTTCTCAACAACTTCCTGATAGCCGTAGCCAGCAAAGTCATTGTAAACGTACATGCCGAACATGTCAGGATCACGATGGGGGATCTCGATGGTCTCCGCATCCATCTTCCTCGCAAAGGCCTTTCGCATCATGGACCAGCCATCAGTGCGGCTCTTGTCGAAGCAGGCGCATTTCCTCTCATTGTGTTGGTTGGCCCAGAGCTCGCTCGCTTTTTCTTCGTCAAAGTCTTCGTCACTTCCGTGCTCTTTCTTGTAGCGAGCTTCGAACTCGAAACGAGGGGCGCAATTCATGATGTAGGTGTGAGGGTCTTGTTTGATCTTCTCTTCGGTCATCTCGTGGTCGTCGTGATCATCATGAGAGTCGTCATTGGAAGGAGGTTGCGAGGTCGAGTCGTTCTGTGGGACATTTGGTTCTTCTTGAGCTTCATTCGAGGCAGCTCCTGCAGCAGTCGAGTCGTTGGTCTTCGAGCTCTTGGCTTGGGAGGTAGAAGCTTCGGGGTCAGCAGCTCTTTTCTTTGACCCTTTTGGAGGCATGATTGATGGTGAGATTGTGATTATGTGATCAAAAATCTTTCAACTGAGATGGAGGAAAAGATCAATCTGAAGCTGCAGAGCTCCATCGGTTGTGCCGCGTTCTTGTACGTGCACACGCGTAGATTGTGTCACTGACGTAGCTGTGTCTGCCATCTGGTACCTTGTCTATTATACGCAAACCTTATCCTCTTGCGATTGTGCAAACTCGAGAAGCTGAGCATGCATCACGTCCTGTGACTTATTGGTCAGATATGATCAGTCAGCTGTAATTGACAGGGTGAGTGATAAAAAGATGGTTGCTATGGAGGACAGGTCGACAGCAGCTCCCACCGTTGACGGATGGCTGTAGCTTCCCCCAGATCCTTTTTCGCGGCGCGTCTCACCAAAGAGCATCAATTTAGCCGCCATGACTTTGCATCCTCATTGACTACTTTGCGTGCAAGAAGTCAAGACTGGTTGGTGATTGGAGGGTGCTCCCTGTATGCACGACCTATATATCACCTCGTACTCGTTTCAGCCTTGTTCAGACGCAAATATGGATCCGTTTCGGGTTGCTCCTTGATGTCATGGCCACCGCGGAGTGCGACATTGATTCGTCTGGGGTAAGTGCCAGCCACCAACACCCGTTGCTGCTGTTCGCATCTCTTTCCTCCTTCTTTTCTGTTTTCCCTTCTTCTCGTAAACAATCCCTCTTCCACTTTAGTCTTCTTCCTTCCCGTCAATCACACAATGCCTCCGAAAAGGGAAAAGCTGCGCCCAAAGGCAAGGCTAAGAAGGAGCCTCAAGCTGAACTTGCTATCAATGGCGATGCCGAGAAGGTTGAAGAGACGGCAGCCCCTGCTGAGGAAGCACCTGCTGCTGAAGAACCCAAGGCAGAGGAGCCCACCGTCGAAGAAACCAAGACGGAGGAGCCAACTACTGAACCTGCGACCACAACCGAGGAAACAAAGGTTGACGAGCCCACTGCTGACACGCCCTCGGAAGCTCAGCCTGCAGTTGACGCTGAACCAACCACTGCTCACAAAAAACCCAAGTCAAAGAAGCGCAAGGGAGCTGCCGAGCCCGCTACCGAGCCAGCTGCTTCTGAAGCCAAGTCAGAGGAGAAGAAGGCGCCTAAGAAGCGCAAGGTCGATATTCCAGTGGCCAGACCAGGCGAGCGCAAATCCGGTCGTGGCGCTCAGAAGGCTGCCCCCACCACCGAGCAACTTCTCAACTACCTGCTCTCTCCTGCCTCGACCGAACTCTGCCGCCCGGACGACGAGTCCGCAGAAGTTGAGTCCAAGGGCGCAGACTTCAAGACCTACTCCTCCTCAGCTTTGACCGCATTTGAAGAGCTCGTCTGCGCAGTCATCCTCAGCCGCCCCATCAGCCACAAACTCGGCCTTCGCACTATCCGCACAATCCTCAATGCTCCTTACTCCTTCACCACCCCCTCAGCAATCATCTCCGCCGGCAAGGAAAAACGTCACCAAGCTCTCGACGATGCAAAAACCCAACACAAAGACAAGACCGCCGAGCAAATTGGTCTCATCGCCGACGTCGTTTCTCACAAGTTCTCCAAAAACGACTCCGACACGTCTCTCGACAAGCTGCGCGAGCAAGCCTCCAAGGGCTGGGACATGGAGCGCGATTTGCTGCAGGAAAACATCAAGGGCGTGGGAAAGATGGGCTTGGACATCTTTTTCCGCCGTGTGCAGTGGTTGTGGCCTGAGGCTTACCCCTTCGTGGACGAGAAATCATCGCGCGGCATTGAGAAGTTGGGGCTTCCCAAGCATCCCGATGAGCTGGCCAAGGTGCTGGATAGATATTGGGCTAAGCTGGACACTAGCAACCTGGCAAAGGGTGACAAAGACACGCAGAAGAGGAGAGCGTTTGTGGTGATTTGTGAGAGGGCTACTAGTGCTGACCTTGAGGGCAAGTTTGATGCCATTCTTGAGGCCGCTGCTTCGTCGTAGATGGAGCTCGGGGACTCTGGTGAGGCTGTCACATTGAGAAGATGCGATGCTGGCACGACAATATGTTGCGATGCGGGAACGATGAGATGTTGAGATGCTGAGACGTATATATTCCTATATATTAGTTCAGTCGCTGTGTGAGGCCGAGAGGTCCACACCAGCGCAAGAATATAAAGAATCATGACCCGCTCCTTGAAAATCCTCCATCTCAACGTCTCGTCAGGGTTTGTAAAAAAATCGCCCTAGCATTTGCATCGGCAGAGCAAGGTCTTCCGACCGTGCAATTAGTGCTTTGATGCTTTTACCCTGCCTCACCTGCCTCGAGAATCAAGAATCTGCAACTAGCTTCAAAATTCACCTGCCTAGAGAACAACAATTCTCATCATCGCTAGCCCTGAAAACGACTCTCGCAACAAAAAAAAAAACCACATCAAAAAAAAAGCAAAATCTGAGATGTGGAAAAATGAACTAGGTATTGGGGAAAGAAAACCCCTCAACATACACGCATCTAGGCAAAACATCGCCAAATCCACAAAATCCCACGATCAAGGAGACTGGTTTACACACTCATCCGTGAAAAGCGAATTTCCTGCTTCACAATACGGGCCCATGATTGTTTTTTTTTCTTACCATCTTCTCTCCAAAGATCAATGTGCTTCGTACTGCGTCCTAGACTTTCCATCGGAACAGTTGTAACGGCATCTGTGGCTTTGTGTAGGAAGAAGCGAGATAGATGGTTTAGAGGTGCAGATGCTTGTTATGGCTTTTGGGGGCTATGCTTCCGCTTTCTCTGATCCCCCTTCTCAGCACGTCTTGACTCATTCTGGATTTCATCTAGCCATGCACAACATTGCGAGAGATGAATGGATCGATTGAATGATTCGTCAAAAAAGAATGATAAAAAATAGAGATGCAGACGTGATTAAGAAGCAGAGATGCTAAAAGTCTATAGAGTACACCCCGTCTAGTAAATCAGAAATGGTCCTTTCGAAAACAAACCAGCTTTCCCAATCTGGCCCTTGAAACCCCTTCCCCCTACCACGTAAACAACATCAAACTGGGATTCAACGCAATCGGCAACAAGAAATGACTAACCACCACAGTCGCAAGCGGATAAATCGCAAAAAACTGATCGATCCTCCAGTTGTAGGGAACCACACAAGCAAGCACCACCATGGCAATCGCCGCAGTGATGCAAAACAAAAACGTAAAGCCAAACTTTTTGATGACTTTGGGCACTTCGTTGAAGAAGGTGGTGTTTTCGGCTTCTTTGGACGTGGCGCCCCAATTCATGTCGATGCCCACGAGATGGGAAAGCAAAGCTTGCGAGACGTGGAGGGACAGACCGCCGAGGAAGATTGTCATGAGAGGGATCCACATGAAGTTTGTGAGCAGAGAGCGGAGGAGGGATTGTTCGCCGATGCGGTAGCGGAGGACTGCGAGAGCGACATTTCCAAGTCCGGTAAAGACCACAATGATAGAAAGATAGACTTGGAAGGAGTTGCGATAGTACTTGTCGAGCACAGTATTGTACCAGCCGACGATGAAATAGTTGAGCAGGGTAAGGAGCCATGCACAGCCGATGGCATAGTAGGTCCCGATGTACGACAAGATGGTAAGCTTCGATGGTAGCGGCATCCCCGAGCAGATGAAATCGCGGAACAGTTTCGTAAAGGGCCCTCTGAATATCCAATAACGTAGTGGATGGAACAATAGCTCGCTGCAGCCAAAAGCATACTTTTCCCAGCGAGCCAGCTCGTCGTACACAGTGAGTGAAACACCTTCTTTGAACCCGTCGCCCGTATATGCGCCAAATCGCACAAGATAACCCTCGGACTGCAAGCGAAGAGCCATGTCAAAGTCTTCCGATACAGTGGACTCGGACCAGTATTTCTCACGATCATCGTCTGCACAGTCGTATGCAATATCTTGTACCGCAGATCAGCGGAGAATGGCATTGTGTCCAACGAATGGCGCAACGTCGCCGTTTGCGATTGCGTATTTGATTTGTGTATACACCATGTTCGTGAAGAACGTAATGCCATTCTCGAAGAAGTTATCCGTAACATTCATGACTCCGGAAGAATATTGGATGATGGCCACTTGTGGTGAGTGCGTCATCTCGCTGACCGCATCGAGCAGGCAATCAGTCGGTACTCTCGTGTCGGAATCGATGAGAAGAATAAAGTCGCCCATGCGAACATTGCCATCGGCCCAGGTACGGTTCTCGTCTTCTTCAACGATTTCCTCAAGCGCTTGAGCGTACAGACCAGCTTCATCCTGTTGAGTCCAGTATTCTGGTCTAGGGCTTGGGTCAATCATCTTTTCCTCGATGCGGTTGCTGACCCACAGAGCATAATTCATGTTCGACGCCTTCTTGAATTTACCGCGACGGATGAACGGAACCTCATTGTGCTCTCCTTTTGGATCATGACGAGGTCGAGCCACCCATCCGATACTATGTTCTTCGTAGAAGTCCATGCGAGCTTGGGATTCTTCACGGGACAGCAACTGCATGCCATCGTCGTTGATGAAGATATCTGCAGTGCCACCTTGCATCTCATACGTCGAGATGGCAGCTTTGATCGAAAACACTGTTGGAGCGATGACAGACTGCAAGCCTTCTTTGTAGACCGGGCATTGGATGGTGACGTGAGGCAATGAAGAGCCAGTTGGCAGTCGCTTTGGTGGTAGCCCAGAATAGTACTTGGTGTTACTCTGCACCTGACTAATTGGGCCGAAGATCTGGAATATGTTGCCAACAAGAGCCTGGAAGAAGAAAAACGAGACCCATATGGTGACTGGGGCAACCGCGATCAATGCCAAACGGATGTAGCTTCTATCCAAAGCAATCTCCTGAACGATTTTTCTGTAGCCGGCGCCGAGGGTAATGATGATCAGACAGAGGGTGATCGCGGTCGTGATCGAGTGGAGTAGCACTATGCGACGGGGTTTCTCTGTCAGGTCCTCTTCGCTTGCAGTGATGTCCATTTCGTGGACAGACACCCTATCGTTCTTCTCCTTCTCCGAGTAGCCCTCTTCGGCTTGAATGGACCAGACCAATTGCATGAGGCCTCGTTCAATCTTTGCCACGCGATCAATGAGGCTCTCTGCCTTGTCATCTCACACTACCAATATGCCTCTGTCGGCAATAAAAGCAGCAAATTGATGCTTTGCGCAGCGACTCAGATACGAGACATCAGGAAGAACCTGGATACGAAGATCGTCGCCGATGGGAATAGAGCTCTGATCGCTGTCTTGAACGAGAATCTTGATTACGCGTGTGTTTACCGTCATGGCGCTNNCTGAGAATCGCTTAGTCTCGTGTACAGATGAGACGGACTGTTGAAAACTCACCTTGACGTTCAAGGCCTGAATCGCTTCAAAGATACCATCAGGTCTTCGCAAGTCTGGAGGGCAACACACGTACTGGTCGCGTCCTGCCTTGATGACCACACCCTCTTCTTCGCCTCCAGTGAACCAAAGATTCTGTGCCTGCTGCGACCAGATGTGATTGACCATGAGTTCGCATTTGGCGTTGTTAAGTCGATGCATGGCGATAGCTTTTGAATCTCAAGATTGGTGAGAAAAAGGTGTGGCACATCCTGATGGGGTGAATATCGCTGGAGTCATTAGACCGCTCGTTGGTTGCGAGAGTTCCGATGATGGAACAGGTTTACCGCTTGGCTTGCGGAAATATGATTTAAGACCCATGATGAGGGGTAGGTAACGAAGCAAAGAATGGTAGGTCTCATGCGAGGACACTCAGTTCCAGGCTTTGTATCCGAAGAAAGCTTTGAATATATCAGAGTATAGAAATGAAGGGTTGGAAGCAGCAAATTGAGTATCTCAAGTATGGTTACTTTTTCCAGCGGATGGACTGGTTTGCAGGGTCTTATACCAGAGACGTGCTTTTAGAGAGCACACTGTACCGACTGTTGGGGAATCCAGTCACACCATCTGGGAGCGATCGCTCAAGCTCAGCTTGTGACTTTCAGTGTGGCTATCGCATCGACGGGAACTTTGCTTAGTATAGCCACGTCGAGACTCAGCTCGACTCTTGTGCCGCTGCTTGATTGATCATGGCTGCTTGCTGAACGCGATGTACATTGTACATCGTGCCCACACCAGCTGATGAATTCACGTTCGCATGTTAGTACTGGGGAAAGCTAGTTTCAGTCAGAAGTAACCGACATCGATCGAAGAAAGGTCGATAAAGGTTCTGTTGTCGATTGATACCACATACGATCATGCTCGAGTTGTCGTTCGCCCACCCTACTCACAACCAGTTGGCCAAAGAAGTGCGGCAGTGCCCGCTCTGCATATTCTAGCTGCCTACCGCATAGCTCGGTCCAGATGTGATGGGATTATGCCGCTCAGGCATGCGATCCCGCGGATGCAAGAGTAGGTAGGAAATGTAGAGTTGGAGCTCCTAAGAAGCCAGGTGAACGACAACCTTAGCCTAATTGTAGAAGCTCTGCTGTCGATTGATACTAACGCAAGTCTGACCAAAATCCAGTAGTCCAGCCAGAAGACAGCATAGGATTGCAAACTCTTGGTTGGGAGTACACATTTGGGAGAGCAGGGTAGTTCAAACACACTTCGTAAAGCGGCAAGACTGATACTTCCAGCATGGGAAGGAGGTTCGAGATGGGTTTGGTAGCCTGAAGACAAACCTTTTTGGTAGATCCAAGTCCAAACAGCCAGCGGACATGCCCGTCCTACATGCGCGTAGCCACTTTAGGGAAAGACTCTTGGTAATGATATTGCTACAAGGACAATACCTGTCAGAGCCGAGATTCTTCGAGTGCACAGAAGAGATGCCGAAAGATCGGGAATCGTTGGGGATAGACGCATAATCTCGAAATACAAACATTCCTCCAGCCACTGAATAGTCTTCTTTGCAGGTGGCTGATTCTAGCTGCACTTCCAACCGGCATATTTCGTCTCGTGATTGGGAGCCCATGTATGTGGCAATCTTGATCAAATTTCACCGATGTACCTTGTGCATCATGAGCTTTGGTCCCTTGTATGATGTGTGATGTCCGTACGAGAGTTTCTTGTTCAGGCTGTCGAGAATGCTGCACACAGTACTTTGTGAATGTATCCAGCCACTGATATTTGCGGTGTCCAGGCGCCAGGGGTGAGTGACAGTCTCTGTAAGTCCACATGCAGGTCCGAGGCAGGACCACGGCAGATTCAAGGAACAGACCAGATCATCCACAGAATTGGATATACTGGATCGACAGTAACCGCCCACTATTTTTCCCAATCTGAGGCTGCAGGTACATCCGTTACCCCAACTTAGATACTTCATATACCTGCTGTCAGTATTTTCAGTGCGGCTTGTTGTCATCGCGGTTGTGCTTGCAGACCAGACGACTACCTACAGTACGCAATCATCCAAGCCGTGGAGAGGTGTGACCAAGGATGTCAACAGTCCTAGGGGATCCGGCAGCCAGAGCCACAGCGAAGTAGTCTGGAATAAGCATATCAATCTTTGATTGTAGGTCCAGAGTAGCTACTAGTGTTGCCGCGTACCGATAGACTTCGCCCCAGAGAGTCCAACAGTACGGCTCACGGGAACCCCGAGTATGGCGGGGATTGGCGCTCTAGGTAAGTGATGCACGGGCGTGCAAGCAGACATGGGAATTTGCCTCAAGTGCATACTGAAACCATCGTATCCGCGGGAGGTGGGCCGGGAGATGATGTCTCCGTGGTCAAGGATTGGCAGCGATAACATCACTCAGCCAGGACGTGGACGGCGAAGCAGGTTCTCGATGACCACAAGAGGCTCTCAAGCGATAGCGAAGTGCTGCAGTAACAAGTTACAGTGACGATAAGTGTTTAAGGTGTGCCGGAGCGGGTCGAAAGATGGAGGACTGCAAGGTTCGGGATGATCACGGTTGATGTCGCTGATGCTGTTGTCATCAAGATGTCAACAAATGCTGACGAGCCGTCTGCCGATCGCACCTTCCCATGACTCGTGCATGCACTTAATGCATGAGTTTAATATCTAAATGCATAGACTATTTACTTTGCCAGGTATCCTGCATAACTGCAACTACCCTTTTCGGCCTATTGGTTACCGTTCGATGATGTGGGTCCGCCCATCTAATCCTACCACGCGGCTCAGTTATTCTTGGTCCTGGCAGCGATCCTGCGGGTGTAGAGCTGAGTTTGACTGTACATCATGCTTGTTGCAGAGCGGAATTAAGGATATCGACCGCGGCAGCAAGGTGTCCATCTGGCAATACCAATGACTGAAGCGGCTTGAGGCTCATATCGCTGGGTGTTGAACAGTCTGAATCGGGGAGCAGAAGAGGTAGAAGAGCTTTGGTGAATTGGGAAAATGGACACTATCTAACGACTCTGCTATGGATGCTAGCAAGCAACAAACAAAATGCAAACGCCTTTCCTTTGATGCGATTGATGCAAGAACGACCTCGATCCCTCATCCCTCATCTTTGTCTTCATCAACAGCAATATAAAGCGCCAAACACGCCTTCTCGGAGACCAGCAACAACAATGATAACCCCCAAGTACACTCCATTAACCGACGACACCCTTGAAACTCAACGCTTCCAAGAAGCCACTGAGATCCTCCTTCTTGACCTCAACGACCTCGTGTTCGAATGAGTCAATTCGGACTCTGGCTCCGGTCTCCTCGACCACCTCCTGGAACGCAGACCCAAACTTGTTGCTTCCATAGCCTCTCTGCTTTCTCTTCTCTGCTTCCTCCTCGTCTTCCGAATCATCCTCCGAGTCTGAAGAGTCAGAGCCTGAGGACAAAGACTCAGCATCAGAGGCCTCGTCATCAGAGTCGACAAAGATGCCATTGGCCTCATCACGTTCACGGCGAGCTTGCTTGCGCTGTGCCTTCTGTACAGCTTTCTGGACTTTCTTTTCTGCCTTCTTGACTTCACGAGCGGCTTTCTTGTCAGCGCGTGCTTTTTGCTCTGCGCGACTTCGAACACGTCCCGAAGCTGCATCTCCACCACCAAGACCGACAACGACATAAACACCTCTGCGCTCGTCAAGAGCAGCGAGGACCAGTGCATTGTCTGCTGTACGTTTGGCTCCCTTTTCTGCTTCCAGCACTGAAATGGCTTCAGAGATCCAGGTAGCGAGTTTGACGAGAGCACCCGGGTGAATGAAGAGATTCACGTCTGGGCCTTCGCGGACGACGCCCATGCGGAAAGCGCGCAAGTGACGAATCTGGTGTTTTGAAATCAATGCACTGCCGGTGCGGAGGATAGCTCTGTGTAGATGCTGTGCAGTGGGTACGTGAGACAGCAAAAGTTGTAGTGCGGATGAAGAAGGAGACAGGGCATCGTAGGCGGCGAAGAAACGATTCGTTGTCCAGTCAGGATCCAAGATTGAAGTTTCGTGCTCGATTTGGGATGCTGAGGGTGATGAGTCGCCATTGTGTGATGTAGGTGGTGTGGGTAGTGCTTGCATACGTGAATTGTAGTGTGTAGAGAAGACCTTCATGCGGAAATCGGTATGTGGGTTGGCGGCGGAGATTGTCTCAAAAGACTGGTCTGCACCGACTTCGAGAATGGCGCTTGTGATGACAGCGACGTCGACGGCCGAGAGACAGGCTTGCCAACCCCAGGAGCGAACAAAGCCCCAACCTTCGTGTCTGTGACGATGACTGTCTTCTGATGGTACCAGTCCGTCAAGGCCGTACATAGGAGCGAACTTCAGGAGGCGTTCTCGTAGGCCGCGCTTGAGTTCCATGTCCATGTGTGTGTAGCCCTTTTCTGCTTCGGCAAGGGAGACACCCATCTTGGCCAGAAGCTTGTGTAGTCTTCTTTTTCCAGCATCAGACCAGATATGTAGTCGTGACGACAGATATGGCGAATGAAGCATGCTCTCGTACAAAGACCAATGTCTGATCAGAAGGAAGCGTGGTTCTGGTGACAGACGAATTGAAGTGTCTGTTGGTGAGCGTGCATGAGTGGGTATGATGCCGCCAGCTTCGTCTCTTTCTCTCGCGATATCTGAAGCGGGTACAGGGTTGAGACGGCGCACTTCATCGCGAAGTACATCACGAATCTGATCACCGCGACTCAAATTCCAAGGGTTTTGGCGTGCTTCTGTATTTGCTGTTTTGGATCTGCCGTAGAGTTCTGTAGAGGACATACCGACCAGCGCCAACCAAAGAAGGTCATTGTCTTCACGGCCCAGCTCAGAGGCAAGCGAGTACAGCATTGAAGATATTGGCTCAGATGCTGATGTTCCTAACGAGTAGTAGGCTTCCAATACGGCTTCGTGCTTTCGCTTCATCTTGAGCAACTTGCGGCGAAGTGAGCGTGCTGATGGCTGCTTGGGGTGGAGCGGTGGTGATGAAGGCACTGGACCAAGTTGTGAAGACGAAGGGTGGTTGGACACTTCCAATCGTTCGTGTCGTGATGCTGGTGATCTGGGCGTGGCGGGTATTGATGAGTTCTAAAGTGGTGATTAGTATGCAGACTCAATCTCTCGTTCAGAGGCAACAAACCGAGTTACTTCGCCGCCTCTGATATGGTCTGTCTCCATCATCGTCACTGACGGCCTCTTCCTCTGCATCATCGTCACTCCATGTCTTTCGCTTTCGTGTTTGCGAGTCGTCGACAGCATCTTNNCATCGTCGCTCTCTTCGTCTAGATCACCATCGTCTGCTTCTTCATCGATATCGGGCATGTCTTGTAGAGCACAAAAGGCTTCTTTCTCGGCGTTCAACTCTTGCTCAATATCGCCATCGTCGTAGACAATGATACCTCCTCTTCCAGGCGTGTAGGATGGTAGAAGCTTGCCTCCATCAACACCTCTCCTCCTCTTGGCGACGGCTGGGGTGATTCCAGCATCTTGATCCTCTGGTGGTGCCATGGCTCCTGTTCCAAAGACGTTTTGCAAATTCCAGGGTCTTCTCGCATCGACTACCCAGACTTCAACACCGTGGTCGTACATGTTCATCTGTGTCTCTGCATCTTCACCTCCATCCAGACCGAGCATCTCTTCCAAATCGACCAGGCCACCAACACCTAGACAGACAACAATTCCACCTTGACCGCCATGTTGACGCGTCAATGGAAGCACCAGATCCTTGCCGGCAGCAGACAATTCACTGTAGCCAGCTACTGGTTGAACTTTGTGGGGGATGTAGTCGCGTTTGAGGAGTGCTGTGAGGATTCGGCACGCGCAGAGGGCGTCGGGATCGAGGGATACGAGGATCAAGACGGGTGGTGAAAGCGGATGCGTGTTGCGGACCAGATGCGTGTAGAGATGCGAGAGAAGCGTCCTCGGAAGATACATTGTGCAGGTGTCGTCTCAGAGCGACATGCGTGAAGATACAAGTAAGAATCGTCCAATCTAAGTCGTGGTCGTGACGCGTTTTGTAGGGATGTCGTAATGTCTCATACTCTGTCTTTCAGAGCGTGTGATTAAGAGTGATGCTCGAGCACAGCTGTACAGTGCTATACAAAGTAGAAGAATGGCCGTGTGTCCGTCGTGAGTATCTCCTTGTTCCTTGTTGGATGCGGGAGCAGGGAGTTTCGAGGCACGCGGATTGGCTTCGACCGAGCACGCGTCGCGCATCGCCCAAACTTTGGCGCGTCGAGGATGACCATCGCCGATGCTTGGCACGCGTCAACGAGTCAACGTCGAGTTTCGGGCCTTTCTTTTCTTTTTTCTCATCAAATAGTTTATGTCTGATTGTTATGCTATCGCAGTCTTGAGAACTCAAGCTATGACTCTATACAATCCTAATTCTGTGTTCTTTGTTCTCGAGATTTAGACGATCCCCTCCTTCTTCTGCACTCGAAGTCTCTCCTCGATCGCCTGACGAGGATGCATCAAATCTTTGAAGCCCAGCCACTCTGTGTTGAGCGGGCTGGGTCCAGTATAGATGAAGGCATCATACAAGATTCCGCCAAAGACACACCCGCAGAACGGAGCCACCATTGGAANCTGTCCATCTGAGATCAACATACTGCAACTGAGACGGACTGAAATCTACTCACTCCAAAAATAGTAGCCTCCTGCGGAGAACACTTCATGCCCGTAACCAAGAGCATAGCTCATCAGACGCGGTCCAAAATCACGAGCGAGGTTGACTGCNNAAGATATCAGCATGGTTTCTGGTGAGTCATCGACGAACTTACTAGCATAGCCGGTCTCAACACCAAAACATGCCCCAATCCCGAATATCAGGAAGAAGAGTCCGAGAGGGAACCAATTACCGCCTCCTTGAGAAACTCCATTGTTCGTGTCATCTTTGAGAGCAAAGATGACGAACATGAGAATAGCACTAGCGATGAACTCGGAGAAGAACATGCTCGCCTTGGTCATGTACGCCTTGGGATATGTGCAGAAGATTCCTGCTGTTGCCGTCGGGCTTGGAGGAACTGTTCTGACACCATGGCCCTCAAAGGCGTTGATGTCGTTGACATAATTGCCGTAAATGATGCCAGCAGCGACCAGACCTCCGAGGAATTGTGCCAGGAAATAGACTGGAAACCTTCGCCATGGAAGCTTGCGAAGAAGACAATTGGTAAATGTGATGGCTGGGTTCAGGTATGCTCCAGAGTCGCCTGCGACATAGACACCCAACATCACACCAANTCCTGTCATCGTTGTTAGCGAATGATACTGACAGCAAACATCAAGAGATACTCACGCCCATCCCCATGAAATTGATTGGTAACCTCCATACCCATTGCCACCTGGAGCTGTTTTGTCGTTCGCTCCCAAGAGCACTTGAGCCACTGAACCATCGCCAAAGAGAACAAGGATCATGACTCCGAAGAATTCTGCAAAAGGCTCTCGCAGTGCCAATCTCACTTTACTCCACCACAAGCTGGAGTACTTTGTCGCATCATGTTCTTCTGCAATCGGTGCGTGCGGATGCAGACCCAACAACTTTGATCTGGCAAACTGCAATCCTTGGGACGACGATGTTGTTGTGTTGGTATCCAAGGGTGCACCGCCTGCATCTCCGTGTTCACCGATGTGTTCCACATGATCACCCGGTCTCGTCGACCATTTCTGGAGCTTCATGGGATCTTCATCTGGGTCGTGGGATTGACTCTGTACAGCATCAGGATGTTGAGTCAATCCCGAGAGCTGTCTGTCGTGCCTTGTGGAAGCTTGCGACCATTCTTCGTATGGCCTCGACGTCTCAGCATTAGTCCATTGCCCCGAACTTTGCTCGTCGGGGTGGCTGTTGCTCATATTGTTACAGTATAAGCTCTTTTTGCTATGTATAGCAAACTTTGCCAATATCAGATGTAAGTTGTGTATAAGAGCAAGGCAAAAAATAGGTTTGAAGCAAGAAAGGGCTTGAACAGGAAAAGAGCTGAGAAGTTAAGGGATGGAGCTTACATGCGCCTTCTATGTCACCAAGGCTGTCAGGCTGTCAGCCCGAAACACTCCTTGGAATCCTTTCGGCTACGAAGGGTAGCAGCTCGATCTATCTCTGTCGAATCACAACTGCTCGTTGTTAAGTGTTGGGTAGGTTACCCCGCCTATAACACATCTATTCAGCACTTACAGAGCCGCCCCTCCCGCCGAGCCGCGCTCACAAGACATCAAGCCTTGGACGATCTTGGAGAAATACATGGACGATCGTTGCGAAAGCTGACGAGACGTCTTTTCCACCGTTTCCTGTCTGGCTTTCGTTTTCCGCTCGACATTAGATTTATGCGACCGTCTTTATTTGCCCTACTCACTTCAGTTGAACGGCACTCCAATTTGTTTCTCTTTGCTTTGCTTTCTCGCAAGACATGTTGCTTCCTTTGGACCGCTGGGGATCAAAACAAAGCAAGATGTATCCCCGGATCTGCATCTTTGCCCCGTGGGGTGATGTACATGCCTCTTCAAGTGTGGGGGTTGCGCCTCATGACGTGCTCTGAGCGTGAGATCCAACGACACCGAGCATGTCCTTTATCTCACTGCTGGAAACATGTTTTGAGATGCGATTTGCGGTCTCTTGAGACCCGGAGATGATATCTGGTGTGATCGTGTCTTGACAAGCTCGTTGGTTTTCTCAGACAACAAATTTTTCCCTTTGTGCTATAGACAGTCACTAATTCCACAATCAAGACCCCGCTACTCACAGCGCTGCATGGAAACATTACCAAGCAATCGAAATACACGATATCTATCGAAAAGAAGGGACTCTTACGGGGCTTCATGCTAGCTATTGTCACCTCTGATCTGATTCTATACATGATATTCTCATCAACGATTCCGAGTTTCCTAGGCTCAAAAGTAGAAAGAAACACCACAAAAAGAATGACACACCCTCAAGTCAACGACTAAACTAGAGGTAAAGGAAAACCCCTAGTCTAGATATAATTCACTTTTATACCCACTTCTCCTCTAAATAGAAATCTTGTCCCAAAAAAATCTGCAGAAGAAGAAAAAAAAAGCCCAAAATTTCGAGGGGCGCGTTCTGGTTTTTGATTAATGCCTTTATTTATCCAAAAAGCAGGACACTGTTTTATTCGTTTTGTATATAGATATAATATTTGCTGCTTAGTCTGCCCAAGCGCTGAAATCCTTCACAACAAGTTTTGTGCTCGAAGCCTGTCAATCTTTGAGTCTCGGTGCTAGCAGTGGAGAAGATGGAGAAAAGGGGTATTGATGGAGTTTTTGCGGCAAGTGTTCTGGGCATTGGTACAGATGTAGGAAACAAGCATCTGCAATCCCACAAGGTATTGTCATGAATGACTAGCTGAGGTGTTTAGATATACACGTTTTGATTTCTTCTATAAACGACTCTCTAAAACGAAACGATGTGTGTCGAAAAGAAAAAAGAGCGAAATCAGCAGCGATGTCGATTCCATGGTCGTCCACCTTCGCTTGGTCTTCTGTATCTGAGATGAGCAGGAGGGGAACTCCTGCATATGGAAGGGGAATCCAGACGCGAAATCAAGTCGCCGGGTAGACGAGGGACATATTTCGAAAGTCCTGTGTGGCGATCGATTTCCGCTTCCCAATCCTTTCGCGGACTCTCAGATCTGAGATCAAAGTCTTCTCCTATGACCGAGTCTTTCTCTGACACCGACTCTTCTTTTGATACCACAGAACTAGGAGACTCCATGCGTGCAGCAACAGGGACGAAACTTTTACCCGCTTGCAGCTCGCATAATGCGACTGCACACTAAGCGACGATGTCATTAGCTTGCTCTTCAGCCTTGTCTTCTGTTTTCTGCTCTGCCTTGTCCAGAGTCTTGCCACTCTGATCGTTCCTCACAGTTTCCAAGACACTTGTAATCTCTCTAAGGAAACGAGTAACTTCCTCCTCGGTGCCTACGGTAATGCGCAGGCAACCCAAACAGCCCAACTCCTTGCCGCGGAAACGGACGACGACGCCTCGAGACTCTGCGAGCTGTTCGTATACTGCTAGCGCAATTTCATTGCTGGGCTGATTGGAGGCATCTAGCATTTCGACGAGCANAAAGTTGCTAGCGGCGCCGCCGCGAAATCTGCCAATGCCAGAGATGGAAGGCATCTCCTTGAGCATACGGTCACGCTGTTGGATAATCTTGTCGCGGTTTTGGCGCATGACTTTTAGGTTTTTGGGTTGTAGGGCGGCGATGGCGAGTTGAGAGGTTGGGTTCGAGATATTGTAAGGGGCCTTGAGTGAGTTGAGAAGGGTGGCGATGGGCGGGGAAGTAAAGGCAGCGCCTAGACGAATGCCGGCGAGACCAAAGGCTTTGGAGAGGGTTTGCATGACGACGAGGTTGGGCCAGTCGTTGACCCATTCGGCGAGCGAGGTGCCGTCGGGGGCAAAGTCGATGTAAGCTTCGTCGAGGACGACAATACCGTTCCAGGAGGGGTGTCTGAGGACAAGCTCGACGTCTTCCTTGCGCACGAGGTTGGCGGTGGGGTTGCCGGGAGAGCAGATGTAAACCATCTTGATGTGGGCGTCTTGTTCGAGAATCTCATTGATGAGGCGGGGTTGGAGGGCAAAGTTGTCGTTGACATCTAGCGAGGCCTTGACGACTTGGACGTCGTTGACCTGAGCCGAGACGGAGTACATGCCGTAAGTTGGAGGGCATGTCAGGATCTTGTCCTTGGCGGGAACGCAGAAGGCGCGTATGAGGGCGTCAATGGCTTCGTCGCTGCCGACGCCGACAAAGAGATTGTCCGGCGTCAGCGTCTTCTCTGTGTGGGTGTGGGTGTTGCGGAGGTTGCACAGCAGTTGCTTGAGCTCGGGCTGGTGNNGCTGTCGGGTCTTGTCAGGTATGAGTCATGAGGTGGGTGTTGAGGCAGGCGCATACGGGTCTGGGTAGCGATTGAGGCCAAGAAGGTCGACCTCGACAGTGGCATCGCCGTTCAAAGCATTCTTCAGCTTGCCTGAAGCAGCATCGATTGCCAGACCTGGGCCGTAGGCGTTCTCATTGGCGTCCAAAAGAATGTTTGTGCCGTCGTCCTTGTAGTCGCTGGTGAGTCACTCGTCAGCGTATCGTCTTGGTATACAGAAGGATAGGACATACTCTCTAGCACATCTGTAGGGCTCGAGAGCCAAGATGTTGGGACGAGCACAAGTCTGGAGGTCGAAGGCGTTTACTTGGGGCGACATTGTGGATTGATATGTGTATGGGATAAAGAAAGAGACAAAAGATTAATTGAGCTGAAGCGTGGTCGAGGGCAATCGGCATGTGAAAGTCGGAGTCATCGCGCGCTCGGATGCGAAACGTCAGCGGGCCGAACTGCACCTTCCTCTGCTGCGCCGGACCTTCCGCTTCCTGCCTTGCCTGACCTGACCTGACCTGACCTGCCCTATCACATGCTGCAATAGTGGACGGCTAATTTTATTGCATCCCATTCTTCTGCTAGACTCTCAAATCTGACTACATCCTTCTCATCCTCATCTCCAGCATCTGTGTCTTGTCTCTGAACAAGTAACCCGCGACAGTTACATCATCTTGCGCCGGCACTTGACAGCCGTTTGACCTGCTTTCTACGCGACACGCCCGCCGTCATCCTGGACTTTCCTCTCGTTCCTCTGTCCAAGAGCAGGAGCAGGGAACCATGGCATCCACACAACCCATACCGGTGACTCGGGTCATATCACCGTCGCCTACGCCTACAGAATCATCTTCCGCACGCGACAGCTGCGTCACCACCACCACCAAGAAACGCAACGGCCGCATCACCACGACCACACCAGCCATCCAAGAATCGCCAGAATCCTCGGACCCAGAGTCCTCCCGCGCCCGACCACGCTCACGAAGCCCTCAAATCCGCCGCAAAGAATCGTCAAAGAAAGTCCCAGAGCCAATAAAAACAAATGGACATCTGGATCCCAGCAGTGCTGGCATGGGAAGCAGCTACTGGCGCAATCTAAGTCGTAGTCCGAGTCCGTTGGGCTTGATTCCCCTGCACAGGGAATGGCGCACTTTCATCCACAGGCATGAGATTCCGCGAAAGGCTTTGCATGTGTCGATTGGCTTCTTCACTCTAGGCTTGTTCGTAAGCGGTGCCCAGACGAGTGCCATTCACCCTCCGCTGCTTACCGCCCTGGTGCCCATCTTTGCTGTCGACTTTATAAGGATGCATTATCCGTAAGCACTTTCTGACTAACTCCCTTCGATGTGACAGCTAACGTCATCTAGTCCTCTCAACCGCCTCTACATTCGCGCTCTAGGTGCCTTTATGCGCGAATCAGAAGCCCACGACAAATACAACGGCGTCATCTCCTACCTTGCCGGCGCATGGGCAGTTCTCCGGTTTTGCCCGAAGGATATCGCCGTCATGTCTATTCTCCTTCTCTCCTGGTGCGACACTGCTGCCTCGACTTTCGGCCGTCTCTGGGGCCGTTACACCNNCCCTCGCGTGCGCAAGGGAAAGAGTCTCGCTGGCACAATTGCGGCCTTCATAACAGGTGTTGCTGCGGCTGTGGTCTTTTGGGTTGTTATTGCGCCGAGGGTGCCTGCCGAGTGGAGTACCGGCATCAACTCTTTCGCCTTTGACGGCTCGCTATCGTTACCGCCGGCCATGAGAAACTTGCTCGGTTGGAAAGCAGCAGAGGCCACAGTGTCTGGTACGGTGGCTACTGCTATCGTTGCCGTGGTCAGTGGCTTCGTTGCCGCAGTCAGCGAGGCCATCGATGTCTTTGGTCTAGACGACAATCTTACCATTCCTGTTCTCTCGGGTATCGGATTGAACGCTTTCTTTTGGGTCTTTGGGAACGGGTTATCTTCATGAAAAGGCGGGTAATTGTGTAGGAGGGTGGGCTGGTTGAACAAGAGTTGGAACAGGATACCACGAAACGAACTCAGGATACGGGGCAAAAAGGATATACCAAAGGACGACGCGACGAAGAGAAGGGGTCCAAACATAGGCCAACCACCAAAGAGGGTTTATTATTTAATGTATCAATTCTTCACAACTCCCTTTTGTGGTTCATCGATTTGAGATCAAAGTGAGGCAAAACATAGGATCCAGAGAGAAGATATGAGGAAGGAGGAGAGGACCTTCCACTTCACTTTACCTCCGGTCGGCCATTCCGCTCTAGCGGCGGCGTCTCCGGTGTTAAGGCTTAATGTTCAGACATACCGCTACAGTGCATAAAGCGAATCTATGGCTTATCAGCACTCGACCGCGGCAATTATCTTGGCGATGCAGCGGAGTTTGAATACAAGGTTTGTTCGATGTTGGACATGTATAAGTGTGTTGACTTGAGGCGGCAGGGTGCTTCGGCCTTTGTTCTCAATCCAGTTGCCATTGATCTCTCGCATTGCCGCCGAAACCAGCCATGGGATCATCATCATCTTCGTCGCTGTCAATGTCTTTGTCGTTGTTATCGAGTGGTACTGTCGTCCAGGCTGGCTTGTCCTCGGCTCCGAATGTAAAAGTGAACCAATGCGGTCTTGCGATAGATAGAAGCATCAAGATTGTGAGTGGCAGCATGATGAGCAACAAGTAGCGAGAGGTGTGTGCGTCGCGACATGATTGACTCAGGATTGCTCTTGCTCTTGTAGGAATGGTCGTGTTGACGGGACCCGAGACCAATGGCACAATCTGACAAGCCCAGCTCTCAAGAGTATAAGTTCCATGGGTGCTCGAGTTTCCAAAGACTGTACTGTTCATTGTACCACTTGTTGAGAATCGCTGCAACTGATCGGCGACACTATCGCTAGCGAAATTCTGTAAGCCAGCGAATATGATTGGATATAACACTCCAACAACAGCAAAGATGGAGAATAACCATGCCATAAAAGTATCTCTTGGTCCAGTAGCGTTGACCCATCCAGTCAGATCCAGACTTCGCACGCCCTGGACATGGAATTTCAACTTTTGGCCTTTGGGTACTGTTTTGACGCCTTCATCTAGCGCAAGCAATTGGGAAAAGATATGATGCTGTGCTTTTTCCATCGCGTAAGCCACAGCACTCGCGAGAGCTAGCAAGCCACCCCAGAAGATAGCAGCACGGCCATGATCGTAGAGTGAAGCCGGCACGTAGGCAGCCGCGATACTAATACTGCTATGGCCGGGAAGTTCGAGGGCAAGAGTTTGGTTCGAGAGGATGGTTGATAGGTCATGCGTCAATGGAAACGGTCGGTTGAGAATATCAATAGCCCGGAAACCAAGAAGAAAGATGGGGATCCCTATCAGTATCCGAAAGACAGATGCGGTAATTGTGAAAGCCATCGTATCGCCTTTTGTGATTTCGGGAAATATGGGCAGGCGTGAGGCATATGCCTGTCATGGAGGAGTGTTGACTTCCTCGGGTTGAGGTTCTTGAGGCCTGATCGGATGGGGTAACCTCGGATCCGGGACATCCACAGAATGTTCAAATGTTGCCGGACGCTTCTGTCAATTGTGATACTGAGAGCATGAGGCGACTCGATCATATCATATGTGACGAAGCTTGGATCTATTCGCGACTGCTGGATGTGTGGTGACTGACCTTTGAATTTGTCATTCCCCAATTTTATGGTCATTCTTACCCAACGACGACGCACGGAACAAGACATCCAACATGGAACAAGTGTTGCAGAATGCAGAGCTTCTCACAAGGATCATTGAACTAACCAGCGAGGACAATGAATCAATCGGCCGGACTTCGCTGGCCCCCCTCGTCCGCGTAGGCCCCCTTTGGCGGGACATTGGACAGAGCACCACCTGTCGAAGCTCTTGCTACAATTAGAAGAAACCGCCGCCAGATGTTTGCCTCGTGTACCAGGACACTAGATCTCAGTTGTAGCACAAATTCCATCCTACACACTCTTTTTGCTGGTTTACAACTTTCAAGTCTAAGAACCCTCACACTTGGCAGGTTTCCAATGAATCTTGTTCCACCTATATGCCGACGACCTAGAGATCCTCGACGCCGGTGTAGAATACATGACGGTTGGACTCTAACAGTCGCCCGATACTCTGGGCCAGCCCTTGAAGACCTGCCAAATTGTGAAGTTTCTCGTCGAAAGAGTCAAGACACCGCAAAGTCCCGTGTTCCCGCAACTCAACCGGCTGTCGTTGATAGACTGATCGTGGAAGAAAGACCTACGCGGAAGCAAGTTGCTAGACTGATTACTAGGCATGCACCCAAGTTGGAAGATTTGAAGTTCGATTGTGAGCCTGGAATGGTTCCTACGTGGAAAAGGCTACAGCTTCGACGTCGCGGCTCATCCCCTCGAATTTCAGACTCTGGAAGTTGAGGAAATTGAGCTAGATACACAATATCAGATCGTAACCAAGCAGCCTCCCAAGTACTTGGCAAATTCAGGGGTAGATAGGCGACAGAGGACACCAACATATCCATCTGGTCGGACAACGGCAATAGCTCCTTCCTCTCTCGAGATACCGTAGACGTCATAAGCATCTTCCTTCTTCGCCAGTCCGTAGGTCCTCATCTCCGCAAGTCTTTTGACCTCTGACGGAATCTGCGTCCACTCGAATCTATCCTTGATAGGGTGTAAGACCACAAGGTCAATCGAGCCAGCGGGATGACTTTCCACAATCTCGGTGGATGCTCTAAGTGCTTTCTGAGAGTGGCCAGAAGGGTCAAGAAGATCCGTACTGGTCAGTATGAGAAGACGGTATCGTCCATTCGATGGCAGTTCTGCAATATTGAAACATCAGCTCAGTCATCAATCAGGCAGTTGGAAGATATACTACTTACCTTCATGTAGCTGACGAGTAGTGTTGTCGGCATAACGCTTAAGCTCGACATTCAGCACTCTTCTGCCAGGGGTGAGGGCACCGTAAAGCGGATCTCCTGCCGAGGATACCATATCTTGGGATCCTTCGGTAGCCCGGACAAGCTTGCTAGATTTGTACTCAAGGCCACAGCCACTTGTAAAACCACTTCCATCACGAAACACTTCCAAGAATTCATCGTGTGTAAGTCCTGCTGTGGAAGAGTCGCCAGAACCAATTTTGCCAGAAAACATGTGTGAGAATTTTGTGTCAAATTCAATGAGTTGACGAGCAGTGTCAACACGCTCCAGCTCGAAAGTTTCCAAGACTGGATCTGCGCTGTTCTTGATAGTACTGGGAGACAGACCAAGGATGGAGTGTGCTAGCTTCCAGGACAAATTGTAACTGTCCATCATGCTGACGTTCATGCCTTGACCTGCTTTAGGGCTGTGTGTGTGGCACGCNNTAGGTAACGGTCAGTGGTGTTTTGATATCATTCGTAATCTTCACTTACCATCACCGACGATGAAGACCCTATCAACGCCATCTGGTGTCCTCGACGAGAACTTCGGCGTCATTCTCTGGCCAATTTGGTACGCGGCATACCAATCCGGAACAGTCCCTTCTTTGACCTTGATCTTGTATGGTGCAAAAACAGCATTTGCTTGCTGGAAGATGTATTCGAGAGTAACTTCAGCACGCTTTTTCTTGCTTGCGTTCTTCTTCTCGTCTTCAGTCGTTGTTGTGCGGTCTGTTTTTGCATCGACATTGCCTGGTACTTGGACGTAGAGACGAGTGAGATGCTCTCCTGTGGCAATTTGCTCTCGAGGAATGACCATGATAGAGCCTGCTTCAGAATGCACTGCAGAGCGATTGCGGATATCCGGGAAATCTGTATCAGCGACAAAATCGCAAACCCNCCAGATGTGATCAGATGTCTCTCCTTCCAGTGAAAGCCCCATAGACTTTCTGACCTTCGAACGTGCACCATCACCACCAACCAAGTACTTTGTACGAACAGAGCCGGGCACGCGACTCCCGTCCTCAAGCTCGTGCTCATAATTAACAAGTACGGGATACTCTGGGTGGTTGACAGTGTCAACTGTGTAGTCCAAGAAGTGATGAGATCTTCGAATTGTATCCTCGGGCGCATAAACACTGAGATTCTCTTGAAGAATTCTTTCAATTCGTCCTTGATGAATGGTAACCTCGAACGGAAAGCGTGCCGGAACGTTGACATCAGGAACAAAAGAAGTCCGCTCGATACCACTCTTGCCGTCAGCTCTAGGGTTCCAAAAAGCTACCTCTTCCATGTGGCATCCTTCCGCGATAATTTCGGAGCCTATTCCAAGGCTTTGCAAAACTTCGAGTGTGCGAGGTTGGAGGCCATCTGCTTGTCCCGCCTTCAGGGTACCAGGCTTAGAGTCTAAGCAAAGTAAGGAAGATCCTGAGATTCCATATCTGGCAAGTAGTAGCGTGAGAAAGAGGCCGCTTGGTCCAGNCCTGAGACGAGTTATTGGTATGATGTTACTGGTGGAGTTAGCTTTGGCACTTACACCGATGACAACAACTTCGCGTTCATCGCCAGTCGTGGATGTCTTAGGTGAAAGGCGTGGTAGTGGTAGAGCTCGTGATGGTAGGATCCTCAGATCCCGACGCGTGTCAGAGGTCTCTTCGAAGACGGGCATGATGATGTTGTGGTCCTGGTTCTTCGAAGACCACAGGAGACCAATAGTGTCAGATCAAATCGGTCTACAGGGGATATACTTCTCCCTTGTTTGAGCCCACGATCAAGAGCTTGAGGTTTCTTGAGGACGACAACTTGTCTCGATTATCCGAGCCGGAAAATGGGATCATGAGGAGATGCGGAGTTGAGCCGAATTTCCTGACTTCCGAGCAGGAGGTCTGTTCCGCCCACATCTTTACCCCAAGCGCGTGTCGAAGACCTCAAGGAAGGACATCGGTCATCCGATGTCAACGCAGATGCTGTCAATGCTGCTATTGGAATATTGAGCTCATGATTAGGTATGTACAAGGCGGTCTTGGCTGAGAAAGAGGACGCGAGGAGCAACGATACAAGTCGCCTGGTCCGTGCATTTATCGGGCTTCCGACGTGTTCAAGTTGCCTCTTTCGCGACGCCGGAAACACAATCAATGATAGACCTGATTCTGTTGTTACAGTGATGAAACATGGAAGACGAGTCGCCGGATACTCGTCCTCTAGGTCCTCGTAATAGGCCTCGTGCGTCACATGCTTGTGAACGCTGTCGGATGAAGAAGGGAAGGTGCAACCAGCAGCAGCCTTGCTCGTCATGTTTGCGTGTAAGCGCGCCATGNCTTTACGGAGAGGAGAGAAGGAGGACAAGAAAGAGAAAGGGTGATCGAGTAGAGAGAAGCTCTGAGCAAGACGATACGCGATCGCAAGCCACCCCTTCATCCTGGCCATTGACTCGGGATGCTGCATCGCTTTCTACCCAAGATGTCCTCGAAGATGTACCCAACAGTGCTTCCAGGTTGGATATGAGTCCAGAGATCAACATCAACTCCGTGCGATCAGGTATGTCGTCTCTTGTCAAGTCGGACTCTGGATCCTCAATCTGATCATTAAAGGCGGTNACTTTGACCTCACATGATCGTGACGTGGTAGGCGATGTGAATCAACGCACTCAAGGAACCGAGTTCTACGGGACATCTTCCAACTATGTACTGCTCAACCAGCTATTCTCTCACGCTCGACAACACAGTCTCTCCGGACAAACCCCACATCCTGGTCGCTCAAATCAATCAGCAGTGAACCCTGATCCAAGAGATCCTACTCCGGCAGGACGAATGTCTCTTGTCAACCTACTTGCAAATGAAGATGATCTGCTGCCTCCCTCAAGAGAAAAGTCACCACATCAAACATCTCCTTCCGCTTTTCGGTCAACCGCTTTTCGTAATCTACAACAGTTGAGTGACCGTGCCTCGAGCAGTGTCTCTCCTGCTTTAAAGGTGCTCGTTGCCGAAAGACGCCTCGAGAAAGCACTCGTTCGCAGCTACATGCATAACTTACACTATCTGCATCCCATGCTTGACTGTGACACGTTCATCAACCGATATGAGGAATACTTGGCACAGTCTTACAACTTGCATGAAAGATCTCCTCAGCTCAGGCACTTCTTTGCCCTCTACAACATTGTCGTTTCTGTGGGAGCACTCGTGGCTGGATCGGATCTTACCGAAGAGTTTCACCATGAAATCAAAATAGCGCTACAAAACAGAAAGGACACCCAAGATCTTGGGAAGGCGCCATTACAAGGACTATCGAGGCACTATTTTCGAAAATCGCGAAGTCTGCTTGGAGATGTGTTTGAGGCATGCTCTCTGGAAAGTGCTCAGACACTCTTCTTCATGGTAAGCGGTCTGAGCTGGCTGATTATGATCATGGCTGATGTTGCATAGTCTCTGTATTGCCAAAACTCGCTAAAACCACATGCATGTTACATGTATTGTGGCATGGCTGTTCGAACTGCGCTTGCTATTGGCCTACCATCTGAGTCAATGTCGAACTCGGTCGAAGCTTGCAAGGCTGCACGAAGAACTTGGTGGTAAGTCCCAATCTCTTGACGTAATTTGTGCCTTGCTAATGGCCTGCAGNNGTGTATCTACTCTCACGAGATGTAAGCAACAAAGCTACGCTCATGTTGACTACTAACGCTAATATTCCGAATTCAGNNAGACATGTGTTGTTCTGCTGGGCGTTTGGACAGTCTGGGGAAACCAAGAAAGTATCCCATTCCACAACCTCAAATCAAGGCAAGTTAGACGAGCAGGCTCGAAGGAAAATCTGCTGACCAACAAAAAGTCCTGNNGGGTTCAGAGTCGAGCTCCGACCTGGCCTATCTGGAAGGATCTAATATCTCTATGATCAACGTAATGGTCGACTTTGCGGTCATACTGCGACGTATCTCCAAGGACATATACCATTGTCAAAAAGAGATAACTGCCTCACAGAAATCGACTGCTGCATTCTTCATAGACGCGCTCCTGGATCAGTGGAAGCTCGGTCTTCCGGCATGGCATAACTTCGACGTCGTCGACTTTCGAGAACCAGAATGGGCTGCAAAACAAAAACTTGTTCTTCAACTGCGCTACCTGAACGCTCGTGTTATCTTGCATCGTCCATTCCTATCAGACTCGACCATGGGAACCATCCAAGAGAGGCAAAAGCATATCGATCTGTGTCTCGAAGCAGCGCGCAAGACTATACAAATGTTATACGCGTCATACGCGAACAAGCACTATTTCCGCACATGGTGGTACAACTCGACTTACACCTTGTATGCTGGAATGATCGTGCTTTATGCTATCATGCTCGGACACAGCACTGTCGCGCACGACATTCTGCTCGATGATGTCAAGAAGAGTCGAGACATCCTGAGATCCATGGAAGAAGCAAGTGTGGCTCGTCGTAGTGCGGACTTGTTGAGCGAAGTTTTGGAGGTCGCTACTGCTTACACACAGCACAATCAGGATACAAGGGCCAACATACCCGCAGCACTTCCCGCAAGCAATGCTTCTGACGATCACGCACACCATGGGCCTTCTCTTTTGCCAGGTGAGATCAGTAGCACCAGCCTCGTCCAGGATCCGGAAGCATTCATGGCATCCTTGATCGACCCCAATATACTTCAAGATTTCACTATGGACTCGAACGATTGGACAGGCTTTGGCTTCTCCCCAACACTGGACGACTTCCAGGAAGCAAACGATAGTCGGAGCAATGTCTTTTCCATTAACAGTACTGAGTGGAGACATGCCACGACTTGATGAGTCTGACATATGTGAGCGACAAGGACAACACCCCAACATCGGCACTCATACTGGTGGTCTAAGGAATCTTTCCCAGCACATTGCCCGGAAAAGTGTTCATCATAGCTGGATAATATCAGAATTCTTTGGTCGGAAAACTGGGTTGTCTTCCGAGTTCCGGCTTAAACTCCCGACCCCACATACCTTGTCTTCTCGTCCACCCCACTTGTATGACTGACTCCAAGTGTTCACGCTCTACACATTGAACATCTCGGATGCAACAAACCTCTTGCCAGAGATCAAACATGGACACCTCCGCATTTGATGTCGACTCCAACAAGGTCTTGTTTGGCTCNAAAAGCGTCACCAAACTCCCTGACGAGATCAAAAGACTGGACAGCTCATCACCACTCATACTTACTTCAAAAGGAAAGAATGGAATAGTTCACGGAGAAATGCTGTCCAAGATTCTGACCGATGCCTCGATGAGTCCTGCCGCAATTCTCAATGTGGCAGTGATGCATACTCCGAAAACTGTCACAGAAGAAGCACTTAAACACCTCAAAGCTCGGGGATTCGATTGCATCGTATCCATCGGTGGTGGCTCTGTCGTCGGCTTGGGCAAGGCCTTGTCTATCCGTACTGGACTCAAGCATATATGCATACCCACAACATATTCTGGCAGCGAATTGACACCCATCCTTGGCGAAACAGAGAACGGTCGAAAGGTCACTCGCACCGATCCAAAGATCCAACCGGACTTTGTGATATACGATGTTGATCTCACAATGTCGTTGCCAGTTGCTACTTGCTCTTACTCAGGCGTCAACGCAATAGCTCATGCAGTGGAGTCTTTGTACGCCGTGAATACCACTCCGACCATTTCTAAGCTTGCTCTGGAGGGTATCAAGGAACTAGCAGAGGCACTTCCAGCAATCGTCCAGCATCCCGATGATCGAGCTGCTCGCGAAAAGGCTCAGCATGGTGCATGGCTTTGCGGTGTGTGTCTAGGAAGCTCTGCTATGGCATTGCACCACAAGCTTTGTCATACCCTCGGTGGTTCGTTCAACCTGCCTCATGCCGAAACACATACTATCATTCTGCCACACGCTGTGGCTTATAACGCTCCTGCCATCCCTGAGACAATGGAGAAACTAGCATCGATTCTGCCTGATAGTAAGGCTGATGCGATACAAGGATTGAATAGTCTGGTCGAGAAGCTAAAGGTATCTCGTGCGTTAAAAGAATTTGGCATGCAAGCAGAGGATATAGACAAGGCTACGGATATTGCAATGAGCATGCAGTATGCAAACCCAAGAGCGATGGAGAGAGATGGAATCCGAGAATTGATTCGCAGGGCATGGGCTGGCGAGCCGGCAAGAATTTGATCCTTGACTTGCTTTCAGAAAGAGATTGGCGACACACCCTCATCGTCGCACCGTTGCCAGCCAAGACCGCAAGCACCTGTAGCATGTTAGTACATCCTCTTGTATGAATAGAGTCATAATCACTTACAGGAACCACCGAAGGTTGCAGAGACATTGGCCTTAGAAGAGAAGTGGGCCGTGAGCCAGTTTTGCTAGCGCCGATAGAGTACAGAGAAAGACCCATCAGAATGCAGACCGTGTAGCTGGAACACTTAGAACCCTCAGCGGTGATGGGAGAGAAGATGAGGTGACCGCCATCTCCGAAGCACATGACCTGGAGACCAGTGGAGTCGAGCTTGGTGATACCAAAGCGCTGGATTCGAGCCATTGCATCGCAATCCAAGAGAATCAGGCAGCCAAATATTCAGATCCAATCTTGAGAACAGATGTTCGCTTCTCAAGAGGTGGTCTTGCATAGCGCTGGATGGCATCTACGCGGGCAGATGAAGTCGCAAGGCGAAAGTCGACGCTCGAAGGGAGCAAACTACTCAGTGCTTCCTTCCTCATCATCCTGTGCTTCTTCCCCAGCCTTCCCTTCCAGCCTCTTCTTCATCTCTTCCTTTTGTCTCTCCTTGACTTTTCTCGGCTTCTTTGCACTGATGGGTCCATCTGCGCTTCTATCCTTCCACTGTTGTACATTAGCGTTGTTCCTCTTGAATCACGGATATCGAGAACACGATTCACAGCATACCATTCCACCATATTTATAATATGGGTATTTGCCCTCCAAGCCACGAGCATCTTCCACACCTCCAGAGACAGACTTCCAACACGCGCCGGGACAGACGAAATGCCATTTTTGTGTTTCGTCGATTTGGCAGCGGATCAGGATATCCTTGGGTGTGGAACAGAGTGTACACGATTTTGTCATGGTGGATTGGCGAAAATAGGAGAGAGTGTGTGTGTTCAATAGAGGTGAGGATTACTCGTAGAGAGTGCGTAGTCGTTCCAAAAATCAATGACATCATCGTTGATTTTTGTTTAGACTGTTTTCTTTTGATGGATGCACATTTCTCGCATGCATGCTCTAGAGAAGCGATTACCATGTATGGGAGTTTGGCAGTAATGGTAGCATTGCGGGTATCAGAAAAATGGGCAGAGTGCTTTGCTACCTACCGAGCGCCAAAGGTCCAGTCGTCAAATTCGTCCTCGTCATCATCATCATCATCATCCTCCTCTTCGTCATGTTCTTGAACGTGTTTGTCATCCTNNGCAAATCATCTGATGTAGGGGCAGGGGCGTCTGGTAATGTATCTTGTTGCTTGGAAAGACGCAGAGCTTCCCTCTTCTCTCGCAAACGTCTCACTCTTTCATCCAATTCATCCATCTCGTCAAACTCTTGTTGTAGTGCGAGTGCGGCATCTTCGGTATCGGCCTCTATCTCGGCTTCTCTTGCGGTTCGCTGTGCGCTTTGCTCCTCGCGAGCTTTGGCAGCCAGCTCCTCGGCTGTGACAGGGGCGGCCGATATGGTGGCAGATGCGCTGATGATGGGAAGGGAAGTGGTTTGGGTGGCAGCCATCTCGCGCTCAAAGGCGGCCCATTCATCTTCATTCACGTCTGGCGCAGAAGGTGGTGCAGAATTGGTGGGCTGTGATTCGACGACAGGGGCGTCTGGTATTGACGGAACGGGTGCTGTGTCCACATCTTCGTCTTCGCCTTCATCCTTATCCGCACCCTGTTCAGCAGGATCGAAGAAGCCTTCAGGCACGAAACCTCCAGGTACGGCTTTGACTCTCTTTCTGCCCTCATCTTCGTTCTCTCCCGCCTTGCGTTTCCGGGTCGTTGCTGGTGCTGGTGNGGGGTTTGCGCGCAGATGATCTAGTCGAGCAACATGTTGAGGTGATTTGATGTGATTCTCCCAGAGCGATTCGGTCTTGATTTGAACGTTACAGACGGCGCATAGCAGTTTGCCAGACTCCGAATAGTTTGCGTGAGGGTGGTTGACGCGGCGCGAGGCGCGCTCATTACGCANGAGCGAGCGCACGTCTGCCATTTGCACTGGATGTGGAAGATGTGTTGACGTGCGTGAGATCGTGATGGCGCGTGGCAGTCAGATGGTGTGCGAGTTGTATTCTGACGATTGCTTCCAACTTTTGCATCGCAAACGCATCATTTCGCCAAGAAAGGGTATGTCAAGCCCTCCCTGTCACCCCTGTTTAGCGTTTCTGGACAAACAAACCCAATATCATCATGATCGTGTGATGTTTGCTACATGGCCGAGTCGAGTACGGCTGCACTCAATCGACACTTGGTCTCTCAGGTTGTGCCATGATGATGTCGGTTTTGTTGCTGGCCAAGGCAGCCTGTTCTTGTTTGATGCCGGCTGAAAGTCTGCCCTGGCGGCCTTCATCTATTTTCGCTCGGTCACAGCCGCTTTCCGAAGACGCAACTCGAGACACAGAATTGACCGGTCGAAGGCATGCGAATGTCTTGTTGATGATGTCTTCTGGCCCCTGCCATCCACGTGTTCGATCCGACAAAGCCACCGGCTACATCGCCGAAGGCAAACCCTATCAAAGGTATCATTCAATATATCGCACTACCAGCTTGCCATAGTGTTCCGGTCTCGCTTCAACAATCTTCAGGACTTTTTTTTACCAATGAAGTGCGTATGCGGACCAAACTCCTCCCCAGGGTTGTGATCGTCCACGCCACGTGTGACTCGGTGCGAGAACTTGTCAGAACACCTGGTGGCACTCTCACGACTCGCGACCATCCCACAGCCTTACGGATGACCACCTGCACTTTACAATGACTCCACGAGATACAGTCAGCCCGGCTGTGCCCTCGAGGGCTGCTTCTCTGCCACTTTATACACTATATCAACGCATCGCAAGCGAACAGGGCTTACTCGCGCACAGTGGCCGCATATCCGTGATGATAAGGAAGCACCGAAGGATCAACGGATCAACTCCGTTGGCGGTCGACGCTCCGTTCCCCCAGCGGAAATCTCACCGAGTCGACTAGTATCTCGATCCTTGGTGAACATCGTAATATCGTATACGGAACCCGATTTGACCGTCTGTCAAGGAGGAGTCCACTCTTGAGGGTCAGCCCATGCAAAGAAAGCTTGGCTGCTTGATATGAATGTGCAGAGCCTCGAAAGCCAAATCCCGAGGGGTCAACGGGCTTTGCATTTCGGAATCGTATACGATACCTTGCTCACTCACGAACGCAAGGTACAGAAGCAATGTACGTTTTGGCTACATCCAAGCTGAATATACCAGCCGTGTGGTGGGTGTGTACGTGCCCTATAAGAGAGCACTCTAGAATTGTGCTGGAATACTTGTGACAGGCAACGGTGTCCCCAGAGTGTTGAATTTAACTTTGGACAAGAGTGAACTGTATGCAAGCTTGTTTGGGAAACCTTTGCCGACTCGTCCCAAAACGCAAAACGCGCTCCCAAACTGCCCCTGGCGCTCACGAGACCGACGTCATTCCGCGAGTGTTTTCCTCATCTCGCACCGACGCTTCTTGTTGGAAAAAGTCTGTGGTGCTGGGGCGCTGTCGTATGCCTTGCACACCTGAATCTGAAAGGACAAAACTTGCAACAATGTGATGTATGAGCCGAACCCTGGGTGTCGAAAAAGAGATGACAGTGGCTGTCACGGGTCTGTCATTAATCCGAGTCAACAAAACTGCATGCAGGCACATGCCGATCGATGATATGCAGGTGAGTGGACATGTTTAGACGGCTAAGCAATCCGAGCGTCTATTTGACAACGTGCGTGCGTCTCCACCAATCCATCAGGTTAACCTTTGCTTTGGTGCTTCGAATATCTACCCTCTTCGTGCCCGCCCCGCTTCACAAGACCATTTTCACATTGCTTGACCGACTTGACCTTAACACAGTCTACCATAATACCAAAACTTCACACTTGCAAAAAGTCCTCCACGATGCTACAACACGCTCAGATGTCCCATGCCTTCCAGTCGACGGCTACTGGTGTAAGTATTGTTGCTGAGAGTCTCCAGAGAGCATGGCTTATTGACATCGTTCAGGGCCGGACATATCAAATCTCAAAACTGCCAGAGCTGGACTACGCCGTCAACGTGAACGTATTTCGGGATATCCTGGAACTAGACGACGAAGACGAACAGTACTTTACTCGCTCATTAGTATGCGACTTCTTTGCTCTCACTCACCGGACTTTCACAGAGATGGATGCATGCCTGTCAGTATACGTTAGAAACTGACTTTCATGAGTGATACTAACTGGTTAAATCAGAGAGAGTCAAGATGTCAAACAATTATGGAGCAAAGCCCGATACCTCAGAGGTCCCAGTGCGACTTTAGGAATCTACAAGGTCGAATTGAGTTGTGCTCGGATTGAGCAAATGACAGCAGTCGCCGACACATTCCAAACCGAGGGCGAGTCGAGGACGACGCTATGCAACTCGACAAGGATCCTGTTAGATCAGGCCAAGCAACACTTCGCCGAGGCAGAGAACGCATTACGGCGTTTCTATGGAATGGAATGACTGAACGAGGCGTGCCCAAAGAGCGGCATCACCATCTTACGACCTCTCAACTTTAGATTTGATACCGAGGATTTAATGACACGATGGCTGGATCCATCGATTACCATAACACTCGCCAACATGTCGTCTGGCTTATGAGAGCAGTGACGCCGATTCCTACAATCTATATTCATGCTGATTTGTGGCGTAATGCCTGCACCGCTCCACCAAAGCATCGCTTCCGCCAGAAGTCATTGCGAAGATTCGACTTCGGTCTGCCAGGAGGTGGGCTCTTTTTGGGCCTTGGACCATCGTACTGAACAATTAAAACATCAGAAATGAGTCTCAAGACATCGGACCGCGAATACTCACATCCACAAGCGTTGCACAGCGTCTTTGAGCCTAGGGGCCCTCTCCGCCATTCTGGAGAATCGGTAGTGCCGCATTCTTTGCACAGAAACTCGTGCGCGATTTCTTGTTTGCGCTTCTTGGTGCGTGGCTTTGCTGTCCAGGCACCGGTTTCCTTCATCGTCTGCAGGCGTGATGTGGTGATTTCGATCCCTATATCGCCCACTACAGAGTCTGTTTGTGGCTTTGTGGAAGTGGTCGATTCGGAGAAACTTCTTTTGCTGCGGGACACTACCGATCCTGATACAGAAAGCGTAGTCGATAGAATTTCCGAGTCTGACACTTTTTTTTGAGGGCTGTTTATTCCTTGTTAGTTGCCGTATGATTGATAAAGAACGTAGACGTATGTGCAATAGAAATTTTGCATCAGAATCGCAATCTCGTTCTCCTGATAGCATTATAGTTCTGCTGAGATCCTTTCCTGATCGAAATTTTTGCCAGTAGAACTAGGTTCTAGAAACACNNTCACTGTCGTAGCATTCGCCGTCGTAGTCTCGAGTTTGAAGGTTGCACATTGGACTGTGGTGTCGTCTTTCTCAACACTAGCTGTCGTGGTCGATAATGTGCTTTCATAGAACTCCTCGGCTTCTCCTTTTAACCATGCCAGCTGGTTGGATAGGCGGATGTTTGTGGTATAGTGTTCGAGGAACGAGTCCATCAAGGTTGTACTCGTGATCTGATAAGGCCGTGAAGTCATCAAGCACAGCTTGTTGCCTGTTTTGGAACCAGTCTTGTCGTCCATGGTGTTGTCGGTGTATGGTTTGAAGGTCGACTCAAAAGGCTTGTAGGTGTCATCTCCTTGTCGTAGTCGATGATGGCTTCTCCAAGAGTCTCCTAGTGCCATGTTTTCCTTCCACTCCATCAGGAACACAGGTATATCGTCGACATTCATGTATGTGCTGATGTAACGTCCAACAAGAGTTTCAGGCTTGATCTGGATGAGCGAGAAGCTTTTGGNAGAAGCATACAACACACGACCATCTTCAGCCAGTACCAGCAGTAAGTCTTCGATGCCATCAACTACTTTCTGATGGAACTCAGCAGAGCGATCAACCGGCAGACTGTCAATCTCGATCTGGAAATTGGGCACCATGGTGGCTTTTCCTAGACGCTTCCTGATACAGTATAGAAGTAGAATCGGCGATTTCGTTTTCGTAGAAAGGGACGAGAAACAGACAAGACGATAGAGAAGTCAACGATTGGGTCCTCACGAGGAGAAATACCTCCATGGTGTGCCTGGCGTCCGTGCCTCAAGGTACTGGCTCACAAGCCGCTTAGGCATCGTTTGTTAGACCACCATACAAGGGAATGGCTTTTCCGGAGCCTATCACCGTCGTTTCTTTTTTTGATTCAAGTGCACAAGACAGCAGAGGCTCAATCAACTTTGACAGCTTATGCTCCCCTCATCACGCTAACGCCGCGCCCTGAACAACACTCTGAAGGAAGAGGATCCACCACTTGGCGCACACGACTCTTTCCTGGCCAAACAATCCTCGCACATTTCACTGGTCGATCGCAGTAAAATTACCGCAGACACACTCAGTGATTGGACCCGGCAGCATGGGAGAGCGACGATATGCGAGGGACTTTTCAGCAAACGTTTACCGACTTGGCGGAGCGAAAATACACGGCGAGCCAGTCCGAAAGTCGCTTGTGGACTCGTTCTCGCATGCCATCGCCCATCGGCGCATATCCGGTGCCCTCCGAGGTCGCGAAACAAATCCGAAAGTCAGGCCATGCCATTCTAGACAATCCCATCACCGATCTGAAAACCAAAAGGGGATAAGTGGTTGTACAACGACGATACAGCAAAGTAAAGGGCGCAGCGGCAAGAGGTCGAGAACTTTTGCGTTGCATCAGAGCCGCGGAATGATCGTCAGACCCTGGCGTTCTAGATCTCCTGTGTGCCTCTTTTTGCATGAGAATTGAAACAGCGATTCACGATGGCGGAGGGCTGCTGTACCCCAGACTGCTCTCAGTCATTTTGCTGCCTCGCGCGACGAGGGAGACGTGAACTTGTCTTCGAAACCCAAGACCACCACCTCAAACCTCAGCAAAAGTCGCAATAGTCTTGTCAGCAAAGAACCAATTCCCACGTGCACCTCTCGGGTACCTGTAACACTTCCGTGCCGCACCTGTCCAGCTAAACATCGATGATCCAAAGTAGTCACGATCGTCGTCATGTCGCTTCTAACCACCGGACTGTTATACACGCGGATCGTGGCTTGCCAGGTTGCCAGGCAATGATATCATGATGCAGTTCGGTGATTCGAAAATGGGAATGGTATTCGGAATGGGCGTTCAACAACCGACCGATTGTTTGCCTCGAGACACGCAGAGTATCGCGATTTGGTATGCAATCGGTGCAGCACGCTTGCGCGGCCGAGAGCCACTTGTGTCACCAGCTTCATGCTAGCACGAAAGACTCCATCAACAGCTCACTTCAACGAGAGAGAAGCACGACTGCCGTGAGATGCTTTCTTTGTTTGAGGCTTTGAGCGGTATCGCTGACTAGTCTATCACAGGGTTGATCTGAAGATGAAGCCTCTGGGAGATCATTTTCCCTTCAATGTCTTCGAACGCCAGTCAACGACAGTGAGCATGACCTTTGACGCGCCTGCTTCACATGAGCATGTTGCACAGAGGGTGGTGCTAAGTTCGATCGAGGTGTATGTTGAATCAACTAGCCACCACTCGAAGCAGTTTACATCAAAGTTGGTTCTGTGGTGTAGTTGGTTATCACTTCTGTCTAACACACAGGCGGTCCCCGGTTCGAACCCGGGCGGAATCATCGTTTTGAACGTCTTCTGTATCGTTTTGAAATGGTGAGAAGTTGGGAGGCTTCAAAATTTTTGCAAAATTCGGCAAAGTACGGGCAAGCTTGGCCGCACCCCGACGCCAGCAGATTCTCAAGAGGTGTGTCTTCATCTTTTAGGTCGTGCTTGTGTTCATCTTGAATGTGGTCGTCCCGTTAATACTGGTGATAGGGGTAAGGTATAAAAAGTTGATAGAGAGCCAGAACAGTTGCAGCGGCACCCGATTCAAGTACCAGGTCTTTCTGCCATCACTCAGGGCCTTGAGAAGAGCCGGATTCATCGTTGACACATACAACATATGTTCTAGAGAGTCTTCTCATCCAGAAGCAGATATCAGGCTTCACCATGCCACTTGACCGACATACTCAAGCACTGGTTTGCGTTTCACTCAACAACAAAGCATGGTCACAGAGGTATATGCTAACCCGCTCGACGGCTCCACCAAGATCCTGAATCTGGCCAACCGGATTCAACCCTTACAAGCTAAGGTGATGTGGTGTAGTGGTAGCATGTGTCGTTGTGGAGGTTAAATTCCAGCAACGCCGACCCGACGGCGGTTCGATTCCGCCCATTGCCAGGATCGTATCTCTTTTGTCCATTTCGTTATATCGCTTTTGCGTGGTGAGAGAGATAATTGGCTGAAAGTTTTGGAGCCTGAGGTTGGTAAGGCACGTGCGTTGCTTGTGCTTGGCACGCCGGCTACCACTCGAGTATCTTTTGTATTTCCTCCCTCGCTTGACAATGCTCTATGCTGGATGACAGATAGACATGAAAGCTGACGACTAGAAGAAATTGTAGGAATTCTCTCTCAGAGCTTCGTGTAACATCACTAGGAAGGATACTTCCTTGCTCTTGCATAGACAGATCATGTCTTTTAACAACACTTGAAAGACTAAACCTTCGCCGGCTCGCTAGCCTATGTCCTACAAACCAACTACATTACGGTCCTGCCGGTTTATTACATATTAGAAAACTTTACCGTACATGTCAGTCATGAGAAGAGGTGTACTCTAGAGGAGATACAAAAAGATGTGATCCAATAGACAAGTAGTTGGCGATAAACGTAAGCCGAACAGACAATTAGAATAAGTAGGAGCCAAGCATACGCTAGAGTCGTAATCTTGTAACATCGGCGGCTACGCGGGGACGGGTGGTAGAAGTCATCTTGATTTGGATTATAATATGTGGTAACAAAGGGTAAATAGAGAGTTAAAGACCAAGTAAGATGTGATAAACAGGAGTAAGTAGTGTGACAAGAAGGACAAAGAGATGTTATAAGAATCTATTAGTTACGGAGGTACCAAGAAGCCTTGTCAAGAAAGAAGTAAACATCATAGTACCTCCTGTGTGTTGGTGTTTCCGTCGGGTGCCGTCTTCCTTTTGTTTCTCGCAGAGTGCTTTTTCGGCCTCGGATGGAAGAACAGGAACATGTGCCGAAGGATTAGTAACTCCTTGGACGACGCTGAAACGTACGTCTGTTGGGTCATCCTTGAAGTCCGTACAGAACTCCACAGCAATCTTGCAGAAATCAATCTTGCCATCAATCGATTGTTGGTTTGTCGATTGCCGAGAAGTAACCACCACGTGGGCCACGCTTTCGAAGTTAGTGGAAAACTCAGTAACGTTGTCCAAGACCAATTTATCGTATATTCGCAGCTTAAACTGGTAAATAAATGGAATTGATCGTGAGAAATTAGATGCCTATACAATGGGTTAGCAAAAATACACCTTTGCTGGACACTCTGTGTTCTCTGAACACTGCTGATCTGTCCATGCCACCCGATCGAGGAAAGGCATGCTGCCTATGGAAAGGCATCTTGTGATGATTTGACGAGGAACAAAAAGTTGATACAATACGAATGAGCGAGAAATGAGTCGACGGCCAACTTTCGAAAATTGATAGAGGACAACTGATTATATTAATGGAAGGAGCGACATGGTGTCATGGTAAGAGCACCAAGGAAGGGACCCATCGCTGACTTCCTAACCATGCGTATCCAGAATTGGAAGGCATACCCCTTTCCTGACACATCGCTTGTCAGTCTTGGGCCCAACACTTGCAAAACATATGGTGCATATATCTACATATCGAAAGGTCGTTATGATTTCGCAAGACGATCGGTAATGTCGACTGGAGTGTTTGCTTCAAAAGAGATTCAGCGCAGCAAAGTTGTTTGCGGCAACAAAAATCATAACAGTGGAAGGAATAGGACCTTGCAGAGACCAGCTCGTCTGTAAAGCATACACCTCGCGAATTTACTCCATCATATCAGCCCAGGACTTCTTCTCCGTGCCAGGAGTGTCATCAATGTCGAGCTGCTCAAGCTTCGTCTTTGTCGGGAAGGCCATGGTCGGTGGCGGAGCGGTATCAAACTTGGGAGCTGAGGCCGAGCCAGACAGATCTGGGAAATCTGTGGGCTTTGGTACAGATTGAGAGGGTTGTCTCTCTTGCTGTGGGCCACGTCCACCTCTACCGGGGCCACCACCACGACCTCCTCGTCCACGGCCTCTGCCTCTGCCCCGATCCTCGCGATACATGTACTCGCGTCCATCAGTGTAGTCTTCTTTGTCGCCGCCAAAGCCCTCACGAGAGCCATCTGGGTTCCGTTGACCAGCGATTCCTCCATGTGCACCACGTCCTCTGCCACCAGCCTGCCGAGGACCTCCGAAGGCATCTGCATCGTCAGGCTTCTCAGCATCCCATTCCCTACCGCCCACAGCCTTGAGTTTGCGTAACCTGTTCTTTTCTCTTTCGCCCATCATTTGTTGTCTGTCTCTTCGTTCTTCTTGTCGACGTTTGGCTGCGACTTCTTCACGCTCGGCAAAGTCGGCGGCATCTGCTTCAGCTCTTGCGTGTGCGGCTGCAAGCTTCTCATTCTTGAGCGATATTCTTGACATCTTCTCGGCCAACTCTTGTTCACTGAGCTTGGGCTTGCGAAGGCCTCCAGTGGCGGTACGGTCACCGCGTACAGAGTTGGTAGCTGGCTTTGAGGGTTCGGCGGTAGCAGCTGACGGTGGTTGTTCTTGCTTGTCAGCTGGGCCATCTTTTGATTGCGGCTCCTTCTTGTTACGGTCTTGGTTGTTACGGCGAGACTCGTTGTTGTTGTTGCGACGAGGTTCATGGGTCTTGCGGTCTGAGTTGGTACGGTCCTGTTGGCTGCGGTCTTGGTCGTTGCGATTCTGTTGGCTGCGGTCTTGGTCGTTGGGATCCTGGTTATTGCGATCCTGATTATTGCGATCCTGGTTATTGCGACCCCTGCCTCTTCCCCTTCCTCGAGCGCCTCCACGTCCACCGCGAGCTGGTGTCGAAGTCGTAGGTGTTGGTGTTGACTTTGCAGGGGCTGTTGCTGATTCTGACACCACCTCAGTAGTCACAGTTGGTACTTCTGCCTCTGGTTGGTTGCTTGGTTCTTCTTGCTTCTCTGGTTCGGTGGTATGATGGACCTCTTGATTCACGGGTTGTATTTCATGGCTGAACAGATCATCTCCACGTGTCTGCATTGACTGGTCGTACTGGATATCGTCAAACAGATCATCTTGCTGTGCTCCTGTCTGTGCAAACTCGTCCATGTTGTTATCTGTATATAGTTCTGTGAACTGTTGTCAATGACTGGCAACAGGAGAGGTCATTGAAGCTTCCAAGTTCAAAGTGTCCAAACCTCGGGACGTCATTTGTCCGAGCTCGTTTCACGTTTCTCCACGCTTTGGCTTTGTATCATCAACTTTCTTTCCGTTTCACCAACCATTTCGCAGTTCACACCATGGACGCGCCCGATCGCAAGAGACTAAAGTCGACGTACAAGGCGGCACAGGATCTCCCGCTGCTGCCGTCGGGCTGGACCGAACACACGGCTCCAACAGGTACCTTTTTCATGTGAAGGTTGCCAGCTCACGACACCCACTGACGCGCTTTAGGCCACAAATACTACTACAACACGGCGACAAAAGCCTCAACATATACACGACCAGCCGCCGCTCCTGCAGTCCCTACTCCGCCTCAAGCCCAGCCCGCCTATTCTCCTCCGCCGGCTACCTTCCCTCCAGCTCAGTACAACCAAACCCCTGCTGCCCAATACAACCCAAACCCTGCCGCTCAATATGGCCAATCCGCCGCTGCATACAATCCATACCCATCAAATGCTCAGTATAATCCATATCCACCATATGGCCAGCCTGCAATCAACTCTGCTGCTCCCTCTCACGAGCCACGACGTCGACCACAGCCCCAAGATCGCCCAAAGCGCAAAGAAGTCATTCCTGATTGCAAGCCATGGGTCGTTGTCTATACCAAGCTTGGACGACGCTTCGTCCACAACCCCGAGACCAACGAGAGTTTCTGGAAGTTTCCAGACGACGTCATGAAGGCCGTTGTTGAATTCGATCGCTTAAAACTGGATGACAAGCTCAAGAATCCGGACGAGGCCAGTGGTGCCAACAAGGCCCCTGTAACAGAACGCGCTCCTAGGCAAGAACCAGCAAAGGCGCCTGAGAAACCGTCTGAGAAGCCTGAGGACAAGGCCAAATCGCAAGAACCGGACAAGCCACAAGAAGATGCCGCTGGATCCGACTCGGAGTACGAGGAAATCGAAGTTACAGATGACGAGGACGAGGAGGGCGGTGCGCCGCGACAAGAGGAAGACGGCGCAGAAGCCGAAGATGGACCTCTCGAATTCGATGAGGACGATATTGCCTATCAGCTGGCTGCGATGGAAGACTCGTACGGCCTCGATCGTGGCGAGTTTGGAGGTGGTGGTGAAGACGAATATGAAGAGGGCATGGAAGGCATCCCCCTGACCGACGAGGACGGCGCAGCATTATTTTGCGACATGCTCGAGGACCAACACATCTCGCCCTACATACCTTGGGAAACTCTCATCTCCGACGGCCGCATCATAGACGATAGCAGGTACACTGCTCTACCAACCACAAAGCGCAGGAAAGAAGTTTGGGGCGACTGGACTCGTACCAAGATCGTACAAATCCGCGAACAAAAGGCCAAACAGGAGAAACTGGACCCACGCATTCCCTACTTGTCTCTACTGTCTGAAAAGGCAACGCCAAAGCTCTACTGGCCAGAGTTCCGCAGGAAATATAAGAAAGAAGATGCTATGCGCGATGCAAAGCTCGGTGACAAAGAGAGGGAGAAGTTATACCGCGAACACATTGCTCGTCTGAAGCTTTCGTCCTCACAGCTGAAGTCGGATTTGGTTGCTCTTCTGAAGTCTCTACCCCTCAAACACCTGAACAGAGACACCAGACTCGAGAATCTACCCAAGGATCTTTTGATTGATATTCGATTCATCTCTCTACCTCCCAAAGCTCGAGATGATCTACTGGAAGCCCACATCTCTACTTTGGCACCCGCGCCGGATGAGGAGGAAGCAGCAACCGAGGAGGAGAGAGCAGAGCAAGACAAACGAACCAAGGAGAGGAGACGAAGGGAACAGGCTCTGAGGGAGAGAGAACAGAAAGTTGAAGAAGAGAAGCGAAAGAGAGAGAGGGATTTGGCCTTTGGACGTGGTAGATTAGGTGAGACTGAGAGGGAGTTGGAGATGGCCATGAAGGTCGGGAGAAGCGGGTTAAGAGCGCAGATTGACGAGGCCAAAGAGGTCGAGGAGTAGATCGAGCATCCAATAGTCTTGATGACCTCTGGAATGACCAGTTAGCATCGACATGTGTATGTCACATCAAGAGATTACGAAAGCTTGTGGTGAAATTGAGGTAGTTCTTTGTGTTTCTTTCAGATATGGCAAAGTCAGATGCTGGACGTACGACCCGGACTCTAATAATTTATTCCTCTCGACACGGCCCTACACCATGATAACCACTTGATATCACATAAAAGCAGTCACAAAGACTACTTGTATGTTTGTCCATGTACCGTGGAGTGCTTAGTTGTGCCCTGTGTGTCGATGTATGAAATTGGACATTGATCTTTTTTTCACTACTATCCCGCACACAAACACAATAGGTATGCACGGGACTTCACCGCGACCACTACCACCACCTCAAAAGATTGTAAAAAGGCCGATTGATCCAAGGGTACAGATACAGCCTTCAATGTTTTCATTCCAGAAACAGGTTCATAGATTTGATGTTTGTCTTGAGTGTTTCACACCGTCTCGTGTTTCTCCACAGAATCATACAATATATAGTGAGCTGAAGCAATTTTTCACATCAAGCCTCGATAGTATAACGGCTAGTACGAAGGTCTCATATCGGTCATCAATATGACCAAGCATGGCTTGGGTAATCCTTAGATGGGAGTTCGATTCTCCCTCGAGGCATTTTTTGTTTTCCTGTGGGCTTGTCTTGTATGTGCAGCAAACTTTTTCTGCTCGCTCGGTGGAAGCAAGAAAAAGTGGGGCGGAGGTGTGCATGAAATTGATCTGTGCCTATCGTATAAAGTTATGCAGAGGGAACTTGGCTGGAGAATGCGGACTTCATGTGTTGCCTGCATTTGCCCAAGAACTACCGTCACTTCCATGGCGGCACGGAGAGCATTAAACACATGCAAAACTAGCTCCAGTGGTTCCGTTGACCTTATGCCAGCACTAGCCTCGACAGCTATGCCTTCTCTAGCATCTGGCTAAACGACGACAACTTCTGTCTTTGACGACATTGCCTTGGACAGCACTGCTCTCGACAAATCTCCTTGATATCTCTTCTTTCACAGCTATCTTTCCTATCACCAACAACAGCAACTAGAAGAACAAACATCCACTGGATCATCTCAAAGCCGCCATCTTTTGCATTGACAAGCTTCACCGGTGGGACCAAACCAATCTTCTACGTCTCTTGCTTCTCTTCAAATTCGCAAATAGCTGTAGTACACACAACAAGTCAGGTCCGCTCACCGGCAAGTTCAATCAGTCGAAGTGTTTTGCCAAATCACAAACTGTGGCTAGCTTGGAGTGGCTAACGAAAAACATGATGCTGTCCAATGGGCTTCATGTGCTTGTCAATCAATGAAGAAATCCATCGTAGTAAAAGAGTTACCAAGTAAAGATAGTAAGCTCAGAAACCAATGGCATGTAACATGATGACCCATCGAGTCCATCCACAAGTAGGTTTTAGCAGCACCTTCCATGCTAATATGGCTTTGTTTCACTTTGTTGGGGAGAATTTGCACCTTCCTTCACACAACACTGTTGCGTCGTCCTGCGCACTTTCCTCCTCACCACTTCGCATCAGGCAAACGCGTGCCTTGAGCATTCGCTTCTTCAATCTCAAACTGCACACCTCTTCATCACAACCTGACCAACAATTTAACGCAAACATCACACAGCTTTGCGTGACATCAATCGTCAACGCGCATCTTCACCATCATGACCAGCATCACCAAGCTCCCGAAAGAGATCTGGCTTGGGGTCTTCTCACATCTCGACTACACTGTGCTCAAGACTTGCATGCGCGTCAACAAGGAGTTCAAGTCGTTCACCGAGTTCCCCGCTTGCCAGAAGGAGATGTTCCGTTCCAAGGCAGTCATCCAAGAGGGAGGCACCATCGATCTAGACAATCTTCGTCTACATCCAGCATTCGACTACATGTCGTACTTTTGCACTGGAGAGCTTGCAGATGTGGAGTTCCACAACAGCGACTACACCAACACAACTGTCCTTACTAAGACTTGTGCTGCTGAGGAACATGCTACCGACCCTCCTGTCGCATACATCCGCATCCAGATCCACTCGTGGAAGCCTATGCAAATCAAGAACAAGACGGGCGTTACGGTCTATCAGGTCATGAGGTCTCTCTGCCGCTTCTTCTCCCAGGCCGACTACCGTGACAGACTGGGCGATCACTTTGTTTGGAATGGCTGGGATTTCAGACACCTCGACGACGAAGGCCGTCTCTTCCTCCCGAAGTTCATGTTCGATTCCTGATCGGTGAGTCTACATTACCTTGAGATGGTTGCTACAAAGGATACTGATTTATGGAGAGTATCGTTTGTCCTCTTCTCATATTGGGAGGGCTTAACGTGGAAACCTTCATGTCCACGTCAACATACAAAACATCATCCATCATGACAGCAAAACTTACGACGGTTGTGATACGACATCCTCAATTCCATACAAGCATGAGTATGTTCTTACTGCTACACTTGCTCGCAAATATCTGTATAACAACAATGAGCTCAAATCGATTTCGATATTGCTTTCGACACCAATCCCACGACCTGACGAAGACCGCTAAGATCCTACCACCTGTTCGTAGTGTGAGGTAACAGAGGGCAAAACTGTCATGATTAGCGTTGTATTGCAATCATGGAGGTACTCTGGTCGCTCCGATGCCTCGAAGGCAACCTCAATTAGCTATTCTGACCAGACAAAATCGATATTCAAACCTTCAATTCACCACGTCAATGAATTCTCTAGACTCAAGTCCGCATGTCACGCACTCTGGATCATCTCAAGCTGACCCAAGAGATAGGAAAGCAGATCTCGCGCACCTGCTTCCGCCAGCGGGCAACGGCATCTTGGTCCTGGGCGAGCACCATCTGATCCTACAGTCCAGACGCTCAACAGACAAACCTAATCTGAGTTGCCTTTTATCCTTGGTACTGTTGGCCAAGACGTAAATTCATCTTTGGCACCTGCGAACGCGAGCAATGAACGCAAAACGAGGGTTCGACGATGTGCTTGTCGAAGACTAATACCGTTCGTCATCAACAGAATCGCCTCCACCATCATCTTGCATACGGAGGTCCTCCTTTTCAACATGCCGCCTCGGCTTGCCTCTCTTTCTTGCGTCTGATGACCTTCTCGAAGATCGACAAGATACATGGAAGAAGTCAAAATCATGGCCGAGGAACCCCTCACGCAAACGAGCAAAAGCATGGAAAAAAGAAATCATGCATGATGCGGACATGGTATGCGGCTCCGGTATCTAAGGGAATGTGGTCACGCTACCACAGGCAAGTAGATCGTCATCCCAGCACTGAATCGATCTCTGCAGACACAGACTGGGTTCACCCCCAGCTGAAGAAGCATGGTTTGCAACCCTCCCGAGGCAGGCTGTTCTCTCTCTCCAGATCACCCCATCTCCACGGGGTGAGTTAGATGGGCAGGATAGGCGGTGGGAGAAAAGAAGCGACCACGGTCCACGGCGGCCTCCCCATTGCCCAATCGGCCCGCTTTTGTCTTTGTCGAGGGGTAGCGCTATACCAAGTGGACCCTCCCCATACCCAGTTCCAACTCCCCCGTCGTTTTGCGCGAAACATTATTGACGGTGGGGAAATTATTTGACGCAAAACTTGGAGTCAACCCGGGCCTCAACTTATCGATTTCTGGGAAACATCAAAAGCTATGAGAAGCCTCAACTGTGATTGCCGGAGTCTCTGCACCCTAGGCATGCGGATAGCCAGCCACACTTACAACCACCATGACAATGAGGCAAGTTTTGGCACGATGAGTTAAGGTCAACGGAAAGTTGGCTTCGAAAAGATCGAGAAGACTTCCCCTTGGGGAACCCCCCGACAACCGTGTCTAGCCGTGATATGATCTTCGGCCCGACTACCTCATCGGTCTTCTCCTAGCGCGACATCTCCACGAAACCCCACGAAACCTGGCGAGATTAGCCGCCTACTTAGCGTGATCCAGACCGCTTAACTTTCCTAGACGCGCCGCTGTGAACCTTGCTCATACTTGATGAGCAGTCGAGTCGATGGGTAAGACCGCCCAGAGGTTGAGACAATCCAGCATCGCCAAGGTCAAGAAACAGACAAGACATTCACTGCGAAGTCAAGCATATCGAACATGAGAACAATGCTTGTACCATTGGTCTCGAACGCATCGAGCCGCAACATACCGTTCCAGCTCTCGACCCACGAGATACTACCAAATCCTTCGGAGGGTGCCACTCACCGTGCGTGCCGTTACCAGACTTTTACGCTGTTCATGCATCAGCACGACAATGGGCGTTTATGGCACCCCCTTGACTCTGACTAGCAGCCACAAGTTGGAAAAAAAAACCTGTGAGATGATGTTGACAGCCGCAACGTTATGCAATTTCAGCTAATTGCCGGAGCTATGCAGTCAGATTGATGTGGCGTAATCCGAGCTGTTCTGCAGGCCGATAGGATTTCTCACCGAGGGGAGTCCTGCATGCATACCGAGTCCGATGCACGAGAAATCTTGAGCACTGAGCGGTATGTTCATGCACGAGCAACTGTTCCCCCAGAGAGCTACGGCCAACTGGTAAGCGGTAAGCAAGACATCTTGCCAGTTTACGCTTCACTACTCGTGCCAGATTTCATGAATCGTTGGTCGGATCGGCGAGCGATTGTTGGCCAGCCTGCCCATCCCCCACGGATCCCCAGCTCTTCAGGACTGAAGAAGGACCGATTGTCGTCTGGAGACCATCTGGAGTCCTGCAAACCCCAGCAAATCCCCAGGCGAACTCGTGCTTCGGACCGAATACTCATGTCTAGCGCATGCCGGCTGCTGGCCGTTGGCCCGTTTGAACGCTAAACTTCGTCGTTGCATGGTCTATGCATGGGACTAGACGGTACGTGCTTGTCCAGATCTGGAGTCCCCATGGGTTTGTAGAATGTAGCAACATAGAGAGGCAAGCAGTATAAGTACCAGCTCTTCCTCCTGTCAAACAACAATCATCATCCAGCATCAATCAGCAGATCCAAGTCTCTCATTCAGACTCTTCAGTCTTTCTACCATCGTTCATTCTTTTGAATAAAACACCTTCATTACCAAGGATCTAGCTCATTGCTTCTGCACCCACCAATCCTTTCACCACTACTACTACATCAACAATCGTAGCAATGGCTGGCGGCGGTATTCCCATCGCTACTACCACCATCGCTGGTGGCTTCCTCACTGGAAAGAAGCTCATCTTCCCCATCGCCCTCATCACCTCGCTCTTCTTCCTCTGGGGTTTCTCTTACGGTCTTCTCGATGTCTTGAACAAGCACTTCCAGAATGTCCTCGGTATTACGAAGCTTGAGTCCACCGGTCTCCAGGTCATGTACTTCGGTGGTGGTTACCTCATCTTCTCCCCCATTGCCGCTGAGGTCCTCAAGCGTTTCGGTTACAAGGTCTGCATTCTGATGGGTCTTTCTCTCTACTCCATCGGTGCTATCATGTTCTGGCCTACTGCCCACTTCTCTTCTAAGGCCAACGCCTCTGCATCCTTCGGTGGTTTCTGCGCTTGCACCTTGGTCATTGCCTGCGGTCTTGCTACCCTCGAGACTGCTGCCAACTCCTACGCCGTTGTCATTGGTGACCCCAAGACTGCTTCTCCTCGTCTCCAATTCTGCCAGGCCTGGAACGGTGTTGCTTCCTTCATTGGTCCCCTCATCGCCTCCAAGGCTTTCTTCTCCGGCAAGAACGCCAACAACCTCACCAACGTCCAGTTCGTCTACCTCGGTGTTGCCTGCCTCGGTGTCGCTGTTGCCATCCTGTTCGTCTTCGCCAAGCTCCCTGAGGTTGCTGAGGAGGCCAGACGCAACAACTCCCTTGTCGAGCCCGAGCACGATCTTGAGGGCCGTGAGATTGGTCAGGGCAGCATCTGGAAGGAGTACAACATGCTCTTCGGTTTCGTTGCTCAGTTCTGCTACGTCGGCGCCCAGGTCACCATCGGTGCCTTCTTCATCAACTACGCTGTCGACAACGCTGGCTGGACCGAGGCCTCTGCTTCCAACCTCCTCTCCTACGCTCTGATTACTTTCACCGTCGGTCGTTTCATCGCCACCGCCATGGCCACCGTCCTGTCTTCCAGCTTCATCATGGTCGTCTACAGCATTGCCACCATTGCTCTTAACGCCTACGTCTGCGCTGGTAAGGGCAAGGGTTCCATCGGTGCCGTCATGGCAATCTACTTCTTCATGGCCCCAATGTACCCAACCATCTTCACCATGGGAACTGCCAACCTTGGTGTCCACACCCGTCGCGGTGCCGGTATCCTTGTCATGGGTGTCGCCGGTGGTGCCGTCTTCTCTCCCATCCAGGGTGCCATTGCCGATGCTGCCAACACCCGCATCTCCTTCGTCACTCCCCTCGTCGGTTTCCTCGTTGTCCTCGGATACGTCGCTTTCCACTGGAAGCAGGAGGGCTTCGCTCTCCTCCGCAAGAAGGTCGATGACGAGATTGTTGCCGCCGCTGGTGTCGAGGGTGGTGCCGTCATCACCAAGCGCTCCATGTCCATCACCGAGCAGCAGTACGTTGTTGGTGAGATCAAGAACTAAGAATGTGTTCTGGTTTTTGGATCTCCATCTCTTGTAAATATTTTGTCACGAGTTTCTATTGTTTATTTTTGGGTCTTATCTGCGGTAGAACAGAACAGCGAAGGCGCTTTTCGAGGTGATTGTATTGGGGATTACGATGATGTCTATACACTACTACAGGCTATGATGCTTCTTTGAGAAAAAATTTCACTCCTTCTTCGAACAAATAATTGTCTTTGCCTTTTTTCTTCTGTGATGTTTTCTTCTGCTTTTCTTATTGGTGAACATTGGTTAATTGGTCGTTCTTTACTATGAGATTCTTGAGCACCTTTATTTATAAGCAACAGCAAATCGAGACGACTATACAAAATTGATCTAGACTTAGGTCAAGAACAGGATGGCAAGAAAGAACAATACATCTGAAACCCTAGTTGAGTTACAAAGAAAGAAAATATTAGCAAAAGTCATGCAAGCCACTAAGAATACAAGAGTGTAAGGTTAAACAGTTCATAGCTAGCCAGACCATCGTGGCATTACTACAATACAGAAAGATATCTATGAAGATATAGACTTATAACTAAAGTAGTTCAAGACCTTAGCAGCAATGCAAAAGAATGTGCACAACTTTGAGTTCTAGATAGTGGCGGGATTCTCGTTCGCGAGATTACAATCCAAAGACAATGTAAGGAGAATGGAAAAGCAAATTCAATATGAGTTTTTCTTATAACAACTCGAATTGGATCGAGCAGGAACACAGTCTGACGTCTTTGAATAGACACACTTTCTAATCTCGACATGAAGAATCTACTTCTCCTTGGGTCTGCCAGTCATGTAGTTCGTGTTGAACGACTTGTGACGTGTCGAGCGACGAGGTCCTGGGATCTCTTCGGTGGATTTGGTCTCAACTTCGTTACTTACAATATCTTCGCTGTCGTCGCCAATCTCATCTCTAGCTGAAGGTCTCTCGACTACTAGGTAATCATCTACATTGCTGCGTTAGTAAATCATTCTCTGTCTCCGAGGTGTCAACTCACCATTAACTTTTCCGTATAGAATCTTTTCACCCTTCTTTAACTTGAGTTTTCTGTCCTTGACTCTCTTTTCAAGGTCCTCTAATATCTTCATGTCACGCTCTGCACGGCGGAGTGCCTCGTTCGCCTGCCATAGCAAGTCCTCAACAGCCGCCTTTGATTCTTCGGTCTTGCCAGGACCATATATCTCTCGGCCAATCTCGGCAACGCGTATAGCTTGCTTTGCGTGGAAGAGATAGTCAGTCTTGCCACTGGCAAGGACAATGTGTGCGTGAACGCGAAAGAGCAAGGGAAGTCTTACGTGCTCGAGGAGCATGTGGGCAATGTCAGATGCCTCTTTGGCACTTTTGGAGATGTTCTTGTAGGCGAGCTCCATCATCTGATCGTGGAAATTGGCCATGGCTTTCTCGTTCTGCAAATTCATTGTTGCTGTGAGGCGATGATTATGCTGGTGCTTTTGTTCTGTTGAGTCGATTGCGCCGTGCTTGTTTCAAAGGAAGAAAAGTGTTGACGTGGAATGGGTTTGATTCACTTGCGGAAAATGATTGAAACATGATGAGGAAGGCGCACTGAGGATAGTCTTGGTCATCCGCGAGTTTTGGGACTTGAGATCGAAGCGAATCTGGAGAGATGGAGCACCTCAATGGAGCACATTGACGAGGGTAACCAGCGAAAAGTTTCGTTCTGAAGATCGACAAGGCGGCATTCACGTACAAAAGGCCCAGGAATAGCGTGTCGTTTCTCAAAAGTCATTCAATTTCTCGTATACAAAGATTTGTAAGAAATGAATGGCATGTGCATGGTCGGTAGTATAGCTCCTTCTCTAGAATCATATGCTTTCCACTACCTCTTTCTCATCTTTCAATACCCCTTTTCCATTGTGCAACTCTCTTTTCCAATCTGGTCTTTTCTCTTTGTTTGTCCAGACTTGCCAACCAGGTCTCAAACAAGATGACCAGTATTCACGTATCCGCCAGCAGCTGTAGCGTATGATTCCGAGCCTTGATCACCAACGCTTTGGTCGAGCGCTCGTGTTCAACGATCGTATCATCAGGCAGATGGGCAGACGTCTGGCGAACAGATTCATGTGGTTCATGTGGTTGATGAAAAACAACTGAACCGGTTTGTTATACCTCTCTTAGTCCTTGGATCTTCTGCAGAGAACTAATAGAACATATCCATACCTTTGTTGCGTTTGAAAAACGAGAAACTTTGATGGATCCTTCCACTTTTGCTTCTGTCTTGGCTACCTAGAACTCTCGACGAGAAGGTACGGCTGCATTGTTATGTTATAGCGGACTCTTGCTGGCTTACTTGCTGTCTCTGAACCATATCGTCTCGAGGGATATGATTCATCTATAGCATGTTGCCTCGAACTGAATGTACGTCTTTGCTCCTTTGATCAAGTGTTTCTTCGTCTGACCAGAACTTCACATTTGATTGAGAGTTACAAGAACAGACAAGAAATTGAACTCAAGGATGAAGATCGCAAAGATATCGTTGGAAAATCGTAAAAGGTCGTTTAATTTGCTTTGGAAGTGATCAATCGTAGCGTGGCCTTTNTTCGTCTCGTCCACCACGATCGTCGTCTCTTCTTCGTCGCTCGCCCACGACAGAAGCATTTGCTCCGGTGGCTCCTTCTCTATCCCGATATCTGTCTCCTCCATAACCGGGACCGCCTCTTTTGTCTTCGTCTGCGCCCCATCGTCCGGTATCTTCTGCCTTCAAGTCCTTGTATTTCGTCCTTCCTTTTCTGCCCAGTTTGGTCATATCGCGGATCTGCATGTATTGTGGCAAGATCTCGCGGTTGCCGCTGTCATCTTGGAATTTGGCACCCATGATATCGCGTTTGGAGATTTCCTGCAACTGCTCGTCGTCTTGGAAAAAGGCACCCTTGTGGTGATATTTTTGCATAAATCCTGCTTGGCCTCTTCCTTCTTTTTCTTCCTTTTGAGCGGCGATGTGTGCAGCGTCTTCGGCTTCTCGTTGCTCGGCCGTGAGATTGCGACGACGTTCGATTTCTTCGCGTTCCTTTTCGGCGGCTTCGATGGCTTCGCGGTCGCGCTTTACACGGCGCAGTTCGCGGAGTTTCCAGGCTGCGAGCTCGGCTTCGGGGTCGAGGTTGTCGGTGTCGTCGACGTCTTCGAGGGCGTCTGGGTCTTCGTCATCCCAGGCTCTGCGACCTGCTGCGCGTGCTTGTGCGTCCTTTTCTATTTGGGCTTGGAGGAGGGCATCGGCTTTCTCTTTGCGCTTGCGTTCTTCTTCTGCTGCTATTTCTTCCTCATTTTGCTGCGGTGCGGCGACGGTCTTGCGTTGTGCTTTTGAGACAAAGGTCGGCGCAATAAATTTGCGGGTCGGTGCTTCATCTTCTGATTCTGAGGCTTCCTCGTCTTGGTCTGACTCGGAGTCTTCCTCACTGCCAGAGTCTTCGCTCTCGGAAGCCGTCTCGAAGCCTTCTTGAGCCTTTTGTGCTAGCTCTGCTTCGCGGGCGCGCAAGGCCTGAGCTTCCTGCCTCCGTCGCTCGAGATCGGCTTTACTGATGTTCGAATTGAATTTGGGAAACGAGATTGCTTTCGGCGGTGCGGTCGTCGTTGGTTTGGATTGTTGTTGCTGCTGCTCGGTCTCTGATTCGGAGCCAGATTCTTCCTCTTCTGATGATGATTCGTCGGCGCCGACGGCTTTTCCTGGACGGTAGCGCAGAGGCGCCAGGGGGTTTGCTGTCATGCGTTTTGGCGGCATTGTGTGGTTGTTGAGTTGTTGTGATGTTTGGAGAAATAAAAGTTGAAAGTCATTGACATGGAGCAAAAGTGGTTGTGACGATGAACGGGCATGACGCGCCGCGTCCGAGCAGCCGAAAGAGCTACTCAGTATTCTACCCACCACTGTCATGCCGCTCTCTTGTTCACAAGATAACACTCGATCTTCTTGGATGTTTTACAATGAGTACTCTTATCCCTAGTCAACAACTTCATGAACCCACTCTCGCAGACTATGCGTCAATTGCGCTTCCACTCCATGCTCTCTCCAAAAGTGACTTGCACCCTCGACCTTCTTCCATCTAAAGCTCGACTGCCCATCTGGTCCAGCAGCCTGTAATGAGGTTTCCTTCATCTTCTTGCACCATGAATCGAGCTTATGAGAAGAAGTGAAAACATCCTTGGTGCCAAAGATTACCAACGTAGGATGCCGCACCAAGTTGTGCGTAGTGAAATCAGCTTGTCGCCAGAATATGAAACTTGATGTCGAGAGGGAGAGAAAAGTNNTAGACAAGGGCGGCAGTAGAGGCGAGATTAGAAGATAGTGTGTCAAGACATGTGGTAGGCCCTCCACTGTTAGCGCATCTTCTGCCGAAATGCCATCTGCTGAGGAATATGATGAAGGTGTTGATGTCGAAGAAGCTGACTTTGTGCGAGGAAGATGCATGGCATGCTTGATTCGTGCCGGTAAGTCCTTGCCCTTGTGGACGAGATCGATGCTGTGGTGGTCTGTAGGGGAAGGGCTATCGCTACCTCCGTAAACAATGGAGTGCTGAGAACTTGACTGACGCTTATGCTGTCTTCGTGATGGTGTGTCCGAGACTCTACCTCGATTGTCCATCTGATTAGAAAGTGATGTATTCGTTTGCAAAGCCATTTCCCTGGCCCGTAGTAGGATCTCAGACACCCAGGTCGATGATTGTGTTTTGTGGAACATGGCTAAGATTTCTGCTGTTGGAGGGAGATGCATGACGATCAACGAGCCATAGGAGTATCCACCCAGGACTAGACTGATATGTTTGGAAGGTGTGCTTGATATACCATCACCAGGGAGTTGCGCAGGGCTCGTATCATTGGTCCCTGGCGTTTGGAGTTGATTGACATAGAAGAGCATATGTCCAGCTACCGAGATATAGTCATCCCGCTCAGCTTTACCAGTCCAGCTGGTACTACCTTGAGAGTTTGCGGCACCACTGTTCGCCATTCAGTACAGATCGTAATGTACAAGGTCCAAAGATAAACCGTACCGAAAATTGAATGTTCCAACGACGAAGTCTAGATCGAGTAATAGGTCCACCACTGTTGTCAAGACAGCATCGTCCATCGAGCCTCCTAAGGGCGCATAAGGATGTGCGATAAGAGCAGCTTTCCTGGTTCTTTGCTGTGGTGATTGTGCATCCTGAAGTGAGGCAGGGTGGTATAGCCGGCAGTCGAGAGGAGTGCCGTCAGACACCGATGGGATGGTGAAAGAATAAACCGGCGTGCTATCTGTCATCGTGGTGTAACTTTCATGATTGAGGCAACGATAAATATTGGAAATACAATATCTGCATCATGTGCTCGTGAAGTCAGGAGTGTCGTCGATGCCGCGGAGGAAAGCTGACGACCTCGGCCGTATTCCTTTGACAATGACTAGCAAATGTCCCAATCAGCGATCCCGATCACAGAGCAAACGGTCAGAGCGGGTTCAAAGACATAAGTGTTCGAGAAAGGCTACATTCAGAGGGAGCATAGAGTATAGAAACTTCGAGTATACTATTCACCAAGAACTGTGCTACAATCATAAAGTCATATCAAGTGTGCCCTAAAACCACTCATTGCAACGATCTAACGGGGTATCATGCGACTACTCAGTATCCGTGTCCTGATGCGAAATCAACAGCTCTGGGTCAGGTCCGTCATCTTCTGTATCAGTGTCTGAAATGCTCGGTATGGGACGCTTTGCTGCAAAGGCCTTGTCCAAATCGCGGATAGCCTCACCGTCATCGTGCTTGCTGCCTCTAGGTGTCTGCACCCCCTCAAGCTGTCCAGAACTGCCAGAGATTCCTCTTGTTTCTTCAAGGCTTGTCTCATCAACCGCAGCAGCAAGAGCAGCTTCGAGAATATGTTTTCCTTTCAAGAATGCTTCGAGTTCGGCGCCGATGGCCGCAACCAAGAGCTTCCAACTACGGGTTTCTGCGAGCTTGTGCTTGTTTTCGAGCTCCGTAGTAGTCTGCTCGAGCATAGAGAGTAGCTCTTTAGTTTCTGCAGGAGAGTCGAGCTGTGATTGGGACTCTTTGCTCATGCGCGACGTGGCCTTTGCGAGCGTCCGCTCGAAAGTGGAAACTTGCTTGACGGTATCTTTCCAGACCACGGCACCCTCTTCAAGCGCGTCTCGTTCAGCATCGCAAGTGCCACGTCTCTCAATTAACGAATCTCGCTCTTGACCGAAGGCATCCTTTGCAGATTTCAGGGTTCGATCTTGGGATGGTAAGCGCCAGAAGCGGTCCATGTCCAGCACGTTGATGACGGCAGTCCAGTGATTTGCAGAACCATCTTGAAGAAAGGTTTGGATAGAGTCCTCGACCATACCTAGGCTGTTGGTGTAAGATGCAAGACGTGCGTCGACAGTGTTCTCAATCTCTTGGGCTTCTGCTCTCAGTTTATGTTGATCTCTTTTCAAGCGAGCCAGTCTTTCCTCAAGCTCATTGATCTCGACTTGCATGTCGTCTGCTTGCTTGTGCAGGCCGAGAGCGCGGTTGTGATCGTCACCAGACTGTATTTGCGAGGCGCGAGACTGCAAGGCATCGCGCTTCTTTTGCCATGTATCGATCTGATTGACGGCAGATGCGAAGTGATCGAGACTGGGAGCCAGGTACTGCGATTCCTGAGACTTGAGTTGTGCCAGACGTCGCATCGTGGCATACAAGCCGACCCTAGCTTGACGGAGACCAACTTTTTCCGTTTTCAAAGACGACTGAGGCCTAGGCTTCGAATAAAGAGCACTGGCGGTTGGAGTGCTCGAACCGGTCGAGAGAGCATCGTCTTCGGCAGCAGAGGTTGATGATGGATCAAGACCAGCGAGCAGAGCATCGGCCTGTGCATCGAGGAGAAGTTGTAATTGTGCTTCAAGCTCGCGTTGTTTCCGTCGGAACATCAGGAGGGTGTCGTCAGTCTGCACAGAGGGACTGGGATGCGAGTGGGCAGTTGTGGGAACATAGATGCTGTTCACGATGGGTTGGGGTACGGCAGAAGAGGCCATCGGAGAAGGTGTACGCCAACGAGGGTTCTTGGAACGGCGGCGACCGTCAGGCGACAGGGATGAGGGTGAGTAGCGAGGAAGCGCACTAGAAAGCCATGATGAACTGTGATGATTTAGTCCACCTATCTGGTAGAGGCCAATATGTCAGAAGCAGTCTTACCTGTCCATGTCTGTAATGCATGTGATGGCGGGTCAAAGATCACATAGACGTAGTGGAATGGCGAGCGATAAGAGCAAGAAACCTACTGTTGTCGTGTCGGGGGTCAGATTGGACGACTATCATGTGAACACATGGATGGCCTGCAAACAGAGCAAACTCGCTGTTTAGCCTGCGACAATCGACGTGCTTCTGACACGCTACGAGCTTGTGCCTTGCGAGGCTGGAGGTCACTAGCACACATTCTTCAAGACAGGCTCGAACGAAAAGCGCCTGCCTGATTGGACAGACGGCAGGTGACAGGAACAGTGAAGGGGGAAGAGTGAACAAAGAAAGAGCTGCCCGCTGTTCGGTGACCGAGCGGGAAGAGCCGCGTTGGAGCATCGCCATTGCACGTTTCTGGACCATCACGCAGCGTCAGCGACACGACAATCTTGTCCCGACACCAACTTTCCTCCTACAACAATCACTCATCGCCTCGACTTGAACGCCATTATACAACCCCACTGGCCAGCTCTCACTTTCGTTATTTCTACTCGACAACCGTTTGAACATCGACCTCTTCTCTAGCGTCGCAGCGTCGCTCTTTCCACGCAGCATACACAACAATGTCCTTCCTCAACCAAGACTTTGGCGACGACTCTGGCGAGGAGGATGATTTCAACCCCGCCCCTGCCGTCGCTTCGGACGACGAAGGCGACAACAACGACCAGGGACAAGACAATCAGGATGACGATGATCATGTCCAACCCGGCCCTCGCCGTTCATCTGCCCAAGAAGAAGACGAAGAGAACGACGATGCTGCCCCGAGCAGGAGTCGCGCAAATGTTGTTGACGATGATGAGGACGACGAGGAAGATGAAGACGACGACGAAGAGGACGAGGAAGACGAAGACATCGTGCGTCCCTTGGAAAAGCATCATATTTCTACTGCTAACTCTTGCCTGTAGGGCCGACAACGCAAACGCCGCCGCAGAGGTCCCCGTAACCAATTCCTTGATGAGGAAGCTGAAGTCGACGACGAAGACGAGGAGGAGCCTGATGAGGACGATGAAGTTGTTGGCGAGGAGATGCATCCCGACGACTTGCTCGAGCTTCCCGCAGGTGCCGAACGTGATGACCGCAAGCATCGCGAGCTCGACAGACAACGCGATCTGGCTGCTAGCATGGATGCCGAGAAACAAGCACAAGCCTTGAAAGAGCGCTACGGAAGAAACAGAGCCGCCAACGTCGATTCAGCCGTCGTGCCCCAGCGCCTACTGCTTCCCAGTGTCGACGACCCGCACATCTGGCGCCTCAAGTGCAAGCCTGGCAAGGAGCGAGAAGTCGTCTTTGCCATCATGAAGCGTATCGAGGATCGCGCAGGAACAAGGGAGCCGTTGCTTTTGATCTCAGCATTCGAAAGAGGTGGTGTCATGTCTGGAAATCTCTACTGCGAAGCCAGAGTTGTCGAGGATGTCACAACTGCTCTCGAGGGGCTCCAAAACGTCTACATGGGCACCAAGCCTATGATGGTCCCCATTACTGAAATGCCAGATCTACTCCGTACCCGCAAGAGCAAATCTCTCGAGCCTGGCATGTACGTCCGCGTCAAACGCGGCAAGTACGCAAGCGATCTGGCCCAGATTGATGAGGTCGAATCGAATGGTACAGAGGTCACACTTCGACTCATCCCCCGCCTGGACTATGGTTTGAACGACGATGTCAACGCAGCTGCCGATAACAAGCGCAAGCGCTTTGGCTTTGGCGCGAATACTGGCCCTCGCCCTCCCCAGCGTCTGTTCAGCGAGAACGAGGCAAGAAAGCGTCACGGCCGTTACCTGACAAAGGGCACTGGCTTCACCGCAAACACCTGGACCTACATGAACGATACCTATGTTGACGGCTTCCTCATCAAGGATTACAAGGCCAACCACCTGCAGTCCGAGGACGTCAACCCTACCCTGGAGGAGGTTACCAAGTTCGCCGCTGATGCTGAGGACGGAACCGAGAACTTGGATCTCTCTGCTCTCGCTGCTACCATCAAGAGTAACAGCTCTGGTGCTTTCCTCCCTGGCGATCATGTTGAAATCTGGCAAGGCGAACAACGTGGTGTTGTCGGAAAGGCTGTTTCAGTACATTCCGATATTGTGCGCATCTTGGTTTCAGCTGGTGAGCTTGCTGGTCAAATCATCGAATCTCCGGTCAAGGGCCTACGCAAGCTCTTCAGAGAGGGTGACCACGTCAAGGTCATAGGTGGCAGCAAGTACTTCGATGAGGTCGGCATGGTCGTCAAGATTGTCGAAGACCGTGTCACAATTTTGACTGACTCAAACCAAACCGAAATCACAGTCTTTAGCAAAGACTTGCGTGTCGCCACAGATTCTGGTGGTCAGGTTGGTGTTGGCAAGTACGACCTACACGAACTTGTTCAGCTTGACGCATCCACTGTGGCTTGCGTGATCAAGGTCGATCGCGAGTCTCTCCGTGTGCTCGACCAGACAGGTACAGTCAGATCGCTACTTCCTTCTAATATTTCCAACAAGCTCGAACGCCGCAAGAACGCCGTCGCCACTGACCGTGAGGGTTCCGAGATTCATATCGACGATACCGTCAAGGAAGAGGGTGGTGAGGGCAGACAAGGTCGTGTGCTCCACATCCATCGCAACTTCCTCTTCGCACACAACCGAGAACAGACGAATGATGCCGGTGTCTTTGTCGTTCGCACAAACAACGTCAAGACTGTGGCAGCCAAGGGTGGCAGAGTTGCCTCCGCTCAGGCTGGTCTTATGAAGATGAACCCAGCCCTGCAGCGACCAGGTGCCCAACAGGCTGGCGCACAAGCTATGCCGCCACCACGCCAGATGGGTCGTGACAGACTCATCGGCAAGACCTGCACTATCCGTAGAGGTCCCCACAAAGGTCTTTTGGGCATTGTCAAAGACAGCACAGACACCCACGCACGTGTAGAGGTCCATGGCAGCAAGAAGATTATCTCCATCGCCAAAGAATTCTTGACTGTCCGAGACCCTATCACTGGTGCTGTTATTCAGCAAAATGCAGGCCAGCGTCCTGGTGCACCGCCTGCCGGCGGTGCTGGTGGTAGACCCCCGGCATGGGGAGGCGCAACTCCTGGTAGATTCGGAGCTACGCCCAGAGCATCAGATGGTGGACGCACCCCTGCTTGGAAGCCTGCAGCTGGAGGTCGCACTCCCGCATGGGCTGGCGCAGGTGCAGGCGGGAGAACTGCTTATGGCGGCAACAGCGCAGCCAGCAGTGTGCCGGCATGGCAGAGAGGAAGTGGCGGCAGCACATCTTACGGCGGCGCGACCGCATACGGAGGTCAAACGTCTTATGGGGGCCAGACTTCCTATGGTGGTAGCACTGCGTACGGAGGAGTGAGTCATTCTCTACATATCACATTCGTGAGGAACATTACTGACAAGATATAGGGCACTTGGAACCCAAACACCCGCACACCTTTCCACGGCGGCGGCACAGCCTACGAATCTGGTTCAAAAACACCAGCTTACGGTATGGATGCTCCCACACCTGGCTTCAATAGTGCACCCACTCCTGGCAACTTGGATCAGCCCACTCCTGGATATGGTCAATACCGTACTCCAGCTGCGGCACCCACGCCAGGCGCCTTCCCCGAGACCCCCGGAGCATGGAATGCCGAGACTCCTGCTGGTGACGGCGGTCCCGGATATGATTGAGCGGCGTGAAAGATCATGACCGTAAACAGACACAAAAGAGAGATTTGCATTTACTAGGCGTTGTTTTGTGCCTTTGCGCGTTAAGGTTGTGGAATGGTTGCCTCTGAACTTTCTCTCACAAAATACAAACAGCTTCTACGTGATATTTGGAATGACAAAAATGCAAGTCTTTCACTTTCTCTACCTTGACATAAGACCGAAATGTGACTTTGATGCCTTGCTACTCTAGACAAGTCGAATGCCTGCAAAGTAACTCTAAGCCAATAAACGATGCTTTTTCTTGCTCCAACCAAATAGCAAACAAGTGTATCAGAAGCAGAGCCGGCATGTATGCTCATCATGTCTTCCTCCACAACGAGAACTTGTCAGTCTCCCACCGTCCAGCCTCCCCGTGGATAGACAGCCACAACACAACTATAGAAGCACACAATACTTTCCACAACAGAGTGACTACCACAGAGAGAACGTCAAATTCAGTCATCTCAATGGCCTCACATCTGTACTCAAGAAAGCAATTGTGCATTTTCCACTACGGCAGCACAAAAGAAAATGACCTCTACATGAATTTCCGAAGGGAGAGCAACGTCTTTAATCAAAGATCATGCTCCGGACACCTTCCCAACACCCACTTCTCCCACATTTTCCATTTCCGAGTGTCGACACTGATGCCATCGTCTCCCAACTCATCAATACTCTGTGGAAAAGCTCTGCCATTGCAATTACACCAAGGGACTGAGTTTGGTGTATCCGGCGAGTTTAGGGGCGGGAAATCCATTTCGTGGGCGGTTCGGCCACGATCTTCGTCTTCAGAGTCCGAGGCGGAGTTGTTGATGCTGTCCCAGTCGGAAGTGGAGGCTTGTTGTTCGGCATCGTCCCAGTAGATATTGGTGTCAGAGTCAGAATCTGAAGATGATAAACCGCCGGGTGGATCGTCCGGTAATTCTATCCCTGCGTTTTCCCAGACTGTGTCAAAGTGAGTTGCATAGTCGATCCTTCGCAAGGACACCCAGTCTAATCTCCTCATCTCTGTGTGCAAGAACCCCAAGACGGATCTCCATGCACTGCCTTCTCTGAGCATAACATCTCGTAGCCTCAAACCACGTAATCTGTCTTTGTGACGTTGAGCAAAAGCAACAATTTCGTCGCTGTGGAGGCGCCAGCCTTGGATGCCAAACGCGAGAAGTTTGCTCCATCGTACATTGTGGAAGATTGTTTCGAGAGGGAGACCGATGGGTCGATGGGAGGGAAAGCCTACATGAATGGCTTCCATATTTACGGCTGCGGAAAAGACGGTCTTGAAGAGATGGGATAATTCAAACATGCGGACTTCGAGGTCTGTGCCGTCGTCGAAGTAACCATCGTCAAAGTGTAACTCTAGACAGGTGAGTCGTTCGGCTAGTGTCGAGAAGGAGCCAGTAGGGTTTTCTGCAAGCACGAGAGCGCTCTGCGGGCTCAGCATTGGGGAAGAAAATCGTGAGCATGGTGATCGTGACTCCAAGAGTGCATTCCCTATCGTTTTGGCGCCATGAGCACAGGCAGGTGCCCATTTGAGCTCGACGAAATGAGTGATGTTTTGGTGATATCGGATATAGGTTAGTAGTCTTTCGTCTTCTTGGTCTTGGACACGCAAAATCTGGACGTGCTGGAGAGCAACAAAGGCCTTCATGGCTTTCCTCAAGACCTCGACATCTCGTTTTGAATTCACGATTTTCTGCTGCTCGTATATTTTGCAGCGAAATCTTTCGATATTGGATTTGCCGATGGTCTGTTGTATTTGAGCATCTAGCGATTGTATGCTTTCTCGACCTTTGCATTATCAGCATATTGCGACACGATACCGTTTTCTTCTGGTACCTTGCGTGCAGAAATATGGCACCTTGTAGCTAAATTTCTTGACATGTTTCGCCAGGTGCGGCTGAGCGGCAATGGCTTCCAGTCTCGCGAGTCCCTTTGACGAGAACCTGGTCGTGACACGTGCGAACTGGTGAGAAGCACCAAGAGCAGCAAAGCGTCGACAGAGCAATCTAAACTTGCCAATGTTTACGACTTGGTCTTGGGAAGGTAGAGGATCTGGTCTGAAGCTCTCTTGGGATAGATATGCTCGCTTGTCGACGCTCACGAGCCTTTCAGGGTCGGCGGCTATGAGATCGAGGATGTCGTGGAGCAGCTCGTTGGAGAGGTCGAGGGCTCCTCGATAGCCAGTCATCGCGCAGATCGGTGCCATCCAGTGTCAGAGCAAAACCGGTTGCAGTAGATGTTTACTTCGACTCGTAGAGCATGATACCCAGGGGTCGTAGCAGCAGCAAGGAATGGGGAATCGGAGATGAAAGATCGGGTCAGCACACGACAGAACAAACGGACTCTTGGGCAAGTTGCAGGCACATGACGACTGCGGTTGAAACCGCAAAACAGAAAGAAGGACCTCTTCGGTGGGTGTGGTCAGGTGGGTGCGCTGTCGTTGGGTTCCTCTGTTGGCATCTGGATACTCGACGCCACCAACACACACCGACGGGAGAGGGTCAAGTTATGCCCGTCACGATCGGACCGGGCCATCACTGCATACAAATCAGATCATGTGATTGTGATATGAAGGAGAAGCGGCAATAATACAAAAAGCCCTTCATGCAGGTCGCTTCGCTGGCACTCGAGCGAGATTGTGGCAGGGCACGCTGAGTGCGCCATGAGCGGGGGCTTTCCAGTCTGCTTTTCGGCTGATTGCACTTTCCGCATGTTTGAACATTTCTTTTGATTCAACACAGGCAAGTACGTACGACAAACACGAGCATGTATGTTGCAGTGTAGCTCAGCTGGACTGGGAGACTATATTCTGCGGCTTCATTCCCTAACGACCGCCCAAGTCTTGAACTCACCCCTTCTTTTCTTATATCGCTATCAGCGCATGGTTCGCATGAACGGCGGCGCTGTTTCATCGATGCATGTATCTCAGCACGCCGGCTGTTGCATCATACGAGATACGACCTTTTGTTACACCACTTGCTCACCGTCAAGCTGCAGTGATCCTAGAAAGTTTCGAAATCTGTAGAGGCATCGCTTCCAGACTCGAGGGCAGAAGCTCGATCTCCTCATGGGTCTCTTCCTGTACCTCATTGGTGCTATCGTATTCTGAAAAAGAAGACGTGCCAACATTCGCAACATCCTGACTGCCGCTCTCAAGGCTGCTGCAGAATCCCAGGCTATAACACTGTCCTGTTGTCGTCTCCACTTCAGCCAAGTTCAAAGTGATCTTGAGCTCTGTAGCTGTTCAAGCCTTTGCATTTGATCTCTTATCTTCAGGCACCGATAGCAGGTTTCCTTGGATGCTCCAGCCGGGCCACTCATGCACAAGATCTTCCAGGAGCAGAGCAGCGTCCATTGAGCGCGATGAGAGATTTGAGCTCTTCATACCTCTTCTATAAAGATGCTGTCTTTTGAGCATGCTTCTTCCTGATCTCAGTGCTGCTGAGCTTGCCCTCGAAATTCTGCTGTGACGCAGCACTGGAAGTCTCTCTAGCGTCTAGGACATCAACCTCTAGCACATCTAATTTGGGCCATCCGTTCCCAGTGCGTTTGTCATTGACTGCACTGCCGCCAGCTCTGGTTTCTCCAGAAATAATCAGAGCGGTAATTTCCTTCTCGGTGATGGTTGGGCCAAAGGGATCCCAGATCTCAACACATCGAACAGTTAAGCCATTAGGATATCTGATGTTGACTGCATGACCGTTTGGGCCGGGCTCCTTGATCTCTTCTACGACGGGGTCCGCAGCATCAGCAGAGGCGAAGTTCAAAATTGCGTCGAGGAAGCGGTGAACAGATGCTTGACGACCAGACCAGCTTTCGAGTTGCTCGACGTACTTCTTGTTCTTGAGCAGCTCATCGCCTGTGATGCCAATGGTAATGACAGACTCGGCCTGAGTCTGGTCAAGGGCAAAGGCAGTCATGGTAAGTAATAGTTTGTGGCCAATATGCAGATGGTCGAAGGTACCGCCGACAGCAACGTGGTGGTGTTCTTTGGCCGATAGACGAGGAGTTGCAGCGGATCTCGATGCTCCGGTTGTTGGGTGGCAATCGCAATGGTGATTGGCGGCAGCTTGCTTAGCAGCAACAAATGCACGGACAAAGACCTCTCCCTGGTCATTCTCTACGCCGAATGCATACTGCCATGGACGCTGGCTGGCAGCAAGAGATTGCAAATCGAGTACAGGACCATAGGATGTGGGGTGTGCAGAGGCATCGAAACTTGATTGAGGAGACCAGGCGACGGGAAGGATGCGGACATCAACACCATCGGCGTCTTCAACATTGACGTGCTCTTGAGCAGCAATCAAACAGATTAGCTTATAGACGGCGGCAAGGATAGTCTGAGTGGGTGCATAGAGTTCTGCACGCGGTATAGCAGCCTGTGCGGTCAAATGAGGTATAGCCAGAGCGATGTCAAGAATCGAGGGTTGGACTGATCCTTTGGAGGCCAGATCGGCCTCTTTCAGGACTTGAGTGAGGGTATCTTCATATAATTCTTTGAGAGCAGGGATAGTAGGAGGTGATGGTGGAGGGGGAAGCAAGAGAAGAAAGCTGGCAGCGTCATCCATATTGGTGCTGGAAGAGTTTGAGAAAACGAAGAAGGGAAAGGTTTCTGAAATGTCTAGAGTCGAAATTCGAAGATGTTGTAGAAATATGGTTGATGAAGGGTTCGCGAAGGCGATGGCATAAAAGTGTGGAGCAAGCTATCGCGACCGACGTTCGCTATGAGGTCGTCGTCGTAATGCTGGACCGTGCTGGCGATGGTCGAACAAAGGCTCGACAAGGCAGCGAGGACTCGGAGAGGACAAGCTTGTCTTCGGACTCTAGATATCACTTGGTTGAGAGAATACAGACAAGTTTGATTCATGTCGCATTCAAACAAAAGGTCGATTGCGACGGGGCTGGGATTGAGTGCAGCATCACTCGGGGCTATCGGGAGTCCATCGTCTTTGGCCGACATTCAGCACCAGCAGCACCGAGACCAACATTACCCTGACCAAACGCCCGTCTACCAACAACCACAGCATCAAGCTACTAGTCAGGTCGCGTCGCCGTCGCATTCGGCCAGCAATCGCGCAAAAGCATTCGCGCCAGCGCCAGCGTCTACGGCATCGGCAAGCAGCGCCATGTCGGGCTTCGACTCGCAGACGCCAAAGAAGGGTGACTTTAACATGCAGCTCCAACAAGCCACGCCCACCCATTCGTCCTCGTCGCAACAACAACACAACATGTCCGTTCTACCAAATACCCTGCTCCCCGGCGCCTCTTCGTCTTCGCGACCACCCACCGGCGCGACAACCTACTCAGCTCCTCAGACCATCCCCACCATGCCCCCTCCCATCAACACCAACCAGCAGCAGTATACGCCGCGTCCTCCCACTCTCAATTCGCAGCACAGTCACTCGCGCTCGAGTCCTGCTGGCCTCGATCAAAAGTACATTGCTTTCTCCACCACTCCCACCAAAGCCTACAACTCCGTCACTCCCTCGTCAAGCCATTCTCCCCTGGGCTTGGCCGACATACGTCCCCGTACCAACTCTGACTTGCTGAACCGCACCGGTGCTCAGTCAGCTGCCCTCTACGACTATGGTCCCAGCCAGACAAACTGCAGCTACATGGCTCCGTGGGCTGCCTACTCCTTTGATTGGTGCAAATGGCCGGTGCCCAACGGCAACAGCTGCGGTAAGATGGCCATTGGCAGTTACCTCGAGGATCCCCACAACTTTGTACGTCGAACCCTTGTCCGAATCGGTCCAATTGGACATACATGCTGACCAGGATTCCAGATTCAAATCGTCGACACGCAGATCGCACCCCAGGACCAATCGACCATGGGCGGTCCTGCCTATGGCATTGACTATGTCAAGATTGCAGAAGCTACTTGCGCCTATCCAGTCACACGTATCTCATGGGAGCCACCCTCGTCATCTAAGCAATCTACCGACCTTCTCGCTACTTCTGGCGATCACTTGCGCCTATGGTCTCTCCCTTCATCTTCGCAGCCCGCCATGCTGTCCAATAACATCAATCGATCCGCCTCGGTCAACGTGCGCGACCCACCCACTTCAAAATTGCAACCTTTGGCCCTCCTCTCGAATTCAAAGACCCCTGAACATACCGCGCCCTTGACCTCGCTGGATTGGAATACTCTGTCGCCGAAGCTTATCATCACATCGAGCATTGACACAACCTGCACCATTTGGGATATTCCTACACTCACTGCGAAAACACAACTTATTGCACACGACAAGGAGGTCTTTGATGTGCGCTTCTGTGCAGGCAGTGTTGATGTTTTCGTCAGTTGTGGTGCTGATGGAAGTGTAAGAATGTTCGATTTGCGAAGCCTGGAGCACAGTACCATCATCTACGAACCCTCGGAAAAGTCGGACAAAGATAAAGGCATGTTACCCATCACTTTTTCCAGCATGTCATACTAACAAGTCTCTCAACANGCGGCTATGCCAGCTTCCCCAACAAAATCATCGGCCGCAGGACTACCAGCATCTCCTCCCCTTCTTCGTCTTGCCGCTTCACCACATGATGCTCATCTTCTGGCCACTTTTGCTGCAGAGTCCAACATTGTACGCATTCTCGACGCTAGACAGCCTGGCACTGCTCTCCTTGAGCTTCGTGGGCATTCAGCTTCGCTCAACTCAATAGAATGGAACCCCAGCCGACGAGGCATGCTTGCTAGTGGTGGTGATGACAGCCAAGTGCTGGTCTGGGATCTTCTCAACTCTGGTAATGGAGCCAGTTTGAACGGGGGTGTCCAGGGCGAAGCTCAAGCCAAGGGCCCTTCAGCAAGCTGGAGAAGCGATTACGAAGTCAACAACATTTCTTGGGCACCGCAGAGCGCTTTGACTGGCCAAGGCGGCGATTGGTTAGGCGTCTGCGCCGGCAAGGGAGTGTGGGGCGTCAAACTGTAATGATGATGAAGAAGAAGAAGAAGAAGAAGCACAACGTCGAGCAAAGAGCGACCATCAAATTTGCATATAATGCGTACGTGAGCGGCCTTTTGAATGCATTTACGACTGGCGGCAAACAGGTGGGGATTGGAAGCGAGGCGTCTTGTGGTGTTAGAGTATAGTAGGCATGCCCTGCACGTCTGTTTTGTTTTTCTGAATCTGTTTGTGCAAGCAAAGGACATTTGTGCATCGAGAGAAATGCCAGAAGCACATAGAATTCAACAATGTCCTCTTCTGATCCATGACAGTGCCGATATCCAGTTGAAGCCGTGTCCGTGTCCGCGGCCATTTTCATGTGCTTGACGAGTCTTCCTTGTCGTCTCTCATTTCTCATAAAGTCGTGTGCCTTGGTACTGTATGCTTTGCGGCGACCGTCAATTCTGCGGATGCAGCAGCGTAGCCATGTCCTGCATGTTCCAATCTCTTTGCAGCTCCCTGTTTTGCAATGCGCTCGAGAACGATGTTGCGTGGTTGTCCGGGCCCAGACTTGGCCTGACGGCACATCTGGCTGATAGCAGCCTCTCTGGCCGTGTAACCGGGCCTCGATGTAACCATCCTTGCTCTTTCCCTTCCCTTCTCCTCTTCTTTTCACTCCTCAACCTCAATCTTGGTAATATATCTCCCGGGCACAACAACCAAGCCCACAAATCTCTTTACCATGTCCACTTTTACGTTTCCGGGGATGCCTTGCAGTTGCATTTGGTAGGCTGCGTCTTGGACTACGGAGGCGGGTGGTTGGCGGTATTCGTGGGTTAGGGAGAGGATGATGTTGCGTTCCTTCGGAGTGGATTAGTGGGTAGGAGCGAAGGTAGGGAAAGGGTGGAAGGGAGATGGGGAGGCAGAGAAACGTACCTGATCAGTGCATTTCATGGTGCCGACGAAGATGCGCGAGTCTGTGGTGTGGATGCGGAGGGTTTTGTTGAGAATGGAGGTGAGGTATCCTGTTGCTTGTGTGTTGTTGCCGTCCATGGCTGTTGTTTCTTCGTACTCGAGAAGATAGGTGATAGTACTTGAGTTGCTGTTCCTTGTTTGGTCGAGGGTTGCTCTTTCTATTTGGGTTGCGATGGCAGGTTGTCAACATGACGGAATGGCGCCGCAGATCGTTGGAGACAGGAAGGCATCTTTCTCGAACCCTGTGCTCAAACTCTCTCTTCTTGGTCGACTACCTTTACTTTGTTGCATCAATATGGGCTGTTGTTCATATCACTCAGACCTTGTCGATATTCGTAGCGTACCGGATGTTTACGACATCCACGTTGTCATCATTCGAGTAGGGGTTCCCTCAAACTCGAGTTTCTTTGCGTCCTCTCGTCGAAACTCAATTCAACTCATCAACCCCGCTACATTTCATTGTTCTTGCATGCATCATTCGATCCCCTTCAGTGGGCTGAGAGTAAAGATATGCCTCTGCGAAGCTGTCCTGGCCGATGTGCTTGCGGCAATAATGTCGTACCTGCCAATGATTAAGGTAAAGCGTAGATGGCCACAAGTTCTCGACTAAAAGTAGCGTAGGTACGAGCATTATCACCTCCTTCACTTTGCTCTTGTCTCCTGCTTTAGTGTACCTACAATTGGTCAGTCACTCGCCTGCTATTTTCTAGATCACACTCTTCTACTTACTCAAGTACGGCTCTACAACAAACCAAGTATCGGAATCATCATGGCGCCAACACCTCTTACACCCCCTTCCTCCGGCAGTGAAGGTACCTCTCCATTGCCTGGTTACCAAGCTGGAGTGTTCAAAAGAAGACCTGCAAGAAGACCGAGTACGGGCAAGTTTACCTGGAAACCCCACCATCGGAGAACCTTGTTAGTCTGTCATCGACTGGATCTACAAGCGAAGGATCTTGTCCGGGTCTTTAACACGCTATACCAAAACGATTGCGCCCTTGCTGGATACCCAAATGGCATTACGCGTGGAAGTCTCCAGGCACAGTGGCAAGAACACAGAAAAAGTACCTGCAAGCCATGGAAAGAAGTTCTAGACTCCTCCGAGGTTGACCTTGAGCTTGCCAAAGCAGAGATCAAGAAGTGTCTGGCCAAAGACCCTTCTTACGTCCAGCCAGCTTCTACGACCAGACAACCTCCTTCTAATACTCAATGGCGAACGTCGGCTAGAAATACTCGAGTCCAGACTTTTGATAATCAGAACACCCCTCGTTCGACGGCATCGACCAACGATACGGCTGCACCTTTATCCCCACCACCGACGCCACCTGTACGAGTCCAGAAACCAGCTGTCCAAGCCTGCAAACCTCGACAGCTAGTGTCCGTTGTCATCGAGACCCGNCAAAAGGCCTTGGTCGTTAGCCAGCCGACTCGCAATACTTTTAACAAGTCGCCCCGCGGTATGGTCTCGTCCGATCGAACAAGAACGGTTGGGGGCAGACAGATACCCATCATCGGAGCCACAGACCAGGATCTAGATGTAAAGCATCCAATCACACCTGCCGAAGCACATTCTGCAGTCCCAGAGCTCTTGTTCCGATTCTACGATGACCACAGTCAAGGAGCAAGGACACCAGGAGGCGAGATTTCTGGACGACACGCCTGGTTACCATGCCGGCCCCCAGCACCACTACCGTGCGATGCCGATTGCATGTTCTCGGCTATTCTTAGCCACTTGAATCACGACGAGACTGCGTCCGAGTTGATCAGCACAACATCTAATCTTTTCTTCGCGATGAGACTAGCAGCGAAGTCAAACGCAAATCCGCACATCTATGTGATCCGCGGCAGCGCTCTACCACGTCAAAAGGTCTTCCACTTGTGGCCATACCATTTGCGCTTCCTTGCCGAAAAACTTTACTACAATGGAAAGTACAGAAATCCATCATCACACGAGTATGCCATTTGGGCAACACTTCCACGTACAGTCATCATATACGACTTTGCCTTGGCCGATCTCGAGCGCCACCTTGCCGGCAATCCGTACATGGAGTCTCTTTTCCGCATCGACGAGATGCGCACGAAAAAAGGGCAACACAACCATTCGACGAGACTTCAAAAGGATAATCTCGACATGACGCTTGCAACCATAGAAGGGCTCGCCCGACTGATGCCTACATTCGGCATAACCGTCAAGAGTTCCGCACCCGTCATCGCCCGACTGATATCTGAGATCATCCGCGGCTTTGTGGTCACTCTACCCAAGACCACGCCAACGCAATGGGACATTCTAGGCGGAGCTTTTGCCTACGCTCTCTCCTACCACGCAAAGCAAACAAACGTCGCCGAAGCCTACCTCGTACGCGCAAAAGAGGCATTTCTATCGGGAGCGAGAATGGGTCTCGGAGAATTGAACTGGCATCTCAACCCTCAGAAACAAGTTAGGATGGTGAAGAAGGGGGTCTTGCTTGGCTTGGGTGTGGGCGTCGAGTCTGTGATCGATGCAGCAAGACTCGAGTCCATCAGGACCTTCCAACAGACCATTGCTCGGTTTGCGTACAAGGACCAGGAGCAGCATCAGGGAGTTGACGACGACGCAATGATCGACGAAGATGACACATTGGTCGAGGCCGCGAAAGCCAACTGTAAAGACAAAGATGCGATGGTCGAAGATGACAAGGATGAAGAAGAAGAAGAAGCCGAGACCGATATCGAGGAAGCAATTACTTTCAAAACACCTCCAGGCTCACAGCGACGACGAGTCTCGTATGCACGCGAAGCAACACGCCGCGGCTCTGCCAGGAGCTCTGGCGAGACTTTCATCATCATCGACTACAGCGACGACGAGGACTACGTCGCCGAGAGCGATGAGGAGTAGCAAATACGCATCAAGATCGGACGACGGCGGGCTGACCGACGACAAGCACGGTCCATATGATCGTTTCGTGGTGAGGAGAGACGCATCAGTGATGGATCGCACAGGAGTTGCAAGGAGAGACTGAGAAGCGGGAAACAAGAAACGAAGAACAAAAGGTGATGGAATGTATGACTTGAGCAGCTGAATTGTAAGGGTATCTCTCTGCTCTCCTAATAAAAGTACTGTAGTTACTCGAATGGTTTTGCTCCTTTCCCAAAACGCCCGCTCTGTGATAATAGATGAAAGATGAAAACAAAGAAAATCAACACTGTTCAGCCTCAAGCCGGCTTGTTCGTGTCGTTGCTCTTGTGGCTGCCGAGCTTGCCGGTCACTGCAAGGTAAATGATGACAATGAGGATAATGACAACAACAATGGCAACACAGATGCCCAAGCAGTACCACTTCTTTCTTCTGGCAGACCTGGCCTTTGTGGTAGCGACATCGAGGTGCTCGTTTGCTTGAACCATATTCGTCTGCGTTTCTTCGGCTTTCTCCTCGATGTTCATGATCATGGGCTCTTGCTGCATGACAATGGTGTCCAAGTCCTGGAACAGCTGAGCCAGCTCAGTCATGGTGCGCTCGATTTGCTGAATGGCATCGTGGCGCTGGCGGACGTTTGCCAGAGTGCTCTGGGCTTGGCCACGGCGGTCGCTGTTAAGGAGGGCCTGCTGGAAGATCTGGGTGTCGGCGCCCGACTCTGTGGCTTGGATGATTTCTTGCTCGGTAGCGTCGGGGTTTACGATGAGGTATTGACGTCTCTGCTGCTCTTGCACGTCCTTGCGGAACTGGCTCTCCACGGTTTGGTAGTTGTTGATTGCCTTGCGGATTCTGCGGTCGAGGGCATTGACCTGAGCTTCGTTGCGAGGGTTTCTGGACTCGGGGCGAGATTTGATTCTCTTGACGCGGTCGGCGAGGGCACGGTAGGCGGACATGATTTCGGAGCCCATAGCATCAATCTCCTTGTTCGTGGCATTGGTGCCAGAGACGAATTGGCGGTGCAGGCGTTGCAAGCCTTGGAGACGAGACTCGACGTCGTCGATTGCGCGGCCGACTTCGCGGCAGTCGTTCAGGATGGCGTTGGGGTCTGATTGTTGGCCGGCGCCGTAGGGGTCGGCGAAGGGGTCGTTGAGGGGTTGCATCTCGACATCACCCTGAGCNNTCCTGAGCCGAATGTTAGCTAAGGCTCTTAGTGTCAAGGGGTCTCTCAGAAGGTCGAAGGCAGGGAGTCTGGACCAGAATATCTCGAACAGACATCTTCCCGAGTTGTGATGGCATTGCAGGCAAAGCGATGAATAAGACGTACTGTATGTAGGAGGAGTGTCGTAGCCAGAGTTGGAACCATAAGGATTGCTCTGTCCATAGCCGTTGTACTGTCGCATGTCAGCATCGCTGTACCCCAGAACGCTCGGTGGGCTTGTCTGTGCTTACCGCCATGTTGTTTGTTGATTATGTGTTGATATAAGAGGAATGATTTGAGTGTAGAGAATAGCAAAGCACCAGGCAGAAGGTGTGTTGTTGTAGAAGCAAGAGAGAAGGCTGTTTCGTCTCAGACGAGCAACAAGGAGCAGATGGTGAGATTGTAAATGAAAAAGACAAGGCAGGAACAATTCAAGGAGAGCTGAAACGCTAACAAGCCACAGCCCCCCTGAGACCGAAGCGCCGTTTATAGTAACAAACCTAACCTTGATAACTTGTCACCCCACATTCTTCGCTCCTTCCGCCGATGATTCTCCTCGTTCGTATTGTGCTGCCTGCAAAGCAATACAGATTCGTCTTCAACAGTTTGCAAAGTGGTTGCCTGAGCCAATCTATTCCTTCTATGCTTATGTACTCGTCATGTCGTGGCTATGTATATCGTGCTGCTGCGGATGTGCACTCACACCTCTTGTCATCGTCCTCGGATGCCGTTTCCTCACCCGCCGCGCTTACTCCGTGTTTCCATCAAGCGCCTTCCTTTGCGCTTCCCCATCTCTTCGTCTCATCGCCTCCTGACCAAGACTTCTCGACATAGCCAAGCTCGTGCTTGACCTTTGCGACCAACTCCGAGTCGCCCATGTTCTTGCCCAGGTTGTCGCTGATCTTGATACATGGCCTGCCGTCTGCTTCNNCAAACAGCTTGATGACAATGTTGAGCGGAACACTCTTCTCGCCAGAGCTCTTCTTGGTGAAGTCGTTTGTAAAGAAGGTCCCCACACCAAAGCTGGGCACCAATTTGGCTGCCTGAGTAGCATACATGTACTCGATGCAGCGGTCCACGTTTAGCGAATCCGAGAAGACGATCGTCTTGGGCACTGTGATGTTTTGCTCGTCGTAGAAGTCGCGCATTCTCTTGATGAACTCGAAGGGGTTGCCAGAGTCTTGTCGTGTTCCAGTGTAGACTTCAGCGAAGCTAGGATTAGGCTTGTCCAGGCTGGGATCGCGCGAGTGACCTGGTGGTGCCGGTCTCTTGAAGGCCTTGAGGAAGTCGGGTGTGCCGAATGTGTCGGTGAGAGCAATGCTCAGAACTCCACGGCCGAATGTGCCACTCCAGTATTGCAGCGCCGTCTCATTAGCCTTTGAGTAGTCGTCGGTGATGGCAGCAATGCCCATGAACCATTCGTGAGCGACGGTTCCCACCGGAGGCACACCGTGCTTCATGGCCATGTGAACGTTGCTGGTGCCAGCCCACTTTCCAGGAAAACTGCGCTTGGTAGCTTCGTCCTTTGCCTGGTGTAAGCCCTGCATGACCATGTCATGGGTTTTGTAGTCCCTTCTTCTTCTGCTACCGAATTCGGAGAATGAGCAGCCGGCCTCGAGCAAGCGGAGGCCCTTCTCATAGGCCTTGTCGACCTGTCCCTCATGGTCCCAGTCGGTGTCGCAGAATTTGAAGTATGCCTCGGACACGAGAGCGAGCAATGGGATCTCGTAGAGAATTGTGTCCAGCCAGCGACCCTTCACAAACAGAGCAATGTCGCCCTCATCTGACTCGGACTCCTTGTCGGTGGCAGTGGTCGACTGGAAAGAGAGCTCGACTTGTTCCTTTGGGTGGAGAGAGAAGTTGCGCAGGAAGTCAAGGTATTCGGGAGTGAGATAAGAGCAGTGCTGCTTGAGATAGTCAATCTCGTTGTCGGTGACGCGAACATTGGCGAGCTGGGCGATTTGCTTCTGGAGCCAGTGGTAGGCCTGACGGTTGAGTTTGAGATCGGCAGTGCGGTTGGTGAATCTGTAAGTAACCTCTACGCAGCTGGTCAGCATTCAGCGGCCCGCTCCTGGAAGAGGCTGAGTGCATATACCAATCTCGGGGAAGTACTTCAGGACCGCGCATTGCATGGTAAGCTTGTAGAGATCGGTATCCAGCAACGAACCAATGCCCTCGGGCATTTCCTCCCTTGAATTCGCCATGCTGATACGAATTGTTGAACTTGGTTGTGTATGACAACAGTGACTGATGAAGCTCGACGCGAAAGCACCGCGATGGAAAAAAGTCATGACCCCCACATGACGCATGGACGTGTTTCAGCTTTTGTGTCAGAGTCTCTTGTCTCATCTCACTCCATACACCATCACTTCACTGTGTCTGAATGCTAGACAGATTGCCTTTCTTTCAACTCCCCTCAACTTTCATATGATCGGGCTGCAAGACGTATCCCAGTCAATGCCGCGGGACTGTGGTGTCCTTCGGAAGTCTTGTCCAACTTTGGTCGATCTGGTGAATCTTCGAACCTATTCTGATATACTAGAAATGACTTGGTCCTGAATTACCTGCATAGAGCCCATACTGTGCTTACAATGTTGTTTTGACAGACATATGGTAACATTGAAGCTTTGGCCTATGAGCAGCTGCCAGCGGTATGCTTTGAGAACGGTTCAAACCCACTGACACATGTTGTACAGTCTGCCCAGCCCATATTTCAGTAGTTCAATAGTATTCGGTATAGCACAGATCCTCAATACTCTTGACAGACTCTACATGGATAAGTCGCATGAATTGAATGTGAGAGATCAAAGTCCTGTTCAGGCTTCATGATATCGCGGCAGCTCGGAGTTTATCCATCATTGTCCCGAGACGCGCTCGGGCCGTCCTCATCGTCATCGAATACAGGCTGAATTCGGGGGTGTTGCTCCGATAACAATTATCCATTGCGCTTTGCGACAGGAAGACACGACTGGCGCTTCACTTCTGCATCAATTCACTGCTTTGTCCTTTCTTCTCTCTCTTCGTCCATCTTCAAAGCGCAGCGCGTCTTGTTCCTCTTCCACATCCAATCTTTCTCACAATCACAGCGTCAAAATGGCTTCGTTCCTTCGCTGGTTCGTCCTATCTATCAGGTCTATCCTTTTCATGGCTAACAAATATCCAGGTATGGCGTGAAGCTCGCCCAGCGCCCTATGCTCACTCAGAGTGTCACTACTGCTGTACGCATTGAGAGTTATTAGACAAGAGTGTCCAAATATTAACAGGCATGCTAGGTCCTCTTCGCAACTGGTGATACCATGGCCCAGCAGGGTGTCGAACAGGTTGGCTTGAAGAACCACGATCTTGCGCGTAGTGCTCGCATGGCACTCTATGGTGGAGGTATGTGTCCATGGGCCCTACAAGCCAAGTGCAATGCTAATTAAGATGTTCCAGCTGTCTTCGGTCCTCTCGCTACCACCTGGTTCGGCTTCCTGCAGCGTCGTGTCCGCATTCCTAGCTCGCCCAACATGGAGATCCTTGCTCGTGTCGGTCTCGATCAGACCGTCCTTGCTNNCCCCCTCAACTTGTTCGCCTTCCTGTCCTCGATGGCTATCATGGAAGGATCGGACCCTCAGAAGAAGATCGAGTCAACATACTGGAATGCTCTCTCCAAGAACTGGATGCTCTGGCCATTCGTTCAGGCCGTAAACTTCAAGTTTGTCCCTCTTCAACACAGAGTTTTGGTCGTCAACGTTGTCTCATTGGGTATGTGCCGCTCCTTTGCAATTGACAGTGGCTTTGTGCTAACACGGTTCCANGGTTGGAACTGCTACCTTTCCTACCTCAACTCTACCGGATCTCCCACCCCTAAGGAACTCCCTCCTTCATAAGGTTGAGGACATGCTAGAACCATAGCTCTCTCCGCATGATCTTTCGATATCGAGCCTAACAAACGCCTCGATCCGAATTTACTTTGCGTTAACGAAAGATGGCAAACAGCCACAAACTTCCTCAGTCACGGTAATTGTGCCTTGATTTATACCTAGCTTTGCTTCATCAGACCACAGACATTGTACAATAGCTGCGCGAGCGATGTTCTAGACGCTATCAAAAATGGCATATACAAATGCTTTTTGCTCTTTCATGCTGCAATATTCTCATGACTTCGCCTACTAGTTCCCAAGCGTATGCCGGCGTGATTGAAGGTTATCATGACTCTCGTGCCTTTGCCTTCTCCTCTTCCTCGGGCGTGCGAGTCTTGAGCTGGAGAGCATGAATGCCGCCCTCAGCAGCCATCTCATCTTTCAGCAGTGTGTAGACCATTCTGTGTCTTGCTGGTTGCATCTTTGATTTGAAAGCATCTGAAACGATGTTGACCCTNNAAGAATGTGTTAGTCGTAGTCCGTACAGCTTCACTGTTATGTTTAATGCAAGTTGGTGAACATCAGATTCTACTTGCCTGAAATGCGTTTCTCTCGAAGTTACACCTTCCATTGCCTTGTGGTGAGCATGCTTATGTGAATCGTTGAAGATTTCGAGAGAAGTCGGCTTCAATTCCTGTGTGATCTGCGCATTGTCAGAAACTCTGTCGAGTTCTACACACATCGACTTGACGTGCATACCTTTAGNCTTGATGGCATCTTCCATTGGTGTCATTGAGGAAGTCATGGTAGAGAACGGCCTTCTGGATGCCGATGCAACAAATCGGCGCAACATTCGACTGTAGCTGCTTGCTTCAACGGTCAGTCACACATTCGTGGGTCTGTATTTTGGTGAAGGCGGTTCTACTTGCCTAAACTTGCACTGATGGCGAGTAGAGTTGATGGAGAATCTTTGGTCAAAATGATGACCAAGTTTGGCTAGATGGACATCATGCACGGACCAGTATCACTATCTTATGCCCAAGAACAGTTTTGCAAGAACAGTTTGGAACCCTGTCCTTCTGCAGTATGGTACAAACAACCGTCTCGATTCTCTTGTCTTGTCAAACTTGCGATTTCCAAGCTCAATAGATATCTGTCCAACAGACTGTGCAGATCTCTCTATAATATCCTGCCTTGATATCTACAAGCCCTACTTCTGTTGCCAACATGGTCGCGTGAAACTTCTCCATACGGCCTAGCAGGACCCCTCCAAGCGTGGAGTATCCTTTGGTGGGGCAGCCGCGATTTCGTAGCTCTCTGCCTTATCGTTACCCAAGAACATCCGTACGTGCTTGAGGATTGTGGCCGGTAACTGATTTGCCTTACGTAGGTGTAAGCATATATCTACGAGGGTGGTTCCCCTCTTATTTCTCCTCTTCATGTATCGCTCCCTCCTCCGTTCTTCTGCTTCTCTTTCTTTTCAGTTTCCAAGATACCCTGCTCCTTTGAAGCTTTTTACAGTTGTTGCTCGCAATATGTCTGGTCTTTCGGTTGAGCTTACGGCACCTAATGGTGTCAAGTATACACAGCCTACTGGTCTGTTTATAAACAATGAATGGGTCAAGTCGTCGAAGGGCAATAAGATTTCTAGCATAAACCCTAGGTAAGTCTGCTTTTCTACGTCTTGGATTGTGCCAGGAGCAGTTCAAACCAAATCACACTGAGGCATGGAAACAAAGATTCAAGTAGCTATCTCTGCTGAGCAGAGCTCTGATGCTTGTCTGACTTGGTTTCCCACGCACTTTCATTTCCTCAAGCCTGGCTACTTATTCGATCACATTCCCCCGAGTCTGTGACGATGGCTGACATGAGATTCACAGTGATGAGAGCGAGATTTGCTCCGTCGAAGCCGCCGAAGCCGAGGATATCAACAAGGCCGTTGCCGCAGCAAGANNAAAAGCATTCAAGGGCGAGTGGAGACAGATTGCCAGCACAGACAGAGGAGAGCTCATGATCAAGTTGGCCAACTTGATCGAGCAACACAAGGAAGTTCTTGCAACAATCGAGACTTGGGACAATGGTGAGCAACAATCTCTACAACACTTTAGACGATTGAAGTTGACAAGACTTGTATANGGCAAACCATACTCAGTCGCACTAAACGAGGACCTGGGCGAGGTCGTTGGAACACTCAAATACTACGCTGGATACGCAGACAAGATCCACGGACAAGTCATTGATACCACACCGGCCAAGCTGGCCTACACAATCCGCGAGCCAATCGGTGTTTGCGCTCAAATCATTCCTTGGAACTACCCTCTCGCCATGGCAGCATGGAAACTTGGTCCTGCTCTCGCTGCTGGAAACACCATTGTCCTCAAGCCCGCCGAGCAGACACCTCTTGCTATCCTCTACCTCGCCAACCTGATCAAGGAGGCCGGTTTCCCACCTGGTGTCGTCAACATTGTCAACGGCTACGGTCGTGAAGCAGGCTCCGCCCTCGTCCAACACATGGACGTCGACAAGGTCGCTTTCACCGGCTCGACCGCAACGGGCCGCGAAATCATGAAGATGGCCGCCGTGAACCTCAAAAACATCACTCTCGAGACCGGCGGCAAGTCTCCTTTGCTGGTCTTCGACGACGCAGACCTCGACCAAGCAGTAAAGTGGTCTCACATCGGCATCATGTCCAACCAAGGCCAGATCTGCACAGCCACCTCACGCATCCTCGTCCAAGAAGGCATCTACGACAAATTCATCGCAGCCTTCAAGGATCACTGCAAGGAAACCAGTGTGGTCGGCGACCCCTTTGCCGAAACCACCTTCCAAGGCCCTCAAGTAACAAAGCAACAATACGAACGCGTACTTTCCTACGTCGAAGCCGGCAAATCAGAAGGCGCAACACTGATCTCTGGCGGCGAGCCCTTCAAGCAAGACGGCAAAGGCTTCTTCGTCAAACCCACCATTTTCGCAGACGTCAAGGATGACATGCGCATTTTCAAGGAAGAGGTGTTTGGGCCTTTTGTGGTCATCTCCAGCTTTAGAGATGAGCAAGAGGCGGTGGACAGAGCAAACAACTCTACATATGGGTTGGGCTCTGCGGTGTTTACCCAAGACATTACAAAGGCGCACCGTGTGGCGAGAAATATCGAGGCTGGAATGGTGTGGATTAATTCGAGCAATGACTCGGATTACCGCGTTCCGTTTGGTGGTGTCAAGCAGAGTGGTATTGGTAGGGAGTTGGGTGAGGCTGGTCTTGAGGCCTATACCAACAAGAAGGCTATCCACGTCAACTTGGGCACCAAGCTGTAAAAAGGTGGATCGCAAAGGTGATGGCTCAAACAAGAACCATGTCAGGTTTTACTCATACATAGCTAGCTATGAAAGCTAGAAATACCACTGTCATGATTTAGTGGTACAGATTGTCCCTCATCACAAGTTCTGCTTGCTAAGCATCAACTTCGACATCTCTGCGTGGACCAGAGTCGAGATCGGGCATCCAACCTTTTGGTCGCTCTCTGCCGCGGATGACTAGACCGTACAATGCCTTTTCCACCTTTTCAACACTCGTCTGCATAACATCCATCTTCTTATCCACATCACGGGCGAATGAACTGCCAAAGCCCACATTCAAGCCTTCTAGCTCTGACCGCAGTGCGCGCAGATCTGTGAGCACGTCTCTGTGGTTGCCAGGTTGGGTATCCACATCCATCTTGTCCGCCGATGCGGTGCTATCGCTCGACTCGACCGAAGGCAGCTTACCATCCGTAGCCATGGTAGTGATGGAGAAACGCATCAACTCGCCCGTCATATCAAAGACACCAAGCAGATAATCCTCGACTGTGAGTTGTACCGGACCACCCTGTCCACCCAGTGTACGCAATTGCTCTACCGAGTCTTCATATGTGAGCAATGTTCCAGTGGTGAGATAGTGCTGGAAAATAGCAGCCTCCATGTACTCCTGATTGCCACCGGTAATATTGCGGGCATATCTCCAAGCGTTCAGTCCTTGGAGTTCGGCAGAGATTGTGTTGTAGCGCTGATTGATGATATCGTAGTATTGCGCATTATTCTTGTTGACGTGTGCGGGCAGCGGTTGTGCAAGTTTGCGGATTCTAGGTTGCATACCAATCAGCTTTCTGTCGCTGGAGTTGTCGTGAAGGGCTTCTTTTTGTTTCAATCGCACCTTTGAAGGGTAAAGATACTGTGGTTCGCCTCTTGTCAGCCATGGACACAGGCAATGACTCTTTTTGTATCAAGGGACGGACATCTTCTTTGATGCAGCGGTTATGTCTCGCGATGCTTTGATGGTGCGTTCGCGGCGGTCGTGGTGTTCGTCGAGTTCGGCGCGGAAGGTCTCGAACATGGGCAGAAAGGGCGATTGTGTGTCTTCGGAGGCCTCCATTGTGTCTGATCTCGGTCGCTTTTGGCCCATTTGTTGTCTTGTTTCGGCGATTTCTTTGTCGCAGCAGCTGCTGGCTTTCTGTTTTGGCGAGCTTTTGGTTATGTCACAGAGAGGGCTTCAGTCTTGGCATCAAAGGGTTCCGATCGTGTCCCGCATTCGGTCCCAAACATCGGCCCGCTTCTTCTCTTTCATCTTTGATCTCACCACCCAAAGTGATACAACGAGATTGACAAAAGAGTTACGATCCTGGCAATGAGCGAAATCGAAGGTCGGGTCGCCGTTGCTGGATTTCAACCTCCACAATGTCGAGTCTGAAATCGCATGCTCGAACATGCCGCGTGGATGTCAAGAACAAGGAATGTGCAGCCGGGACAAAGGCATTCTTACACCCCTTCGTGCCGCGCGAGATCCAGATCCTGCAACAACTTCTTGATGAACCGCAAACGGAAACTGGGGACGAACCGTTCTGCTCTTGGTAACTGAGATAAAAGACCGAAAATACAAGTAGGCTTTCCAAATGCCAGCCGGAGGTCGCGTCCTGTAATCCATTCCATACCTCGATTACTGCCTACTGTTTATACGTTCTCACATACATATTCATCATGGTTAGAGCCTCTGTCGGCAAGCCGGCTCCAGACTTTACCGCCACGGCGGTCATGGATGGCAAGCTCAAAGGTAAAGCCATTTTCGTCTAGCCAACTCACTTCCAGACACTGACTGGCGTTGTAGAAATCAGTCTGAGTGCCTACACCGATGCCAATCACTGGGTCGCTCTCATTTCCTTCCCCAAAGCCTGGTCGTTTGTCTGTCCGACCGAGATTCGGGCATTCAGCGCACGCCTCGAAGAGTTCCTTTACTCTCGCTCTTGTGCCGTTGTCTTTGCCTCTACCGACACAGAGCTTTGTCTTCGTGCCTGGAACCACACCAATGAGATGGAAGGAGGCCTCGGTGGCGTTCATGTGCCTCTCATGAGCGACAGCAACCACAAGATAAGTCGCGATTATGGCGTCCTGCTCGAGGATCAGGGTGTCGCCGAACGTGCTCTCTTCATCATCGATCCCAAGGGAAATGTCAGAAATATCACCATCAGCGACGCAGATGTCGGCCGCAGTGTTGATGAGACTCTGCGTATCATCGATGCTCTCGCTTTCAAGGACGAGTACGGAGAAGGCTGCCCTGTCAATTGGAAGAAGGGTGATGCCGGTCTCAAGATGGCCGAGCAAACCAAGGTTGAAGGCCCTCTCGATATGAAGAAAGGGTCAACTTGGTCTGAGTGGGCTCGTCCGAAATTGCAGCGTGCTTGGAGTGGACAATCGCAGAGGTCTGTTGGCAGTGGTACATTCAGAACTCTGGGCCATTTCAAGTCGGTCTCTGAGACACCGACACCACCTTCGCCACTTGTTTCGCCTACGAGCGCTGTCAGTATGGAGAGGAACATGGAAGCTGCTATGGCCAACCACTTCATCGGTCTTGCTACTTAGCTTGTAATAGTTAGTTAGCTATGATGTAAGGAGATTTCATGACGAAGCCTCAAGATTCGAGCAATAAACTCATGCAAGTAACAGATGTGATCTCGACGAATAATGATGAGTTGAATCTTCCCCATCCTCTCATAGTCAGTACATAAATGCAGTCGACAAAAGTTTCTGATGCCTTCTCAGGAGTGATGGGTAAAAATGCCAAGACTTTGGTCCGGCAAAAGTCCACCTCGACCTCTCCTATTCTGTTAGTTCACAAAACATATAAACTCATCAAAAACATCACGAGGGAGTCCCGACCGCATAGCATTCTGGACAAAATGTCACAATCAACTTCACTGGAGCCCGGAGGATCTAACCCCAGAGCCAAAGAATCAACAATAACAACCCTCTTCTCCAACACCCACCTCATCCTCAGCATCTCCGCCTTGCTACGCGCAACACTCCTCCTCTGGGGCGAATACCAAGACGCAAATTCTCCCCTGAAGTACACAGACATTGATTACTTGGTTTTCACCGATGCCTCTCGCTATGTTCACCACAATCAATCTCCATACTTGCGCGACACGTATCGATATACACCACTCTTGGCTTGGTTACTCTATCCCACCGCTTTGGGGGGTCGCTGGTTTTGTTTCGGTAAAGCGGTGTTTGCGGCTGGCGATATTGTCACTGGATATTTGATTTTCTTGCTGTTGAGGAAGACGGTGGGCATGGGAAAGGAAAAGGCGATGGGGTTTGCGAGTATTTGGTTGTTGAATCCCATGGTTGCTAATATTAGCACTAGAGGTAGTAGCGAAGGTTTGCTTGCTGTCATTGTGGTGGGCACTTTGTGGGCGGCGCAGATGGGGTATACGAGGTTTGCTGGTGTGTTGTTGGGGTTGGGTGTGCATTTCAAGATTTATCCGTTTGTTTATGCGGTCAGTCTGTTTTGGTGGATGGATGGAAGTAAAGCTGGGAGTTGGGATGGGAGAGGTGGTATGCTTGGTGGTCTCGTCAACAAGAAGAGGGTGCAATTGGCTCTGTTCAGCTTTGTCACTTTCAGTGGGTTGAACATGGCCATGTTTAAGCTGTAAGCCCTTCTTTTTCCCTGCTGATTCCTTTTTGCTGACATTTTTCTGTTTTTCCATAGTTATGGCATGGATTTCATCCGTCACAGCTATACCTACCATCTCACCCGCATCGATCATCGCCACAACTTTTCCGTCTACAACACTTTACTGCACATGAAGTCTGCTGCCACCTCATCCTCGGGCCTCGGCGTTGAATCTCTGGCTTTCTTCCCCCAACTTCTTCTCTCTGTGGTTGTCATTCCTTTGCTGTTGGCAAAGAAGGATCTGGCGGGTACAATGTTGGCTCAAACGTTTGCATTCGTCACGTTCAACAAGGTGTGCACGAGTCAGNNGTATGTTTTGATGGTTTTGGAAAGATTTTCCTGTCTAGTTGCTGACGAGTGGAAAACAGTACTTTTGTGGTATATGGTCTTCTTGCCATTCTACCTTCCTAACTCGTCGTTGTTGAGGAAGCCCAAGCTTGGATATACTGCTCTTGCCCTCTGGGTCATCGGTCAGGTAAAAGATGGACCTTTCCTCCCTCGAACTTTCTCGCGTGACTGACAATTCTGACAGGCGCTGTGGCTGCACCAAGGCTACGAACTCGAGTTCCTCGGCAAATCGACGTTTGTGCCAGGGCTCTGGGTAGCCAGCGTCCTTTTCTTTGGCATAAACTGCTGGATCCTTGGTATCGTGGTCTCAGACATTGCTTCCCAGCCCTCGTCCAGCCCTGCTTCTGTCCTCAAGAAGGCAGAATGATGCATATAGCCCATATCGCTCTGTGTAGTTGTATATAGCTTCTCTTCTTTCTTCCAAAAAGCTTCAACACTTTCAATCCTCCCCGTCATCAATCCCTCCTTCATTGTCGGCTTGAGTAGACACCCAATTCTCCAACATTTGCGTGCCTTGCGAGGTTTTCTTGACACCCTTGCGCTTGACGATCAAACACAGTATCCGGCCATAGATACTAAAGCCCTCGTATTGCGTGTTGATGCCCATCTTTTTCTTGTCGTCCTCTTCTTTGTCTGTTGCATCCGCGACTTTGCTTTTCCTCTTTTTGCGCGGATGTTGTACCTCTTCTTCTTCCTCGTCGTCTTGGCTGTGTACGAAGATATGTTCATCATCGTCGTCGTCATCATCATCATCACGGACACGTTTATTCCTCGCAGGAACTTCAGGTATATCTCCCATATTCATACCTCCCATCTCTTCCTCGCCATCTTCCTCGACCAAAATCGCAGGAACTTCCTCTTCATCAGCAACTCGTATCGCCGAATCTTTATCCTTGCCTCGGAAATAATTCGTCATTGTGAGTTTGGAGGTATTGCTTTCGATTTTGGGTTTTGCGAGGGAAAATGATTTTTGTTTTGTGAGCATGGCGTGCGAAGTGGAGGTTTCGGTCAAGAAGATGGAGACTTCAAAGTCGTNCTGTTTTTCGTGTGTGCTACCAGTGTCAGTGATTCTTCACTTTCATAATGCGAATTCCATCAGGGTAGAGGTAAGGGGGGGAAAGAAGCAAGAAAACGCACCTTGCACAACCACATCCCTGACCCCCTTCTTCTTCTTTCCTCCCTTTTTCTTTGCATTCTCGTTTTCTTCGCGCAATTTGGGGAGCACCAGTGGTCGTACGGCTTCGATCACTCGTGGTAGCACTGGATCGCGCGAGTTGAGCAGCCACGAGGAGGCAAGAGCGGGGTTGTCGAGGTAGATGCGTACTTCGAGCACAGAGTAGCGTGTGATGCGTAGATATCGTCGTATTGGCGCCATCGTGATATGAGTGTGTGTGTTTGTTGTAAGAGAGGTGTGATGGTTTGTTGTTGAATCGTCGCGTTAATTGGTGACGAAGGGTCGCGAAAGTCGACGTCATAGGTGTGGTCAGGGTTATCCCCTGAGCGACCACTTTTGTTTATCGCATCCTGAGTACATTCTCCCCGTAAGCGATAGAGAGTCATGTTATAGCTATCAAGTTGCACAAATCATTCTGTACCAGATATTGATCTACGGTAAGGACTCCATGTCAACGTGGCTTGTCGATGACACCTCCAGGTGTTTAGAATGAGATTGTGCTTCTCTAGAGCTCAAGATTCCATAACAAGCTATTGGGGGAACAAGGGCAATTCGACAAACCATGCGATGCTATAGTGATTCTTGAGATATGTATGCATAATCTGGATTTCGATTGAGTTGTTTGCTGACGCCGGTGCTATGCAGAGCCACCAAACGGCAAGCCATGTGATAAATAATCCTCCCTCCATCCCATTGCGAGAAGGGCACCTCAAAACTCCATGATAAAAATCCCATCTTCCAGGGCCCGTTGCCCATCAAAATACCAGTTGTGAACCGCTCGGTGACTCGTGAATACGAACTCCACCCTTCACGACAAGTGGAAAGCTCCTTGTCCCTCCTTGATTGCAACACTCAACTTGGCCCTCAGCGCTTCTTGTGAGCTGTAGTTGGGCATCTTCAGGTAGTTGACACATGTCATGACACTCGGCAGGTAGTCGTCAGGCATGAGCGGAGGCTCGTTTGGCTTGCACACCACTGTGAACATCGGTGTCAATGATTTGAATCCTGTTTCATGGTTAGCATTCTCCTCAAACATAAATCTGTTCTTCTGTAACTTACCTCCAATGGGAAGCTTGGGACTGCCAGTGACGAACTGCAGGAAGTCGCGTCTCTCAGGCATAGTGAACTCTGACATGGTCTGCAGAAGGTTCTTGACGCTTGTACTGTCAAGGTTGAAGCCATGGTCGGCCTTGATCGAATCCATAAGTGTCTCAAGGGACCAGTCCTCCTCTGCACGGCCGAAGAGCATCACCAGCTCATCAGGTGTGAACGCGTTGAGAGCCGAGTAAGGGAAAACCTGGGAAAAGCCGGCACAGAATGCATCGACTTGCTTCTGTACTCCTTGACCGAGGGTGAAGTCGATGACTCTTTCGACATACAGCTCGACGTTGTCAATGGTCACATCAATCTCAGCACCCTTGGCCTGGAGCTCAATAGTGGGGTAACCAGGCAGCGTAAAGTCAAGACCAAGGTCCTCAATAGAGGCATCCTTGATTTTGATGTCCTTGATAGCTTGCGTCTTTTGCTCTGCGGTGAGTCTTTCGTCTTCCTGGATGTCCTGCTTTGCTCTGACACAGCGCATAAGAGGCTTCAGAGATTTGGCAAGGTCCTTGTCCACAGAGGCAACAGCACCGAGGGATGGCTTGATTGTGGAGTTGCCAGCGCCAATACGGAAGAAGGTGGGGTTGAAAGAGACATCAATGATGCGCGAGTCCAGCATCGAGCGTGCAACAAACTTGCCCAACATCTTGAACAAGTGCAGCACTTTCTTGCCATGCTCGTCGGTTGACTGCTCTTCGCTCATTGGCGCAGGGAACAAGCCGCGCATGCCGAACGCATAATCATCACCAGCGATCGACTCGTTCTCACGCCAGAGCTTGATCTTCTTCTTCGAGAATTCCTTAGAGACGGTCGAATAGAACTCAAGAGTCGGGCCAAGTCCAGTACCGACCTCTTCGAAGTATTCAACCTCAAGAATGCTTGGAGATGATCCGTAAAGCTCCATGACCTTGATGGCAGATTCTAGAATTCTACTGCGAGAAATGCGAACCTTTTGTCTCTGTAGACGACCCAGAAAAGGTCGTTCATCGCGATGGCGTCTGGACTCGTTCTCAGATTGAGCGTTCTGCCATCTAGTCATGGACCGTGAGTAGCCGAACGATGTTGACTGAAGGAAGAAGTGCCTGGTCTCGAATGGAAACAGGAAAGGATACAGACGTGCGAGGTCCTCGCTCCAAGTAGGAAGGCAGTTGCTGGCCACTATGAGAGGCTCTTCGAGCTGGCGGTTGAGCTTGGCGGTCAACTTCGTGTTGACAAACTGCGCCAATGGCTCTGAGCTCATCTGAGTGTCCTTGCTTTGCTCTTCAGCGATAATGTCCTCCAGATTAGCATTCAAGTCATGCAGAGTGCTCATCAAACGAAGAATGGCAGCAGTTGCGGGGTGTTGACTGAGCGAAGGAGGAAGTTCGGAGGAGGTAGCTGTGAATGCATCGGAGGTTGAATGCAGCGTGCTAGGCTCGGCAGGAGGAGGTCCAGGAGCACGTCTGAAAGAGATAGTGTGTACTCTCGACCAAATGTTACGGCTCGACACCTCGTCAGGATGTGTCTGGTTGAAATGAACAGCGCGATAGATTGTAGTGTCGTTCGACAATAGCTGCCCATCGACGCTGAACTCAATGTGCCAATCCTGGGAAACAGGCTGAATCGCAGAAGCGTTGGCAGCAGATCTCTGAGAAGTGGGAGTAGAGAGCAGTTCTCGGGCTGCAGCAAGTCTCGCAGAAGCGGAGGTACGAGAAGTCGCTGACTGCTGTGAGCCTTGTAGCGGGGTACTGATGCGAGTACCGTCCTCTTTGTGAGCAGTTACTTTGCCGCTGTTAGCGACTTCCAAGTTGACTGCTGAGGTATCTTGATCCGCATCCTCCATGTCCTGGTCTTCGTCGTCAAAGTCGTCAACGATGGCGTCGAGATCTTCTCCGTCATCCTCGTCTTCGTCGGAGAGAGCAGCTTCGTCGGCGCACTCAAGCTGTTGATCATCCTCGGCCGCATCGGAGTCCTTTTGTGTGACTTTGCGCGAAGACCTACGCAAGCGGTTGGTGGCGTCACCACTGTTCTGGGGAGTGCTATCAGGTTTGGAAGATCTTGTGTGAGTGCGTTTGCTTGAAGGAGGGGTTGAGGCTCCTCCGGTGGCATTTCCGTCTCCACGGGCAACTGCTTCGGCGAGACTGCTAGTCAATGCATCACGGCTGCGTACAGCTCTCTCCGCAAGGCTGATGCGTGGACGAAGATAGTCATCAAGAGCTCTGAACGTCGCGATGGCATGGATCGAAACCATTATATTTCTGTATGGCTTCGGGATACCAGAGTCATCGTTGGCTTCTAGTTTGATACGCAGCTGCTTGGCAAGCATTGATGCTGCGCCACTCCTGCTGCTGTCAGAGGCATTTTGGTGGACAGTGATCACCTCGAAGTGCTCAGTACGGCTGAGCAAATCTTGTAATTTGTGGACCAAGGAACTGAATGCAGTGACTGGTGAGGTTGTATTGCCAGTTGCGATTGCCTGTCCTCTTCGTGACATGAATGCATCCAGGAAGGCTGACCTCGCTGCACGACCTGTGTTGCTTTCTGAAGACTTGAAGATCTCGAGAAGGGTTGACACAATGTCAGAGGTAAGCAACTCGTAACTTGTGATGGTCTCAGGTGTGTCGCCATCAAAGTGCTTGGCGAGGCGTTGGAATAATGCAGATCCATCAGAGAGGTTGTTCGAGTTGTAACACTGGCGAAGGTCTTCGGCAAGGCGCTTGAGCTCTGATAATGCTCTCGAAGCCTCACCAAGCCCACCATCGTTCTGGTAAGCCTCAACGAACTTGCGAGCCCGGGACGTGATGACGTCTTGTACGCTGGAAGTAAGGGATGTACGCGAATTTTGTACTCCAGAATCTGATTCTGAGTCGTCATCATCGTCGTCGTGGTCATCGTTGTCATCATCATGCTCTCCAGCGGATCCCTCATCGGGATAATCAGGCTCACTGTGCTCTCCATCATCTTCACCACCGTGCTCTGGTCTGACTGGAAGCTCTGCAGAGAAAGAAGAAGGTACATCGGCAAGCGGTGCTGAGGCAGTGCCAGACTCTGCTGAACTGGTCGAGGTAAGTTCGCGTTGTGCAAGCTTGCTGACCTCAGCCATGACACCTTCACGATAGAACTGGGGCCTGTAGGTCGACTCTAGACGCTTGAGGAGAAGTTCGGCGATTTGCAACGCAAAGGTGACGAGCATCGGGTTCTCTTGCTGTGTCAGAATCGACGCGAGATGTGAAGCGTAAGCCACGCCTGAGAGAGCATCTTCGAGCACGCTGGTGTCGAAATTAGAAAGCATCTTAAGCTGTGCAGTGAGCACTTTCTGCCTGACGCTGAGGTTGACAGTACTGGTATAAGCGTGCATCAAAGTCGGGAAGAGTATCTCTGCAAAGCGTCGAACTTCAGGCTGACATTCTCGCAAGAGTTCCAAGCGGTTGTCATTGGGTGAGCTGCGAGCACGAGTGCCCATCGAGACACTGCCTGGACCAACGTTGCCAGCATCGGTGAGGTCGTTGATGAACATGAGGTTGTCGGGCGAAACACTTGGGAGAATCTCGCAGACAACGTTCAGGGTCTCGAAGATCTGATCGCGTGGCGTACGAATGAGAGCTTGCATGATGATGTTCTTATCAATCTTCATGGCAACATCATCGTTGCTTGAAGGTGGCGAGACTCCTGTAAGAATTTGGTAGAGAGTATCGACAACGTCCATACGCAGCAGCTCAACAGCCAAGCGCGGGCTTGCTCTCGCGGTAATGGACAGGACGCGCAAGAATTGAGTATGTATGCTAGGTCCGATCATGGTGGTCGTGCCAGGCAGAAGTAGTCTGAGTACAGCCTTGAGCAGTTCGGGGCTGACCAGCTCTTCGAGCTTGGACTCATGATATCTGAAACTCTCTACGATCCTAGAAACACATAGCGAGCCTTGTTCGACGACCCGTTGATCACTACTCGACAGGACGTTGAGAAGAATAGGCATGACGTCGCGTACGGTAGGGAACGAGTCTTCAGACAGATTTCTGCAGCAGTTTGCGGCAGTAGTAACGGCGCTTCTTTGTGTGCTAGTGGCGAAGAAATCGAGGTAGGTCAGGCAGGCAGTAAGACCACCCTCACGAACGATAGAGGCGGGGAACTCGATCGAGATCTTCTCCAAGGTGCTAAGGGCTTGCTCGGCGACATCGATGTAATGGATTTCGAGGAGCTTTTGGCATAGGACAGGGACAGCACCGCCGTAAACGACGCTCGCGGTAGCCTGAGGCAGGGCCTCCATCAAGTTTGCGATACATCTGCAGGCCAACAGCATCATCTCAGGATTCTCTTCACCGGTGAAGTCGTTCGGCTGCATGAGGTCCACCAATTCCTTGACGAACTGATCTGGAGAGAAGTGGCCAGCGAGGTTGTCCTCATTGGAAACGAGCAAGATTTCCGAGAGCTCAGTGAGGGCAACCATTTGCACCGAGGGGTCATCCTTTGCACGAAGGTTTTCCAGGATACCTCGCAGGCGTGTCGTCATACCGGACATGATGCCACTGAGGGCGCGAAGAGTACTCGATATACCAGCGGGCATGCCTGCGCGGTTAAGGAAGGCGCCAGAGAAAGGATCATCACCCGGTTCGCCGCCAGAGTATCCAAGAGCAGCAGCCGCGGCAGCAACATCTTCGTCATCATCATCATCTATTCCCTCATTATCATCATCGTTGTCTTCCGGGTCGTCTTCATCGTCGTCGTGGTCGACAGGCATACGTGGTGGTTCGGGCTCGGGGCGACTGGACGGGGAGTCTGGGATCTTTTTGTGTGAGGACTTCTTGGAGGACTTGCGCGAGGACGACGGTTGGCCAGATTGAGGAGCTGAGACCAGGTTAGAAGTGTGGTGGGAGGAGAAGTTTGGAAGATGTGGCGGACCTTGGCTGCTCTTTCTACGGGACGACCTACGTTTGCTGGTGGAGGCGTGGTCGTCTGGTGATGTGGGAGAGTGCTTGGACCTGTTCATGGCGGGACGGGAAAGATCTTGGTCATCATGGCTAGAAGAAGACATGTTCTTTGAGCGCCTGGATGGCTGAGTGTGGCCAGAGGATGGGTTGGAAAGACGAGCTCTCTTGGATCTGCGGGGTTGGGCGGTGTCCGAAGAAGCAGGCGGCGGTGGGTCGTCCTGAGACTGTTTGCGCTTGCGAGAGGAGGACGAGGTGGTCGAGGCTGATGGCGGAGGAAGTGCAGAAGGATTGATGGATGTACCGGCAGCAGTAGGGTCGGTGGTAGGGAGGGCCGGAGCGGCAAGTCTCGCTGAAGAGCGAGTTACTCTGGGTGGCATGAGCGGCGTTTACGAGGGAGTGTCATGGATGTAGGTGTGTGATGGGACGAGTAAAGCAGAGGTCGTGGTGATGGAAGTAAAAAGGCGGTGGAGGCGAGGGTGAGGGTGTTGGGTTGGCTGACCTTGAGGTGGTTGCACTTGATGAATGTTCGAATGGTGGCTCTGGCTCATCCATGGAGCTTTCTTTCACAGCTCCATAAGCGAAGGGAAAGAGCAAGCCTGCGCGCGGGAGGGTAGCGGCCAGTCACAAACAGGGCCTTCTTCACTTGTTCAATACAGCAGGATATCAAGCTACGGTATAGCAGGTATCTTCAGAGTTACGGGTGACAGAGGGCCGGCCAGGGTATCAGCAAGTGCCCCGTTGATAGACGTGCCGAAGCGATCAAAGCGCCCTCGCAACTCCGAGACAGCAGCCCTCATGCCACTCATCCACCCCCAATCACCGCTCCGACACAAGTCGCACGCCTCTAATTCCATGTTGCAGTAGGTCAACACGTCACATTGCCCCTTGTCTTCTGGCCCATCCCACCTCTGTATTCGTATACCACCATTCTGCCGCCTGTCCTGTCTCTGCTCCCTTAACGCCGGCCCAGCAGCCATGTCGTCACTCACGCAAAACGTCTTTGGTCTCTATCAAAGCTCGGGCGCGAACCTTGAAAGTCTCATGGCGCGGTCATAGACAGCCCAACACACGCGACTCTTTCTAACACCCTGATCTCACACTCCTGAATATTGTGATTATGCGATTTGTTATAGACGTCCAATTTTGTCCTCCACAAGTATATCATAAACTAGAACATGGGTGATCTCTTCCACCAGCTCGAGGTCAGTCGCCAAACTCGACCCGCGACGAATCCCACTAACATTCTGCAGACAGAATACTGTCCACCAATTGATTCCGCTCTTTTCTCCGCCATTGTCTCTGACTATGACTTGACCAATTCAGACGCCGCGGCTGAGCTCAGAGGTACACTGGATGCTCTCAAGGCCACCGCTATCGAAGAAGAGGCTACCGGCTTCGATGCCTCTGGAAGCGGCGCCCAGCATGAAGACTTCAGCCCAGGACATCCCACCTCTGTGCCGGAAAGTGCTTCCGTCTCACGAGAAACCGACATGACCAGCCTGTCCAACGGCCTGTCAAGCGTCGACCTGGGCTCCGAAGGCTCCCCAGACCGTGCCGAATACGATTTCGAGGCTTGCGACCAAGACACCAAGGTCGCCATCCTGAGAGACATCTTTCCCTCGCTCTCCGAATACACAATCTCGCACACGCTCGCACACCACGACTCGAAATGGAAGCCCGCTTTCGACGACTTGTTGAACCAGGTCTATTTTGAAGAGGGTGGCACTATCGACGGCAAGGACAAGGTGTCGGCTAAGGGCATCGACGCCTTCAGCGAGGAGAACGTTGTCAAACGAGGGCGCAAAGGAAAGAAACGCGGCAAAAACATCAAGACTATCGACCCCATGAGGTCCTCTTCGCTACCGACCGAGTCGCGGCCATCAACCAACCAATGGCAGACTGCCAAAGGTGATGTCGACTTTATCTCAGATCGCGCCAATATCCCTGCCCAGCTCGTGCTCTCCTTGTACAACCAAGAAGACCGCTCGGTGTCACGAACCATCTCGGCCATCCTCAAGACCTTCTTGCCAGAAGACCCCCGATCAGAGGAACCCGAAATCCAAGTGGACGCTTCTGTTCTGGGCCAAGAATATCCCGGTCTCGCCCCTGAGTACTTGATAGCTCTCATAAAGCTAACCCAGCCATCCATCACAGCAGCCCGCGAACTCGCCAAAGCCCTGACCACAAAACCGCCGACCCACGAAACCGGCAATCGAGTCATCATCCCCCAATACGCTCCCGTACGAATCTCCGACGCAGACGACTTTTCCCAAAGCGGTTTCGACACCGACACCTCGAGCGTCGACTTTGGCTCCACCTCTACCTCGACAGCAAAACTCAGAGCAGCACGAAAAGCCGCCATGGACCAAGCCCGCGCCGCCTACCGCAAATCGCGATCCGACCGCCTCATGGGCGGCGCTGCCGGATATTATTCGCAGGTCGGTCGCGACCACGGCGCTGCACTCCACCAATCCCAAGCCGCAGAGGCAAACGCCATAGTCTCTGCCCAATCCTCGGCGTACGAGATTGACTTGCACGGTGTGACGGTGGAGAATGCTGTGAGGATTGCTCGTCAAAGGACACATGTTTGGTGGAACGGGTTGGGCGAGAACAAGGTCAATGGCCGGGTGGGTGCAGAGCAGCGTGCCAGTGGGTTCCGCATCATAACGGGTGTGGGACGACATAGTGCTGGCGGCAAGGGTGTGCTTGGTCCGGCGGTCAAAAAGGGTCTTGAGCAGGACGGATGGAGATTGGAGGTCAACAGCGGTGCCATCACCGTCAGAGGCAAGAGCAGGATACATTGAAAACAGATACACGCATTTGTAGAATTGAGGGTATTGGATACCTCAAGCACACTCTCGAGTAAGTTGTTTTCTTCGGCACTCATTTTTCTTGTAAACCGTGTCTACCACACTCTATTCTCTTTCGATTGTATTTCGCTGCTCGAGTTGAATTTCCTGTCTCGCTCTCTATTTTCTGCATGCGTGAGTGTTCTGTGATGTTTCTGTGTTTCTGCTTGGTGAGTCACATAAAAAGGAGTCTTGGACATTACATGAAGGGAAAGTGGTGTATTCTCTTGCATGACTGTCATCTACGGCTCTTTCAATTCAAAGTTATCACCAGTGCCATGAGGCAGTCTCAACGATACATGCCTTCTTCTCGTTGCAGATCTTCTCAGTCAGCCTTGCAGTCCTTCTCTTGTTCTTGTTCCTTCTCCTTTCATCCTTCATCTTGTTCTAGTATTACACATCATTCACATCCTTTCGCAACAGTCGATTCGACAAATTAGTTGCCAGTCAGCGAAGCGACGTCCTCTCCAATCAGACCGATGGCAGCGAGCTTGCGCTGAGCTTCGATGAAGTTGGTTCTCTCCTTCTGCAGCTCCTTGCGACGGATCTCGCGCTCACGGTCCTCGGCCAAGAGCTCCTTGCAACGTTCCTGGGCATCGCGAGTCTCAACCTCCAAGCCAGCCTTTAGCTGTGGCATTAGGTTAGTCTCGAGTTCGTGGAGAACCTCGGCCTGAATACCCTGAACGACATGGTCCAAGAAGCGAAGGAGAGCGACATTGTGGTAGCCTCCGACTTTGGCCATGACCTTGATCTCCTCTGCAAAGGGATCGTCACCGAGCTCGGCTCTGGCCTTGACATCAGTCCTGGCCTTCTTTTTACGCTCGGTCTGGTCGACCAAGATCTTGCCGGCGGCGCGGTCGGCGTTCTCCAGTTTCTCGACCAATCTTTGAGTAGTACGGCCGTCTTGCAAGATCTGCAGCTCTTTGTCGTGATGGTGTTTGAACCCCTCGGTGTTTAGGGTCAGAGGCTTACGCTGCTCCAAGTCTAGAGCGCGCTTCGCTTGCTGCAGTTGGTCGCGCATAGCATTGACCACGAAAGCCTTAACGATCTTCCTGGCCTCGCTGAAGAAGGCGGTGTTGAGCCATTGGGCACAAGCCTCTTCGAGAAGTTGGTCCAAGGTGCTCTGAATCTCTTGGTGAACGCTGTTGATGAATTCGAGCATGGGCTGCGCCCAACCGGCAAGAGTTTGTTTGCGAAGATGGTCGACAGCGAGAGGGTCAACCCCGCCGGGAACGCTCGAAGCCGTAAGCTTGCTCAGAGTTTCGCGAACCTCAAGCAGGCGGAACGTCTTCTTCATGGTTGTAGGAGCGGAACTGTTTCTAGGTGTAGCGACATCGGACTTGATCTTCTTTGCAGTCGAAGTGGTAGGTGTGTTGAATTCGGCTCTTCTTTTCTTGTTTGACTTGGACGGTTCGACGCTAGGACAGGGAGTACCGCCTCCTTCGTCGTCATCAGAAAGCAGAGAGAAAGTCGGGGCTTCGATAGCTTGACGGAATGTCTCGGGGGTTGCAACGACAAGGCCAGGGCGAAGCCCTTGCAGGTTGGCGTGGAAGGTGTTAGCCAGATCCTTGAGGGAATTGTGCATCTCGTTGTAAGGATGAACGCCTTGAGAGTGCTTCTCGACCGTGATACGGAAGGTAGTCAATGCCTCGAGCACTTTGCCCAAGGCATTCTCAGGCGGGTCAGGATACCCAGTGAGTTCGGTTTCAACCTCTTCGACGCGAGCATCCACCATTCTAGTGATTCTAGGCAAGGTGACAAGAATCTGCTTGGTCAGCTTAACTGACAAAGTGTCGCGAAGCTTGAAAGTTCCGAAACGGTCCTGGAAATCATGTAGCTCTGTAGTCCATGGATCCTGAGCGAAGAATTCGACTTCCGATCTGCGTGCATCGTCGGCAGAGATGTTGTTGTTAAGTTCAAGTTGGTTAGGCTGCTTGGTAACAAAGTATCCATGGCCAACAGCAAATGCATCACCCTTGAGGACATTTTTGATGAGCTGAGTCTTACTGCCGACAGGCCAGCGATCAGGTTTAGTAAGGCAACCAACCGTACGTGCAAGAGCACCGTCGTGTTGGTCGATCAATGCAGCTCCGCTTGAGTTGGCAAAGTCTGACTCCATCGAACGAGCAAGCAGGATAAGAGAATTGCCTTGCTCGATATGATCGGCAACGAAATTCTCGACCAGCTTGACAAGCCACTTGTCAGCAGCCGTTGTCATTTGACGGATCACTCCAGGTAGATCAATAAAAGACAGGCTGGGTTGGCCGGGTGCGGTGATGGCGAGAACCACCTTGTTGGGCGAGAACTCGACCTTCATCAGCATGTCGTCGACAGAAGAGGCGTTGAGGTACTCGAACAAATTGTCACCAGGGTTGAGCGTAGCGCGTTGAGCACGGCTGAGAACACCCTCGAGCTCATCCTTGTTGTGTACGACGGCGAAGTCAATGGTTGTCGGAGCGTGATCTTCGCGCCACTTGCCATAGCGACCGTCGGGATCGGCCTCCGAGTCGAAGGTGAATCTCTGTTGCAACGACACCTTACAAGACCAAGCAGCGTCTTCAGAAGAGAACAGGGTGATCTCAAGAGGGCATCTCGTGCATGTGCCGTCACTACGGGGGACCTTGATACCGCTGATGCCCTCGATGAGCGAGCTCTTGCCAGCAGACTGATCGCCAACAACAACGATCTTCGGCAGAGGCAGGTTGCGTGTCTCCACTCCAAGCTGTTCCAGATCCTTGATCAACTGAACAAGCTTTTGCACAGGGCGACCGAGGAGGTCGAGCTGTGGGTCGTTATCTTGACGAGCTTGATCTTGGGTGTTACACGTGTTGAAGGCGCCAGGTGCAGGTGTAGTAGCAGCCATGGTTGAAGTGTCGTCGGATGGCGCAGACTGAGGCGCAGATGGGATGGCAGAGTTGTTGTCGTTGTGGTTGGAAACGGCAGAAGCGTGGTCAACTATTTCAAGCTTGACGCGAGGTTCCGCCATGTGGTGGAAGGCGCGTGATGGTGATGGCGGAAGACGCGTGTTGATGCAAGAAGGAAACAGAAGTGAGGTTGGAAAAGAAAACAAAGACAAAGCAAGCGTGTTGGGGACGAGAGCTGTGCGCAAGTGAAGCAGCGCGAACTCCAAAGCCAGACGCCGGAGAGGGTGACTAAATGACAATTCTCCTTCTCTCTTCCGGAAACTTCATGGAGCGTGAGAACCAAGAATAATCCGGGCAGCCCTATTTACTCACTCCTCGATACTGACCAGAGGCTCAATTGTAGCACAGGAGTTCAGGAAGCCATGCTGCAATTCTCGGCACCCAACACATACCGTCACGAGCCAGACATACCGTGAAAGTAGACACACCAGAGCTTCACTTACATTGCACATATCTTGAACTCATTGATAAGCTCCACCGAAAGACTCGTTGTGTTGGAAGCCCGAGCATCTCGTCTATATTCACCTTCATCTTTATACGATTGCTGGGCCTGCCTCTCTTCATCACATTGATGTGTGTCCGGTGAGACTGAAAGCTTAAGGAGATTGTCCAGAGATGTATGACAGGCATCTTCTCGAGGGAGAACAGGCCCATTCGACATAAGTGAAACCATGGCGACCTGGTCACACAACAAGCACGCAAGTAAGCATGCACACGAGTTCCGGCATCACCAGATATGCAGCCATCTGACCCTCTGGCGATTGCGTTTTGCACGACGAGCCACGTTGTTTGATGCAGGTTCCCGTTTCTTGAAAGGGTGAGCTGGCTGGTAGTGGCTACCGTTTGACAGTACTGAGGTCCTGCCCACGTGGTCGACAAGCTGACATGTTCGTTTGGCTGTGAAGTCGTACAGATTGAGTGAGTGCGGCATGTCTGATGCCCATGCTATGTTTCTGTTTGGCGAAGAAGAAAAGAAGAGAGACAATGGGAACGATCTTTCAGGAAGAGTGGTGCTTGGTCATCTGGTCCTGGCAGAGGGTACAAGCGTGGCGTGAAGCCTTGAAGGTGTTGGTACGTGTATGATCATCTTCCTGCTGGTCGAGGTGTCATGTTTCGGGCGCTGGTGTGGCTGACATGTATCCAGGTTAATCGTGAGCTGGTAGACCTACATAGCGTTGACCAAATGGAGCTCGAACAAATAGATCGATAAGTTCTTTGGACCAAAAGATGAACGAACTGAAGAATTGAACGAGATGGGTGAAGAGCAAGACTTGGTCATAAATCCCCCAGGAAAAGAGTCGTTTGCTGCCGATGACAGGTCCCACTTCCCCCCAATTTGGCAGGAATAGCCTTTCTCGGCAATAAAGATCCGAAAGTGCTATCTCCACAGGCAATGACAGAGCGATGCGGTCGTGAGGAAAGAACGGCACGTAAGAAGGAGGGGGCCAGAAATGAAAAACGTGGCAGTCACCGTTCGTGCTTTCTCGATTGATCACTCTTGTTTGCCTTGACGTCTCGGTGCTTTGATTAGAGACCAACTTCAAGCAGCACCCGCTGCCGCTCTTCCCGTCGCATAACCAATTTACGCCAGATCAAACCCTCACCTGGAAGCCCTTCGCACGATCGAGTCAACACATCGCAGCAGATGATGGAGCGCGACGAATCGGCCAAAGTTGTGCAACACGACGAAGAACGCGTTCCCTCCGACGTAGTTCCCAATCCGGATACGCGAGTCGATCAAGGCGCCGACGAGAAAGCAGTGCGTCATTCAAGAGACAGCGATACAGATGAACACCCAAGACCACGGTCCAAGGATGAAGAGAGCGGGATCACAGCCATGGGTGACGGTGGCGTCAACGAGAAGGAATTCGAAGTCACTTGGGATGGCGACGACGACCCCATGAACCCTAGGAGTATGGCCTTTGCCCGCAAGTGGATCATTGTCGTAATTGTTTCTGCAAGCTCTCTATGCGTGTACGTAGAATTCTCATCGATCCTTCTTGCCAACCTCCGAAGAACACATCACAAGATCTCATGCTGTCTATCCGTTCATCTGGACCGATATACCGATACGGCTGAGCATGTCAATCTGACTCTCATATGAATTAGTACCTGCACCTCTGCGCTTTACACATCAACCTATGCGCAATTGGAACCAGAGTTCCACTGCTCGAGGATAGTCGCTACCCTGGGACTGTCCTTGTTTGTCATTGGGCTAGGAGTGGGGCCTATGGTCATGTCACCACTTTCAGAAGTAAGTCCATCTCCCTGAAGGACAGATGGAGAGCTCGAGAGTTAACCAAGTTAAAGNTTCTATGGAAGAAGACCCATCTACATTGCCTCGTACGCTTTCTTCTTGATCTGGCTGATCCCGTGCGCTGTGGCACAAAACATCCAAACTATGTTGATCGCACGTTTCTTCGACGGACTTGCTGGCAGTGCGNNTTTCTTAGGTACGTTCGAAGCAATGCATATTGTAACGAATGCTTCTCTGAAGGAGAGCTAATCCTTGATGATGCACAACAGTGTAGCAGGAGGAACTGTAGGAGATCTGTTCCCTAAAGCCCAGCTTTCTCTACCAATGGGTGCGTCTTTCACTCACAGACGGAAGTATGGCAAAGACGCTGACGTGACGCANGCATTCTATACAGCGGCACCTTTCGTTGGACGTGAGTCCACTCTATCTGCATGGTCAGAGTTTATGCTGACAGTCGCCTAGCCNGAGATCGGTCCCATTGTCGGAGGTTTCATCAATTACCACGCCAATTGGGTATGTATGAACCACACCGAACCGTTCAACCACTGACTCGTATCTACTAGNCGATGGACCTTCTACGTTTTACTCATTTGGTCAGGTGGAATGCTGGCAGCCATCATCTTCCTAGTGCCCGAAACATATCATCCAGTCCTTTTGCGCCAAAAGGCCATCAAGCTCAGGAAAGATACGGGTAATCCGGCCTGGCGAGCACCAATCGAAAACATGAACAAATCGGTGTTTCGGACCGTCGCATGGAGCTGTGTCAGACCATTTCAGCTCCTGTTCCTTGAAGCGATGTGCCTGAGCCTGTGTATCCTCTCGGCCATCCTTCTGGGCATCCTCTANCTTGTACGTATCCGAGGGCACAGCTGATCGCTCAAAACACATGCTGACCGTGCCCTAAGGTTCTTCGGAGCGTTTCCCCTCGTCTTTAAGAATAACCACGGTTTTGTATTGTGGCAGACCGGACTTACGTTTATAGGTATCTTTGTCGGTATGGTCACAGGCGTCAGCTGCGATCCGATTTGGAAGAAAAACTATCGCCGTCTGGTCACCAAGAATGGAGGCGTTTCTGAGCCCGAGTTTCGTCTGCCTCCAACTATTCTGTAAGTCCCTAAAGTGTTGGGAAAACCAAAAGATTTTGGATGTGCTGACATTTGTGCTAGCGGTGCAATCTTGGTTCCAATCGGCCTGTTTGGGTTTGGTGAGTGACTGGGGAGGAGGTGGATCGCACGGAATCATTGGATCGCTGATACAAGGCATTGCATAGGATGGACGACGTATTCCTCGGTNGAGTGGCTTGCATCGATTATTTTCCTTGGCGCAATGCAGCAAGATCTTTGATTCTTATTGGAGGCAATATACACAATGCCCAATATCGACTTGCAACCCCGCCGCGGCATCCCATTGGTCCTAGACGTGCCACTTTGCACGACAGGCCAGATGGGAGCCCGAGTCCATGGAAGGAGAAGAACACCCAGCTAACCCCCGTGCTGCAGGTACATTGGATCGGTAAGACCTCGAGCTCGATGCCTTGCATAAGCGACTGAACACTGACTCTTTGGTTTGCCAAAGTCCCCATCGTCTTCAGTGGCATCTTTGGACTTGGGTGAGTCAGAACGCAGCTCGATGAACCAAACCAAGCCCACAATACTGACTCTGAGATGAAAAGAAACATCTTTGTCTTCAGTGGTGTCTTTACTTTTCTCGTAGAATGTGTGAGTGGTCTTCCAGACGGCATGCGCGGCTACGGAGCGGACCGTGGGGTCGCCACGATGCTTCATTTGACCGCCTCTGGTCAAGGTGTGCATAGGAAACTGATCTTTTGTGCTAGTATCCTTTGTATGCTGCGAGCGCGCTGGCAGCCAACAGTTTTGCACGCTCAAGCTTCGCGGCAGCATTCCCTCTCTTTGGTCAGTCGGTGATATTGCATCACATATCATTCACTTAAGAAAAACACGCTAACAATACTCTCAGGTGTGCAAATGTACGACAGTAAGTCTACCGATTTTAGGCAAAGATCAAAGAAGCGGTAACTAATGCGGAAACCTGGAACAGAGCTGGGATACCAATGGGTGGGTGACAGGCATCTGAATACGATGATGATGATGATGGTCAAGTGATGCTAAATCGGTGATAGGCGTCGTCATTACTGGCCTTTTTAGCCCTTGCCATGGCACCGTTTCGTGAGTTTTTCTGGCAGACACCCTGTACCATGGATGGAGAGTGCTGACCCTGGCATCAGCGTACCTATTCTTCAGTACGAAGCATTACTTGGTTAGAGCATTGATCGAGGAGGAATGCTGACAAGCCAATAGGATACGGCAAGCGACTTCGCAAGAACTCCAAGTTTGCACAATCGTGAGGACGAATTGGGAAGGCTGAGGTACGGAAATAGATGAGGTTGAATCGGTGGCACTGCATGAACAATAGCGCATCGCGTTTTCCCACGAGGCAAGAGACACCAAAAAGATCTGTGCTCGGACCCCTGGGCTGGTGGAGAGCGGCGAGCTGGTATTTGGAAACCAGTCAAAAGGCTCAGGTGGGACGGAGGCGCATCGAGCCGCGAGACATGAATGGCGGTGACAGGACGAACAAGCGAGCATGTACTACCAAAAGACTCGTGGACATGTTGGCCTGGCATGAGATGGACAAAAATACATGTGACGGCGCTTTGACGCTCTTAATGGAGGCTGAAGGCGGGCAGACTGAGGGGAAGAATTGGAGAAGAAGGGAGAGGGTTCGGCCTCGCGGGAAGGATACGGGCTCGCCAAGGCCGAATTGCGCATGCTCCGTCCGAGGTTCATGGTATCGGCCAACTGCTCGTTCTTTGCAATCACAGCATCTTCGGAGTTCGTACTGTTGTCGCGCAAAGGTCGCGGACTCAGCGCATCATTGGAACGAGTTGTGCCTGTGCAGTGATACGGCTCCATCGTCCCCACGGCCCACTCGCGCGTCCCGACAGTCTGGCCTAGACATGATGACTTTAGCGAGGGTGACACAAACTGCATAGACATTGCTTTGGTAGACATCACTCTGCCCCTGCTTACCTTGCACCGCGTGGGCGGGACCTAGGGAGAGAGGCAGACCCTTGTGGCACAGCGCATACAGCCACTCGTGAAGGCACATCGACTCACCATCCACCTGGGAATCCTGAAACGGAAACAATCCACGGGAAGCTGCAGAAAACGTGCTCGAGAGGTACTCGGTAGTGCCACTGCAGCGGACTCGACTCTTTATATCACCCTGGCCATGGCCCCCGACTCAGCCCACCACGGTGACCCAGACGACCAGGCAGACCCCACCAGCAACCAGACAAGCACACCGTCAAAGACACTGCCCCTCATGTCCGACTCGATCCAAGAACCCTCTCAGAGCGACGACAAGGCTTCGCCCGCCTCTGCCTCGTCCAACAAGGACCACAACGAATCGGCGACCAAGAAAGCAAATGCAAAAGATCCCTCGAGGCCAAGGAGGAAGAAGGCACGGAGAGCGTGCTATGCCTGCCAGCGCGCGCATCTGACATGTGGTATGTCTACTGTTGTTCTCTGATTCCTGCGACACGCTCCTCTGACTCGACCAGGTGACGAACGGCCATGTCTTCGCTGCATCAAGCGTGGCTTGCAAGACCACTGCCACGATGGAGTGCGGAAGAAGGCCAAATACTTACACGATGCCCCCAATGAAGCCTTGATCCCGCACGCCTTCAACCAGAATCAGAATCAGAACCAGATGAACCAGTCTACTCCTGCCACTGAGCCTACTTCTGTAGCTCAATCCTCGTCGTCATACTATCAAACCCCTGTTGGCGCCCAGGCCTTTGCGAACTTCGGTCATACCCCTTCTGTGGCTCCCATCCACTCTCCATCGACTACCGAATCGCCTATGGTTCATCCCAATCCATATGTTCCTCAGCAGAACATGGTTACCCAGCCTTTCCCCTCGACTGCTTCTCAACAAATGCCTCCCCCTCAAGACCCCGTCTCATCCATCGCCCATACTTCGGGAGACCAAAAGCCTGGCCAGCCATTTACTGCTCCCTTCTTCGATCCTGCCGACCCTTCACTCTTCAATTTCGATATCTCAAGCCTGAACTTCGGTAATCATTATGGTGCTCTAGAATTCGGCATGCTTGGACATATGAGTTCTGGTGCCGTCGAGACGCCTGATACCGAGAACAACAACCTAATGAACTCGATACCCTACGATCCGACCAACTCAAACTACTCAGCCACCTTCCCCTACAGTAATACAGGCTTTACCGACTGGCAGCGCAACACTGATGGTACCAGACAGAACAGCTCTGGCCAGGTATTCTCTATAACAGGTGACAGCAGTTTTGACGGCCAAATGAATTTTCCCAACGCTTTTGCCATTGGTGAGAATGGTTCTATGTCTGGAGCAAGCCCCAGCGCCGCCAACATGATGGACTTCGGCACAGGATACAATTCGAGTCCTGTCGCCTCGGCGCAACACATGCTGCACAACTCAAGTCAAGATTATGGTCGCCATCAATCTCGACCACAGATCAGAAACAGTCTCTCAACCAATGACATACACCAAATACGGCCAAATCAACATAGACGACGACGGGATCCTTCCGACATATACACATCAGTCACCGCGCCATATTCATACACTACTGGCTTCCACGCCTTGACTGCTTGCCTCCAAAGACTATACTCACCACAAAAGACCGCACGAATCGCCAGAGCGCTAGCAGCTATCCGACCTTCATTCATCTCCTGCACAAAACAGTTGAATGTCGACGACCTGATATTCATGGAGAAGTGTTTCCAGAGGACGCTTTTCGAATACGACGACTTCTTGACGGCTTATGGAACGCCGACACTCATCTTGCGCCGTACTGGTGAAGTTGCTGCTGTCAGTAAGGAGTTTTCGCTACTGACAGGATGGTCAAGAGACGTCCTGCTCGGCAAGGAAGCAAACTTGAACATCAACATCGGCAATGCATCAGGCCGCCAGACTGGCACCAGCACTAGAGGTACTGTTACTCCTCGTGCCCAAAGCAGTGCAGACACGGCTGGTCGACTACAGCCAGTCCTCCTTCCTGAGCTCATGGAAGACGACAACGTCATCGACTTTTACGAAGACTTTGCAAAGCTTGCCTTTGGTGACTCTCGCGGTGTCATGATGAAACCTTGCAAGCTTTTGAAGTACAAGACCAAGGAAGACCCCGGCTGGAGTGCAGACCTACTGGCTGAGCGAGATAATAGACACAACAATGGCAAACCCGTCGGACCGCTTATCAGTGGCGAATCAGGAATGAATTCGCTCGGTGACCGGGACGGCAAGGTGTCCTGCATGTTCTGTTGGGTAGTCAAGCGAGACGTCTTTGACATCCCCATGATGATTGTTATGAATGTAAGTCTTCATATCCTACAATCATATGCGAAAAACAATACACTGACTCCAAAATAGTTCCTACCGATTATCTAGAAGTCCCGAGACATTGATACTGGGCAGAGTGGCGTTTATATCCAGCACAGTGGAAGCTGGAAAGTGATACATGCAATACCTGATCAAATACCTAATGGGTATAATGAGTAGAAACGATGGGTGCAGTTCCCGGATTGGAGAGGTATCGTATGCTTGCATGAAGCAGGCAGGCGATATTGGTTTTCTGCATCGATACTTTGGAGTACCTGTATCCCGAGCAAGCGCGGTTAATATCTGTACGAATGATTGTTGATCACATCAAATGCATACCACGGCACGAGCGATGCTTAGTGACATCTCATGCTCTCTCGTGACTGTAGTCCCATGCAATATCGCGGCTGTCCTGTTATAGTAACAAAGAAACATGGGTTGAATGCATTGGAGAGAGCAAGACCAAGAGCTGGCGCGCGCTTGGACCCAATGTCGCGATCGAGTTTCCCCACCAAAAAGTTCAAGGTGGGATGAAGTCAATGTTGAAATACATCCAGCTCCAGCGACCCTTGAACTCGAGGTTCTCTAGACCAAGTATACAATCAGTCCGTTGCGTACACATAGGCTTCCGCAAAATGGCAAACGTCGCAAGCACATATTCCGGTAATGGCTGCACCAACACGGATTGAGATTCCTAGACGATACACGAAAGAATGAGGACCTGACTTTTGGCGGCTGCTTTGCACCCAAACAGATCCCATCCACATTGCCGTCATTGGCGGCACTGGTCTGCAGTCGCTGCCTGGCTTCACTCTTGCTGCCAGCTTGAACGTCGATACACCATGGGGCACCCCTTCGTCGCCCATCAGTGTGCTGCACCACAAGTCTCCCTCGACCGGCAAGGACATCCCCATCGCTTTCTTGTCGAGACACGGCCTGCACCATGAGATTGCACCTCATGAGGTCCCTGCCCGCGCCAACATTGCCGCTCTCCGCTCGCTCGGTGTCCGTACCATCATCGCGTTTTCGGCTGTTGGAAGCTTGCAAGAGCAGATCAAGCCTCGCGACTTTGTCGTGCCGGACCAGGTCATTGACCGTACCAAGGGCATTCGTCCCTTCACCTTCTTCGAAGAGGGTATGGTCGGCCACGTTGGCTTTGCCGACCCCTTCGACGAGAAGCTCGGTGCTGTTGTGAGAAAGCTTGGTCACAGCCTCGAGGGCGACAACGTGCACCTTCACGACAAGGGCACCATCATCTGCATGGGTGCGTAGGAACAGAATACAGAAGAGACGGTGAAAACTACATGGAACGCTAACACAACAATACCAACAGAGGGCCCTCAATTCTCGACCCGCGCAGAGTCACACATGTACCGCTCCTGGGGCGGCAGCGTCATCAACATGTCTGTCCTCCCCGAAGCCAAGCTAGCAAAGGAGGCCGAGATCGCCTACCAGATGATCTGTATGAGCACCGATTACGACTGCTGGCACAGCTCCGAGGACGTGACTGTCGAGATGGTCATGGGCAACATGAAGGCCAACTCGGAGAACGCACGCCGCTTTGTTGGTGGTGTGCTGGATGAGCTGAGCAAGGAGGAGCATACAGACTTGATCTTGGCCAAGCACCTCGAGGGACAGACCAAGTTTGCTGGTGGTATCACTGCGCCTGCCGGTCGCAAGGAGGCTGCCAAGAAGAAGCTGACTTGGTTGTTCCCTGGTTACTTTGAGTAGATACGTTGACTTGTCTCGATGACTGTCAGCAATATAAGAGCTTTATAGAAGTAAATTCTCTGCTTGAACGAATGGTTGGTGAGATGCAAGACTGGTATTAAGTGATAGGAATGTTCAAGCGTGTTGGCAACAGAATTGTCGGCGTCGGGGAAGGAGCTGAGCTTGGGGCAAGACGCATGACGATTCAAGCTCCGGCGGTCGCCAGCCAGCAGTCAAGCAACGACAACGAGCACTCACTCTACTCATCCATCGCTCTTTTTGTATCTTGCGCAAATCGCCCTTCCTTCCATCTTCGCCGTAAGCGCATCATACACTGAGCGCACTTTCATCATCAATCTCGCCCCCGACCGACACTTCTTCACGCAAGCGCCATGTCTCGCCGCTACGATTCACGAACAACCATCTTCTCGCCCGAGGGCCGTCTCTACCAGGTCGAATATGCTCTTGAGGCCATCTCGCACGCCGGAACCGCTTTGGGTATCTTAGCCAAGGATGGCATTGTCCTGGCCGCCGAGCGCAAGGTCACCAGCAAGCTGCTCGAACAAGACACATCCGCCGAGAAGCTGTACACCCTGAATGAGTTCGTCGACGCCTTTCGCTTCTGTCATACTACCCATACTGACCTCTCTCAAGCNAACATGATCTGCGCCGTCGCCGGAATGACCGCCGATGCCAACATCCTGATCAACTACGCCCGCTCAGCCGCCCAGAACTACCTCCTCACCTACAACCAAGAGATTCCTTGCGAACAGCTGGTCCGTCGTCTGTGTGATCTGAAGCAGGGTTACACTCAACACGGTGGTCTGCGTCCTTTCGGTGTCTCATTCATCTACGCTGGTTACGACGACCAGCGCCAATTCCAACTCTACCAGAGCAACCCCAGTGGCAACTACGGTGGTTGGAAGGCTACCAGTGTCGGCGCCAACAATGCCAGTGCTCAGAGTTTGCTCAAGCAAGACTACAATGACGAGTGCTCGCTGAGAGAAGCCTGCGGTCTGGCCGTCAAGGTTCTGAGCAAGACTATGGACTCTACAAACCTCAGCAGCGAGAAGAGTACGTTCACTTCTTATTTTGTGTGTTTAACGGCTCAGCTAACATGTTCCCANGTCGAGTTCGCTACAGTCGGCAGAACAAAGGAAGGCACCGTCTACCACCACCTCTGGGGTGCCGAGGAGATCGACGCCCTGCTCAAGGAGCACGGCCTGGCCAAGCCCGCAAGCTCAGAAGACACCACCGAGCAAGCCGTTGGCAGCGCTGGCTATGCTGAGAACAGACCCGAAAACTAGATCGTCTTCAACATCTTCTTTTCGTTTTGTGTAACAGTAGTTTACTTATTGACGAGCATTATCGATCATGGCATCTTTGGGGCTTATGGGGGAACTTGCGAAGGCGTTTCTTAGACCTGCAAAGTGGGTTTTGTCAACGTAGAGAGAGAAGGATACAAGCAAATGAAAACTGCATGTTTCTCCTCAACCCCAGGGCTTCAGTCCCTGGTTTCCCTCTTGATACCCTGACATTTTGTGTCAACTTTTCTTTGTGTCATATCTCTTCAAGTCACGATTGTTCTGAGCAAAAAGAAAGAAAGAAAGACAACATTCATCATCCTGTTCTTAGCAAAAGGGTCAGATACTTGTTATTGCTTGGTCAATCAAAGAGGACATCTGGAAGATATGGATGCTTCTCTTTGCCTGGTAAGCAAACACAAGCTTGCCCTTGGCATCCTCATGCATTCCCACACGTGGATCGACACGGACCTCATGCTCTGGGATATCCAACATTGATCAATCGTGGAGTTAATCTTCGAGCCGATCTTAGATCACAAGACGCCTTCCCGAGAGATAGCCTTTAGAATGTGGTGGGAACATACGGGCACATCTGGTGTCAACTTCCAGGCTTCTTGGTTTTCGAGAGTACGGTATGGAGCAACGAAAACCGAGCAAAGCTATACATCAGCTATGGGAAATCCTTAGTCAGGGCGGCCATGTCTCTGTCTGCTTGCCTCCAGGAAGGGATGGCAACTTCTGTGGAAAGCTCGTCAATGGTCTATGAGATGCCAGGTAAAGTCTGTATGCTGTTGACGGCCATCATCTCCAAGCCTGGCCACCATGCCAGCCGTCCTGTCACATTGCACAAGTCCGATTCCTTGTTGTTACCCTTCACTCGGAGTTCATTTGTTGACGGGCATGGAATTGTTCGTCGTTCGTCTCGACTAGTGTCGTTCTTCCGCACACACAAATTCAGTTCACTTGTTTACCTTTCTTCACCTCTCACTCCACGAGAAGTTTCCGCACGACACTGTCATAGTCGTCGTAACTTTTTCTTCCTTTTCCCTCTCGAAATCCACCTCGTCGTCTCAGCGCTCGCATAAATCTTCGTCGTCAAAACATCTCGACGCTCGCATAACTTTACGTCGACTAGACGTCGTGTTTTTACGCACAGTCTTGCCCATCCGATCTCTTAGATCGTCGTAAGATTGTCAACTGCATCCATCGGACTCGCGCACAAAGACGACATAATCGTCGACAACAAGTTACGCTAGCCCTTACGCGTAAAGAAAACGCTTAGTCGAACTCCACTGTACGTATTGAACTTTTCGTTACGCATCTCGGCGCCAAGTTGACCCTGATGGGCTAATACAGTCTCAGCAACAACAAGATGGCCCCCACCGGTCAGAAGAGGATCTTCGTGACCTTTGATGAGCTGTGGCAGGTTTTTGTCACTGCCACCACTGAGCTGGGCCCAGGCAGTGTAGATGCCCGTGGCACTGTTCCTATCCATCCCACTGGTCATTGGCGTGACGATGATGCCGTAGAGTCCTATGGCAAGAAGGTGTTTGATCTCGAGGATCTCCAGATCATTCGTACCAAGAACTGGTTGGAACAGGGCCTGCGCCAGGTTGGCGTTCGTGATTACTGGGTGCTCGAGCGTGTCATCGCTGCTGCTATGGAGTACACTGTCAGTGACTACGAACACTTGATGCGCGTTTTCTTCGTCGAGTGGGAGAAGGACCTCAAGCCTGACGGCCGCACCACCAGAAACAAGGACCAGTGGACTCGCTGGTGCGAGATTCATCTCGTTCGTCACCACAGAACTACAAAGGCCGTCCGTTGCCTTAACGTCCTCGAAGCTCTTGGTCTTCTCTACCCAGGCTGGTGGAAGCAAGTTTACGCTCTCAAGCACAACACCCCCGTCCGCAACGACACGTACGCCTCGCCCTGGGACGCTCACCCATCTCCCAACGTCGCCGAGATGAATGCCCTCAACCAGAAATACGCAAGAGTTGCCCANCCCTCTCGCGCTCAAGTTCAGGCCGCACCCAAAGTCGTTCAGCAGAACACTCCGGTCTCGCGTTCCGCCACCCACAAGCAGAAGAAGAACAAGCGCCAGAAGACCGCTCAGTTCCAGCAGGATCTGGATGAACTCGACGACGCTTTCGACGCAGCCACCGAAACTCATGCTCAACCCAAAGCTGAAGATGACAAGTCTGAGGAATCCTTTACCCCTGAAGACTACTACCCCGATTATGTTCACGAGTACGACGCCGTCATGGGCAAGCCAGCCACCACCTACCCTCAGCTGCCTCACTCTGTGGGCTTCCCTCCCAGCGCAGAGGCCTGGCGCAACTTGAACGACAACGACTTTGACAGTGCTACCCGCTTCAACCCTGAGGTCAACGCCACCCGCATCGTTGACTCTGCCCCTCCTCCCACCAACACTATTTCCCCTCGCGCCGATCCTGTTCCTCGCCCTTCCTTCGGTCCTGAACGTCCTCCCACTGACCCTGCCGCCGCACCCAAGCCTTTCGTCAATTGGCTCGACCTCGACGAGCGCGACTTTGCCCGCGCAGTCCAGCAAGTCGACACCGACTTCCCTCACCTCAACGCTCTGCGTCCTTCTGGCCCCGAAGCCACTACCGCCGCCAATGGCCCCGACGCTCGCTCTGACCTCTATGCCGCTGTCGCTGGAAACAAGGGTATTGCCCCTGCTGAGGTTGCTCGCGCTCAAGCTGCTCGCCGCGCTGCTGGTGGTCCTGTTTTCGCTCACGCTGCTGGCGACGAGGATGTCCAATGGGGTTGTGTTGAGCATGAAGGTGCTCCTGATCCTGGTCTTCCTGCCGTTGTTCGCACTTCTCAACCTGCTTATTGGCCTCCTTTGAGAGAGTGATGGGGATTTTTGTTTGTTCTGCTGGTTGCTGGCTTCTCTCTAGATGAGGAGGGAGCGCGTTTTGATTTTTCGATGATACCCCCTTTGTTTTTCTGCTTTTCTTTCTTTTCTTCTTCTTCTCGATGTTCTACATGGTACTAATGGTTTGCTCTTTTTTGTGCATTGCTTCGGTGGTGTTTTTCTTTTCTTTTAGTGGTAGCTTTTAGTTGTCAATACACTGTTTCTGCTCTTTCTTTTGATCTTTCTTTTGTGATGGTTTGATGTGCTATAGCAGTGCATAAACTTTTTGCTAGTAATGGAAATGTCGAGTGAGCGTCGTGGGATTGCCTGCTCTCAATGGATGTGAGCTGTTTTTATAGACTGTTGTGCAATTTTTATGGTATACTAGAACTGTGTGATGTCCAGTGAGAGTCGATGTTTTGTTGGCTCCCGGTGGATGGAGTTTGGGTTTTGTAAGCTATTGTGTTTTTTTATGGTATACTACTATGCTGTTATTCACTGTGAGATAGTAGACCCCTTTCCGTTTGTCCATTAAAAGTCATTGCTTTCGTTGACTCTCAATGGATGTGGATTGTTTTTGTTGATTATGTTGCATCTTTGTGGTATATCATTGTGTATGTGGTTTGCTGTAGGGATACCTTGTTGTGCGCAAGAAATTAGGGGTTGGTCTATATGTTGCACTAGCATTGGCTCTCAGCGGGAATGGCTTGTTAATATAAGATATCCCGCATCTTTATAGCATACCATGATTGTGAAGTATGCCACTAAGACTTGCGTTTCTTGATGTATCTCAATGAATAAAGGGCATTCCTATTGATGATTGTGTCTTTTCATAATGCACTATAGTAAAATTTCTTTGCTTTGAGAGACTGCACTTCCTCTTGCCTTACCGTGGGTTTCCCCCATCTCGAGATAAGAAGAGCAGAATGATAATGACCAAAAAGAAAATACAAAACATACAGCAGCAGGGATTCCCACGTGGTCACCCACCGTAGTACTAATCTGCCGTTCAACTGCTTATGTATGGCAGAGCGGACGGGATGCCCAGTTTTCAGCTGACTGTGGCCGTATGTGCTTGGTTCGAGGTTTGATTGCAATACATCCAAATTCTGTTATTTCACGTCTTTGCTCAAAAGCTGTGATGCATCCCGCGATGGTGCCATCGGATGTCACACCGTCGAGTATTAGCTTGGAGGCTCACTGCGAAGCTTTCCGATCCTCTTGATTTGAAATAAGAGATCATCAGAGATGGTATGACTCGAGTTCTAACGGCAATGTACCGCAACGATGACACTTGAAGCGTATCAAGATTCGTAGCAGAGTCGTTGAGCGCCCATGTTGCTCACTCTTTGCTCAAAGAGATTTATGAGAGCGTTTCTGTTCAGACGGCCTGTCCAAGTCTGTGTTATAGAGCTGCCGATGTTGTTTGTGTATTTCCGTATGCGGTCTGTTGGAGCGAGGAATCGAGAAGGGAAGCAAAGTTGGAGACCAAGCGTTGCCAACGCAAAGCTTCAAGCCTCCGACGATTCTCCGTTTGGAAGGGGCGGTCTTGTTCAGACAAGACGAAGGAACTCATCCATCTTTTCTCTCACAGCATTGATGGATCATTTTACAGACACGGAGTCGAGCTCGGCGCCGCCTCTCAAGAGAAAGCGTGTGGTGACAGCATGCTTGGAGTGTTATAGGTAGACTATTTCCCTTCAAGCTTCATTTAAGGATTACCGTTCTAATCAGGTNTACAGACGAAAGCAGAAGGTACAATCAACATCAACACGATCGAAAACGACCATAGCTCTGACCCCGACCTAGTGCGACAGAGAGAAGCCATGCCAAAACTGTATAGGTCGAAATGTCGCTGCCAAATGCATATATGAGCAACAGCCGTATGATTAGCGACAGTTGACGATTGATAGCATTAGCTAACACAATTTAGGGTCCAGTCCNACTGCTCTGCAATCTGGACAGCAAAGATCTGTTTCGGCCGAAGACAATATTCTCCTTTCGGGATCAGCCCCAAATGATACTGCACTTTCCTCTTTCTATGATGTTCATGCTTTCACAGATTTGAAGAAGGTGGGTTCTCTGCTTTTCGCACTTGCAGTCAACCACTAATGACTGTCACAGTTGCTCGAAGACGATGAAGTTTTTCAAGTGTCCAAATCTGCTCGAATCCCCCTTGATCAGAGTAAGCTCTGCTCGAAGTTCTGGGTGCTTGCTGCTCAGCTGCCGGACCCTCAAATCTTGACAAGGGCATTCAAGTACTACTTTGATGAGGTACACTGGCGCTACAATGTCGGCCAGAAATACTACATGTACAAGCAGCTCGAGGAGTGGACGGCTGTGGTACGTACGCCTGCTTCGCAACGGACTGGCATTAACAAGGATTCGCCATATTTCGTGGCCTTCTCGTTCGAGCTTCTTGCTGTCACACTCCAATACATGCAACCTGATAGAGAGATAGCTCGCCTGCTACGTGCAAACGACAGTAGATCGTCAGTAATCATGTCCCAGAAGTACCATGGTATAGCATCGGAACTCATGCAGCTACTTGGTCGGCACAATGGCACGATTACTGTCGTCGACTACGATCTGCTCAGAGCGAGCTGGCTCAAGAACAACGGTCGTGGAATCGAAAGTTGGTACGCCATCAGTGATGGAGTCAGGTAAGTCAACATGTCATATCTCGACGGCTTCTCAACTGATGATCGCAGACAAGCTCAACAATTGAACCTTCACCGTGAGCCACGGCCTCTTGGGAAAAGTAATGACTCTTCGAAGACTCTCGAGCAGTTCTGGCTCCAAGAATACGGAAGACGAGTCTGGATCAATCTGTTCTGCTGGGACTCGGGGACAGCAATGAATCTGGGCCGCCCGCGCATGATCAATGCGAAAGATTGTGACATTATCCTGCCAATGGATCAATCATTTCCAAACAATCCTTCTCTGATCGTACCCATCCCAAAGGATGAGCACACGCCTTCTCCTCTGTCTTTACTCCTTGTTCGCTACAGTATTGCTGGCAAGATCCATGAGATTCGCGAGCACGGCTTAGACAAGCAGGACGCAGGTTATAGCTCAGTATGGACTTTGCATAATGAGTTCAACAACCTACTGGACAGCCTGCCTCCTTATCTCAATCCGATCCATCCTGACACCTATTTGGATTCCAGTCACCCCTACCTCCCGCTACACAGAGAAGAAGCATTGAGTCTCCTGAACCTGGTCATCATGGAACTACATCGTCCTTTCATCGCAATACACCCGAAGAGTCGAGAGGCCGCTTTGGAAGCTGCTGCTGGCTCCATTGATAACCAGAAAGCTTTGATGAAGCTCTCGGGTCGACATCACTACGTCTACTTTGGTTTCGGCTTTTATACGACCAACGCAGCAATCATGCTCGCAGCAATTGCTCTGATTTACCCAGACGAGAGCCAAATCAAGACTATTGAATCGAAAGTACAGCAGGCTCTGTCAATCCTAGTCAACATCCAAAGTGCCAATATAGTTGCGCGAGCAGCGATGCCTGTCATACAACGGCTTTACGATAGAATTCGACTCTCTTCTCAGATTGACTCCTCCGAATCTACTAGACTGAACAGTCCTGGATCAGTACCAAGCCAAGATAGTGGCTATATACCCATGGCGACCTCTTTGATGGATCCCGCTCCTGCTGAACCTGCCGGCACCGAATTCATGCTCGAGAACGCAGGGGATCTAGCACTGCAAGACTTCACCGCATTACCTGATTGGAACAACATGTCTCACGTCAATGATTTCGATGCTGCTTTCTGGCTTGATCAGCTCAACAAAATGCCGGACAACATGCCATTGAATGGTGTTTTCGGGCAAGGTATGATGTGGTAGTGGGCTCGCTGGCTTCCAGCTTGTTCGCAACTTATGTGAGCCATGTCTCAAACATGGTCTCTTCCCAACAAGATGCCAACATCTCAACAGCAATTCCCAACGTCAGCCATCTCCCTCTGGATTTCGGCCGAAAATATGCCAAGCAACAACATCAGATATCAAAACGGCGATAATGACGATGTAAACTCCTGAGTCCGACCATTGGGTCTAGGGTTAGGGCACACTCTTGTGGTTGTCTCCAAGTATCGTAGCAATTCTCAACCATATCTCGATGCTCTTGCTGTGGCTGGAAAATGCAAAATCGTGCTCGAGTACGAGAGTCTATCTTGATCGAGACTATACATTCTCCCCAATGGGCACCTTCATACCGTGGAGCCCAGTGTACTTTGGTGGCTCGAATTGTGTCCAACCTTCCAGCAATGACTCGTCATCCAAGCTGTACACTTCAGCTCTGAGAGGTCGACAACAATCCAACATGCTCTTCTTTTCTCCTTCCTCACCAGCACCACCTTCACCCCAGCCCCAAGCACTGAGGTCGCCGCCAGGGCATGCAGACAATGCCATCAATACATCTTGCTCGGCAAAGAATTCGAGGTAATCAGTCTTTTTGGCCGGGCTGGGCTCCATGAAGTACTTGCCCTCGGCGTTCAGTCCAGTGACCTGGAAAATGTTGATGACATCGTGGACATCAAACTCNNGCTGTTTTCCTGGGTCAGCAATGGAAGCCAACAAAACTCCAGAATAAATAGCTTACGTTAGTCCATATGGCACTACAGCTCTGGTCAGGTTCGAATGGCAATGGTAGTCGTATTGATCGGCCGAGAGCATGTAATTCACATACGGATCACAGCGAGTGCCCAGTAAATCATGACATCTGCCACCCCACTGATCCACACCATAATCCTTCAACGAGTCTGCAATAATCGTAACCATAGGCCTCAAATAAGGCAAGCAACTCCAAAGACGATCATACACGGTAACATGACTAGCCTGCAACTGTCTCGTGCGAGCTGCCCAGAATCTTTCGCGTGGATTCGACAGATTCCAGATGTTCAAGTCACCGACCTGAGCACCCTCCGGGGTAGAGAAGCGGACAATGCTTCCAGCAGGCACTTTCCAGGCTTTGGCTGAGCGTGGCGGGATATCGATGGTTTGCTTGAGGGTTCTGGATTTGCTGTTGGCGAGAGAGTTGTAGAAGTCTTTGTTTGCGTTCAGGATGCTGCCTGCTGTTGGCAAGTAGGCGGGTTGAGGAGCTGCGTGGGGCTTGTCTGCGGATGCCATTTCGAGTCCGTTTCCGTGTGAATCCTTTCCCAAAAGAGGTCAATGAAGTTACAGGGAGCGCGCAAATAGTTATATGTGATGTAGACTCTTATCCGATGAGAGTTGTAGTCATATGGTTGGCGTGCAAGATAGCAGGTGCACACCGATCAGCCGAGGGTAGCCGTCCTCGGCGTTCCTCTTCAGCCATCAGAATGCACGATACCTTGTGCAAAGCGATAGTCATAGAACCAAGATTTTTGTCTCGACGGCTTGCTATTCATAACTTCTAGTTTCGATGCCGTCGTTCAATTTCAAAGTCGTCGTCTTCGCAGAGCAAGAGAGGTCGACCCGTACGTGTGACAAACTTCTTCGGCTAAATTGATTAGGGGGCCGGTCGCGAACGAGCACATGATTGCGTTGGTTCTGGAGAATCTGAAGCTTGGACAACGCAACGACACTTTTCAGAGTCAACGAGAGCAACTAGTCGTGGGTATGTCGAATCAGGAAAGAACAGTTCCTGCCGGCAAGCCGCTGCTTGTACGGTGATCCACTGGACCGACGTTGAGATTCCCATCGCGATGTGCCGACTTGAACGCTCTTCCCCGCCGTGCATCGGGACAGACTCTTCAACAAGTCGCATGAGCACTCCAACATAACAAGTAGATTTGCAAAAGAGGCCTGAGAATGTGGGCAAGTGCCGGGTCGTCGCTCAGTCTTACATTAAAAACGCTCTTACAATTACTGATCCTCCAAGCTCCAACAGATTGACCGTGGAGTTGTCGTAGACTAGCTGGCCCGGCAGGGGCCCCGAGACAGCCATGTCCCACTTCACACACTATCTCGAATCGCGTCAGTAGATGGGGCTGCTCGAGTCATCAACACTTTCCGTATTCATCTATACTAGCAACTGTCAGAGTCTCAGTGTCATTCTGGTTTCAGGAACAATTGTGAGAAGTGTGGCTTGGCGAAGACCCGAGACCGACCGGTGCGAGCAAGGGCCACGAGCCTTTAGGCTTGCCGTCGGGACATGGTAGCGAGATTTACAAGACTAACCGACGCATTTGGGCCAGAGACCAGATTGATGGACACGTTGGGTGAGCTCCACAAAGACGGCACTCTCTATTTGCATTTGGATGTGCACCTGCGCCTCTCGGTAGGTAGCCGACTGATTGGCACGTATCATGTCTCTTCATATGACTGGTGGACTATCGCTCGCGAATGTAGGACCCTTTAACTTTTGGCTCCCCCAGTCCCTCTCAACAACTCTATTCACGATCCTTCTCCAGTCTTTCCTTTCTCTCCGTCTCCAGGTTATGTTATCTTGAACCACCTATCAAGCGCCTTTCTTCGACTATACTCGACTTACCCCGGCGGCAAGATGTACGACAGGTCTTCACAGATCCTGGTTGTTTGTGTCATTTTCTTTATTCTTTCTTGGGTCTCTGTAGGTCTACGAGTATATGTAAAGTAAGTCAACTGCTCAATCTCGAAAGAAACATGACTGACTTTCCTCCAGNNAGCTCGGGTGTTAAAACAAGTCGGTTGGGATGATGGAGCTATGCTTGCGACTCTACTCCTCTTCACTGGCTACTTAATATGTCAACTCGGCAGTCTTGCACATGGAAACGGAAGACGTCGTGAGACAATGACGGACGCGACAGCCCAGATCGGCTTGATGGTAAGCCTGAACCTGACTTTTGTGCATGCCAGCTTCTTACTCAACAATGCANNGTACTGGTTCTTCTGTGAGCTCTTCTACACATTGGCGACATCAACGTTGAAGATCTCGATCGGTCTCTTCTTCCTACGAATAGCCAACAACAAGTGGCATATTCTGATCATCAAGGCTATCATGTACTGCAGCGCAGTGCTCGGTATCACATACTTCGCCATTGTTCTTTTCCAGTGTCACCCGATCTCTTTCTGGTGGGACCTCAACCCGAATCACCATGGACATTGCTTGAGCGCTTCCGTCATGGCCGACACGAGTTACGTGGTCTCTGCTCTCAACTCGTGTGCGGACTGGGTCTTCGGTATCCTGCCAATCTTCATCGTCAAGGATCTACAAATGCATCGTCACCAAAAAGCGGTTGTAGCGGTCATTCTCGGTTTCGCTGCGGTCGGCAGTTCTGCGACAATTATCCGGTTGCCTTACGTCTGGACCGTCAAAGAATACAAGGGCGAGTTTCTCTGGCGCACGGCTGATGTGGCCATCTGGACTACCGTCGAGGTCGGAATTGGCATCACTGCAGGCAATCTGGGAACGCTGAGACCGCTTATGCAGCGTCTCATGAGTTTCATGGGAATCTCAAGCTCGACGGCACGCGACTCGAGGACGACCAAGCGCAACAAGCTCACAGGCTACGGCTATATGAACAGTGGGGCAACACCGCTGGAAGATTTCACCGGCAAAGGAGCCATCAAAACGACCATCACGATTCGCGGTGGCGCGTCCAACGACGACTCAAACTGGGGTGGACTTTCCAGGACCGACAGTGAGGAGGAAATCGTGCCTGGCGCAAGCAAACTTCACGAAGGCGGTATTCTGCAGAGTGTCCAGATCGACACATCGTTCGAGGAGAGAGCACAGGACAGCCTCGGAGCTGGCAACACCTCACCTCGAGCGACACAAACGTACGGCATAGTATAGTCGACAGCAGTTTCTCATGTGTTTTGTCCTTGCATTTCAAGCGCCGGCGCCATCTGGAGGGTTTACTTGCTTTCAAAAAGGTCCGAATCTAATCATCCAAATCTAATGCTCTTCACGAGTCACCTTTCAAACACAACCAAGCTCACAATCCTCTTCAACGTTGACTGCCATCATCGACTGCCGTGATTACGAAGCATTCTAGACAAGAAAAGAAAGAACGGATGAACGCTGTTCATGGCGTCGCTTGAAACGCTCGCGTCTTAAGATCGCAAACCTAGATTTTGCTTGAACGAAGTCAAAAAGAGGTTCCAAAACACAAAGCTTCCAGATGTGAAGCCGTATTCTTCGCACCTGCCTGATATAGATAGACAGCTGCAGGTCGCGAGGGACTTGGGAATCTTCCCATGGAACGTTGGATCTTCAGATGGCTGCATAGATAGGCATCAGTTTCATCGAACGGCTGCGGTGTGCTTACCAATTACACCAAGCTGGTGAGACCAGGCTCCTGGTTACCAGACACCGGCCTGCTTGATATTGCTCAAATGCTTCCTACACAATCCTTCCCAAGCAGACGTCCAGAGTCTAACCCATGCACCAGGTTCGAGAATCATGCACATGCAGGTCTGCAGCAGCGGAACAAACTTCAGACCAATCGTGGTGGAAACAGAGGGCCCAAGCGTGGCCCAGACGCACGGCTCAAGTCCCATCAAACGTGCCGCATGGCGCTGTGCACGGTGCAGGTGCAAGCGAAGGCGCAACTTCCATATTCGGGGACCCTCTTTATGGCTGCCGTGTTGATTCTTTTGTCACACCACCGCCTTATCTTGCGAGACAGAAGGGAGGGCCGAACGTTCGAAGGCATCCCAGTGACAGACATGTTACAGATGTAAAAAGCTTGAAGGAATGGCCAAGTGTGTCAAGGAGGTTGGTGAAGACTGGAGGTTGTTCGTCCTTTCATGTCTCTTGTGAATTTGTTCGTCCGTATGCCGTGGATTTCGCTTTTTGATCGTCGCAAGGTAACTATTGCTGACAAGATCAGGGGCGGGATCTCCTTTAGCACTGTTCCTGTCTGACGACAACATCCTATGTCAGATCAAAGTACTCGTCGGCCATGCCATGGTCGGAGCATGAACGAGATCACATGATAGACTCAACGACAATCCAGTTCCGGAAGGTATTGGTTGTGAGTAGACGTTTCGATACCCATAGGGCTATATCGTCACTCGTGAGATGTGATTACATGCCTTTGGATTGGATGAGCCTGAGTGCTGCACTCTTCCCATATGTTGAGCATGTGACATCCATAGATGCGAAGCGAGCATGGGACTTTACCAGACGTGCTTCGATGGTTGCGACGTTGATTACTCTTCATAAAATATCAACAAGCTATCTCAAAGTCTCTTGCCGAGGGCGGCAAGTCTGTCGGCCGTTTCTCTAGTATGGAGAGATATAGCTCGCGCGTTGATGACATACATTGGTAGCCTGCTTTGACGATAGACATGCGATGCTGGCATATTGTGGTCTTGTCGCATCATGTTCTAAGCGGTGAAGCATCTTGGAAGTCGACTTAAGCATTCGGACCACAGAGGCAGAGTGCAATCTGGCAACCCCTTTGGCCAACTACTCTTGTCGATCAATTGCTGTTTGTGAACTTAAAGCGACAAAATTTGATGAAGTCATGTTCATAAGCGGAGCTTGCACACAACGTTGAGAACGCGAAGCAGTCACGACCGTGACTTTTGGCCAGCTTGGATTCGCCGTCCATATCGCGACTTCTCGTGCTTGCAATCAACAAAACATCTTCATAACCACCTAACAAATCATGCCCGGTGTTCTACCTGTCTCTGACCTCCTCCCCACTAGTATCGATCGAGCCCAGCATGACATACTGACACCTTGTCTGTTGCGACTACCCTACATCAGAAGAGTGGTCACGATCATGTTTCGAGGCAGGAGGAATTCTCACGATACTCCAGACGTACAAGCAGTAGTCTCGGTGATGATATTATGACTATATGGCTATCTGACATGAGTCAGAGGTCAACTCGCTGTCTCGTTCTAATGCTGGTATTCATGATGACAGGGTGCTCCACAGACAAGCCTTCGCAGGTTTCAGAGAGCAATTATCTAAGCAACATGATGACTACGAACCATAGTATGGCATGATCACTACAAAGCACATCTAGTATCGTGGGATTGTCGAAATCGCGTGGTGCAGTCAGTTATCGTTGATTTTGCGAAACTCAACCCCGAAACATGGAGACTGCACGAGGATCAATCATAGTTTCACTCTCCAGCTTTATAGTCGTATCGTCCGCCATCAGAGAAACGGTCCAGGCAAGATTGAAGGCAGTCGTCTCACACGTCTCAGAGCAAGTGGAAAAGTCTTGCTTTATCAGCGTGGTTGTAGTGATACTGTTATCTGTGATTGTCCTTGTCCCTTTGATGATCGCGTCATCTCATCCCCTTCTCAGCATAATCCAGCTGGGTGGACATTGCTCCAATCTTGTAAGGTCGCAACGGTATGCCACTTGATTCGCTGTTCGTCGATCCGATGGTTTCTGGAGGCAATGAAGGCTCGGGTGACTTGACATAGCCCATACGGGACGGGGTCGCAAAGCTGTTGCGGAGTCGTGCTGATCTTGATCCTTTAGTGTTCGAAGTCAATGTTCGCGCGCGTTTGGTAAAACATTTGTATATGGAGCGAGATAGGGCGAGGTTCGCGGCGATTATGCCGAGGAATAGCTCGGTGCTAGATGTCGATAAGCCACTGTACGATAGGTATATCTTGGGCAACAATACTTACTTGGCCCATATTGCGGCGATGCAGTAAGCGTGTGAAAGGTCATCGGTAGTCGTTCCAAGAGATGCTGCTCGGACGGCCGAGCATATCGTTGCNNGCTGGTCAAATTGGTCAGCACTATGCTTGTGACATGTCATGATGGATACGTACACCAAGCCTATGCTCATCAGTCCACAAACCGCAGCTTTTGTTGATAGAGGAATCTCTACGTTCCAGACCACATGAATTGGCAGGATTGTACAGACTATATCAGTCGCCACACCGTACGNCTATAGCAAATTAACGTAAGAAGCAGAGAGTACATCAATGTACGAACATGCTTGAAGGTAGATGCTGTAGATTCGCACTTTGGCAGGCCAGCAGTGTTCTGCAGATGTCCCATTCCAGTAGGCTTCCAACGGTGAGCACTCAGCCAGCAGTACCAACAAGCACTCCAAGTTCGTCAAGATCAAACCCGTAACGACGAAGCCTAGGATATATTTGAGCGCCCGTGTGTCCTTAATGCGCAAGATCAAGATGCAGATCGAGACCTTCATCAAACAGATGGTCGGGAAGAGCAAGACTTGTGTGTACCATGTGAGCATATTGATTGTCCGGTACTCGTGGTCGGAGATGAATTCGCGGTGTTGTCCGTTGCCATACCGGATACTGACGATCTGAATGGACATACGAGTTACCGCAAGTACAGTCGTCAAAGCTATTGCTCCATCGTCGAGTCCAAACTGCTGGCATCCCCATCGCACCCAACAACGCAAGGTAGTTGTAACAATAGCCAGAGTGGTCAGTACACAAGTTAGAATAAGCAATGTGGGACCTTTGTCATCATTGGGTGAGTGTTCTCCCATCTTGAGGATGACTGGGAAGTCAGAAGCTAGGCACAAGAGCAAAACTGTTAGACAAGAACCAACCAAGGTCTTAATGTCTTTGGCTGCATGAAAAATCAAGGGCTTCCAGCCAAGTCTTCCCACATACGACGGTTGCTAGAAGCACTTCATCATCCTGGCTCCGGCTCCAAGCAACGGGTGGATGCAGTGGAGTTGTGAATAAGCAACATTGATTCCTCAGGATCGAAGGTAATTTCCCTGTAGCACATCAATCTCCGCCACTCTTCACACGAAGGATAACACCGATATTGAGTCTCTCCTAATCTGGATGACTCTACCATTGTGTTCTCACCCAGCGCTTCTGAATTGTCGATGAACATCTGCACAGCCAAGTCGACGAAACATGAAAATGCTCAGATCTGAGTAGCCGATGATCCATCGTATGTTGCAATGTCCTTTCAATACTGAGCTGCAGCCGCGAGGGCTGGGCCGAACACCCAGATAACTATGTCCTCGGTCAAGGGGGCTCTCTGGTTGGCCGGGATGGTGATCTGAATGCTGGAGTCGTCGGCAATATGGCCCGCGAACGAGCGGTCCGTTCATTGAGACTCGCACGGCTCGCTTGACGTTCCGCCTCGCTCTATTGACGATAGTCTGGTGGATGGTTCGGAACTCGATAGCCACACGCGGCCCGCGCCCAGGTGAATGATACGCGATACTCATATGATTTCCAACCTGGAGAACCTCGATGCATCAACGTACATACGAATCGAAGACTCCATAGCCAGTTTCGCGGGCATCATTGGAGAGGAAAAGATCGAGGTTGGTGAAGCCAGGGTCAACTGGCACTGGCCAAGGAAGTTGCCGATGCTGATCGACCTTGCATCCCCACCACTTTTCACGAAACCAATCCTTCACTGCTTCCCATCCAGCGCCACTCGTGTGTGCTTGCGATTCAAACTAGCGACCGAGGTGCATATTTGCAAGAGTCACCAAGGACATGATCTTGTAGCCCGCTTCTTCCACAGTCCGTCGGACGCCTCATCCCATCTGAGTTATGCAATCTATCGATCTGTTATGGTATCTCTTGCCAGACGTCCTTGTCCTGTCATGTGGTAAGATATGCAGTAATTGGTGATCAGCAAGATGATTCTGGATTTTTCCGCTATTGATGAATCGTTCTGTATGCTCTCTATGTACATGCAATCACAGATCTTGGCCATGCAGACCGTCCGAGTCGGCCACTTAAGACTTCATCTAACCCACGTTCATCAATTAGCCCAGCTCTTAGCTTACCTCCACCTGAACTGCCGGCGGTTTTCCCTGGACTTTGCCTCACCAGACCGGTCCGAGAGGTCTTTGTATAAAAGCACAGTCTATCTGAAGTAGAGGTTCGTCGCAATTCTGGTCTTCGGCTGAACGAGTCAACATGGCTCCTTCAGTATTCACGACGACTATCCTTTCAGCTTTTGCTACCCTTTCTGTCGTACAAGCGAAAACTCCGACCTACGACTTTGTCGTTGTTGGAGGTGGTACTGCTAGTCTCGCTGTCGCTAGTCGCTTGAGTCGATATTTACCCAACAACACAGTCCTGGTCATTGAAGCTGGTCCCGATGGCCGCGATGTACCCGGTATCTACGTTCCGGGTATGAAGGGTATCACACTTGGCGGAGTCTACGATTACAACTTCACCACTGTTGCTCAAACTCAAGCTGGTGGCCGCAGTTGGGCGCAGAATCGAGGAAAGGTGCTGGGTGGCAGCTCTGCTCTAAACTTGATGTGCTGGGACCGCGCTTCAGTGGCTGAATATGATGCTTGGGAGCATCTTGGAAACCCTGGATGGAATTGGGACAGTATGATCACAAGCATGCTCAAGGTCGAGAACTACACCCAGAGCGTGTATCCCGGACAAGAGATTGATCAGGGTGTCGGAGTTGATGGCCCTATTCATGCCACAATCAACAGGATCCAACCCAAAGACCAGGACACATGGATCCCGACAATGGAAAACCTTGGCTTCCCAGAGAACATGGAATCTCTCGATGGCAATCCTCTCGGTGTCTCGATTCAGCCCAACAACATTGACACTGCCAAGTATACGCGCTCGTACAGCCCCGAATACCTAAGGATCGCTGGAGACAACCTTCTTGTCATGACTGAGGCTCAAGTGGTCAAGATCAACACCGAGAAGATACATGGTAAGGTAGTTGCCACTGGCGTCACGCTCAAGAACAACATCAAAATCAATGCTCGCAAGGAGGTCATCTTGAGCGCCGGCTCTTTCCTATCCCCAGCTCTGCTCGAACTTTCTGGAATTGGTAACTCGTCGATCATCACTGCTGCTGGTATCAAGCCTGTTCTTGACCTCCCCACTGTAGGTGAGAACCTGCAAGATCACATTCGCATTCAAAACAGTTTCAAGTTGAAAAACATGACATCCTTCGATGAACTCAAGTATAACGCAACCTTCAAGGCCGAACAACTTGCTCTCTACAATACAAACAATGTGTCCAGCTACGACTATGCCGCTTCTGGGTTTGCATACTTGACTTGGCCACAAGCACTTGGCAATGAGTCTGCCACCGCATTGATCAAGACCGCGCTCAAAGCCACCAATGCCAAAGCCTCCATCATCGACAAGACCAAGCTAGACTTCATGATCGGGAAACAGAGCCACACGATCCCCCAACTCGAAATCATCTTCTCTGACGGCTACACCGGTGTCGGAGGCTACCCTCTNGCCAACTCCTCAGCATACGGTTCCAATTACTACACTCTGCTCAGCGTCATCATGCACACTCTTTCCCGTGGTAATGTGCACATCAACACCTCCAACCCCCTCGGCAAACCCATCATCGACCCTCGCTACCTCAGTAACCCCTACGACCTCTCGGCCGCCATCGCCGCCACAAAACTGAACCGCAAAATCGCTTCCACGGCACCCATGCGCGACATCATTGCTTCTGAATACGAGCCCGACTCTTCCATCCAAACCGATCAGCAATGGAGAGATTTTGCCCTCAACCACACATTGACCATCTATCATCCTTTGGGCACTTGTGCTATGCTTCCCAAAAAGGAGGGTGGTGTTGTGGACCCCGAATTGAAGGTCTACGGTACAAAGAATATTAGGATTGTGGATGCTAGTGTTATTCCTGTGCAGCTCTCTGCGCACATCCAGACGGCGATCTATGGGATTGCGGAGAGGGCTGCCGAGATGATCGCTGCCGAGTACTCGACCTGAGATGTGGGTGTTTGCTCTATCGTGCGTATAGATGTCAGATGCTCGTAGACATTTCGATCAAATCGAGTTTTCCAACATCTCAGGAAGAAGAGAAGAAAAAAGCAAATCAACTGGACAAGAATCTTTTCTCTACCATATGCCGCCATAGTAATCCGTCCTTGAGCTCCTCTTGTTTTTTCTTCTTCCTTTTTTCTTCCCCCTTTCCCGCCATGTTTTCCACCGATAAGGGTACCGTGCTTTCTCAGCGCACTCCACCATCTCATTGACTTGAATCAAAAACAAAACCAGCTTAAATTCGTTTTTCTTTTTTGACTTTCATAAACTTGTGGTATACTCTGCGTTCGGGACATTGAAATCTTCCCTCTTAGCAACACAAGCGAAAAAAGAAAAAAAAAAGGAAAAACCAACAAGACTAAACCTGTCCTCAGCGATGACTTGTTTCATATCTTTGCAACGACGCCCATCATTCGACATTTTTTAATTCTTCTTTCTCCTCCCCCATCATCTCTTGTTATCATCTCTCAGTTTGTGGTGAAGCATGTCTACATACGTACACCTTCCAACAAGAGACACACAATGAAAACAGAGTGGGAAGTGCTACAAAAAGTCACCAGCCACACTTGGGGAAATGGTGACGCAGAACCAGAAAACGTTGACTTGCAGAAAAAGCAGGTGGGGGGGGGGGGGGGGGGGAGGGGGTTGGGTTTGATACACACAACAACACCACACATGCCTCGAAAGCTAGAAAAGAAAAAGGGGCCAAGTGACAAGATCAATACTTTGCTTGCATGTAAATGTACAGCGACACCGTCTGAAGAGAGAAGAACTAAAGGGTTTCCAAAAATGACCATTTCCAGAATAGTGTCATGTTTCATCGATGATCATAAGGATGCAAGTGATAAAAGACAGGGGCACAAATGGTGTTCCAAGAATGAGTTGGATAACCTGCAAAACTAATGGTCACAGGAAAAAAAAACAAAAAGAGCGGCGCGGTGTTTGGTATGCACAGACACAGTTATACATTGGGCATTCTTAAGATAAGTGTTCTTGTACAAAAAAAAAAGGCTAAAAAGGACAGAGAACAGAGGAAAAAACCCTCTTCATGCAATGATTCTGGTAGATGCGTATAGGAAAGAGAGATGGAGAAGAAGGAGAGAAAGGGAGACTGTTTCGTTGTACTGCCACCCACACCTTCACTTGTATGTAAAACGTACATCTCTCAGGTTGAGTGGTAGTGATTGGGTAAGGTGGGTGATGCAGTCATGAGCGGCCCACGAAGCAAAGACACGGTTGTGGTCTTGCTCTCCTATGCAAACAACTGTTTCGTGTGGTGTGTCGCTTTGCTCTTGCCATACAATTCCCAGCTCTTGCTTTCCCTCGGAGAAGAAACGTCAAAACAAACCAATCTAGGCTGAGAATCCAGGGACGAAAATCAAACACCAGTTCACCATGTCGCCAGTCCTTTGTGCTTCACACCGCCTGCTCCAAGGAAGAAAAAAAAAACAGAGAATAAGCAAGAACAAGCCGGCGGATGACAAACAAGACCGCAAACGCATTAAATGGGAATAAAACGGGCAAATTGGAGTTTCAAGGAGAGAGATGCGAGTGAAGCGAAGAGGAATGATAGAAAGGACGGAATGCATGCTCAGCTTCCAACCACCACTCTAGCACCTTCCTTGCCCAGAACACCACGTTCGCGCTCCTTAGCCTTGGGGCTTCGATCTCTGCCCTTCTTGCGACTGAGGAAGCCGAGCATGCCGGCAGGTTTGCGCTCTTCTTGGGGTTGGACAAGGGTCTGACTCTGGTTGGCCATTTCACTCCAGCTACCAGTCTCGTTCAGCACGACTTGGACGCCACCACTCATAGAGGTGCTTCGGGTGCTGCCACGGGGACGATGAGCCTTGTTGATGGCTTGTTGTGGGTGTGAGGTAGGAGGAGCGGGTGGAGGAGGGCCATCGTAGCGCTCAGAGCGAGGGAGTCTCTGTTGTTGTTGGGCAAAGTATTCAGATTGTGCGGGCGAGGGGTTCTGGTTCTGATGGGTGGGTAGCGGAGGCGAACCGTTGGGTGATTGTGTCGATGAACGAGTGCGAGAGGCGTTGTGGTGTGTAGAGGCGTGAGGAGTGGGTATTGAGCGGACCTTGTGCAGGTCTTGTTGGGGGTGGGCGTCGTTAGAATCTGATTTTGAGGTGACGGGAGAATCGCCCTCTATTTGGACGGGATTCCTGGGATGCATCAGTCTGGTTGGCTCAGAGTGGTGGGTCGATGAAGGAGATTCGCACCTGTTTTCGGGCACGGTTAGGTAGTTGAACGGCTCGAACATGGTCTCGATCATGCGGTGCAGCTCGTCGGCGCGGATCTCGGCCTCGGTGGCATCGGCTCGTAGTTCTGGACGGGGCTTCTGTTTCCTTGTGCGCGCTTCCAGTGGAGCTTCCTCAAGTAGCAATTCCTCCAGATCGTATGTGGCATCAAAGTTTGTCTTTTCGCTCGATGGCTTGAAGATGGGTTCAATCTCCTTGCGCTCGAGGGCGTCAAAGTCGAGTTCGCGGAAGAAGGGATTGTCGGTGAAACTGTTCCAACTGCTCGCTCCGATTCTTTGCAGCTTGTCTTTTTCCAGCAGCGAGCTGATGGCATGCATGCACACCATCGACACGGGAGGGTTGGTCACGGGGAAGTTCGGCTCGCCCTTGACGATGGATTGGATGAGTTGATCGTGGTGGTGCCCTTCAAAAGGTCGCTGCAGCGAGTATTAGCGTCTGACTTTCAAATACTTGTGCGGAAGAGGGCGTCATACCTTGCTGTAGATGCACTCATAGAAGACGACACCTAATGACCACCAGTCGCACTCGGCTCCATAGCCCTTGCCGCGATACACTTCGGGTGCTAGGTAGGCTAACGTGCCCGATCGACTGGTCAGGGGCTTGCCGGGGGTGAGGTCGGTCGCAACGTNTCTGCCAGACGGTCAGCTAGAGTTCCTCAGAGACAAGATCACGAGGGCAAGGCGTACAAAGTCAGCCAGATGGACGTGGCCGTCAGAGTCGAGCAGCACATTGTCGGGCTTGACGTCGCGGTGGACAATGTTTTGCTTGTGGATGTAGCGAAGAGCGCAGCCCAACTGTGAGATCCAGAAGCGGACGGCCTCTTCGGTAAAGGACTTGCGTGAGATGTGGAAGCGCAGGTCGCCGCCGGTCATGAGGTCGACGACAATGTACAGGTATTCGACGTCTTGGAACGAGTAGCGCAAGTTGCACAGGAAGGGGTGGTTGAGATGTTCCAGCATCCGTCGTTCTCGAATCATGTTGCGCACGCTCTCGCTGCGTACCACNNTGCAGCTGTGTTAGGCAGGCTCTTGCTGAAGCGGAAAAGAGACGGTCGTACCCTCATCTTTGCGAATGTACTTGAGAGCAAAGGTCAAGCCAGTGTCCTTGCGCTCTACGATGCGGACCTTGCCAAAGGCGCCCTTGCCGACGACACGGAGCAGTCGAAAGTGGTCGAGGCTTANCTGCTGCACGTCAATGTCTGTACTGATCTGACGGCCGAGATTCTCGTTACCTTCGTCAGTGAAGACGACGGGCTTGCCGCTGGAGTTGCCCATTCTGCAGTCGACTCGGCGGGTCGACGAGGAGAGGGTCGGGCAAAGGTGACGGGGTGCGTCGAGATTATCGAGGTCGTGTATAGAAAAGAGAAGAAATGCAGCGGCTTCAGGTCATAACTCGTGTCGTGTGTTTGGGTGCAACTCGTATCTTGGGTGGAATGGGAGAGAAGCTGAAGACTCTCCATCGATGTCCCATTGCTGCATCTGCATCTGCATCCCTTGGCGAGCCCTGCCGTTGGTACGCGCTAAAGTTGCTCCCGCCAAAACTTTGAGCATCGCGACTGACTCGTTCGCTTTCAGTCTCTGCAACTGTTCAACCCTGCAATCATAGAGACTTTGACAGAGACTGTTCTTGCAAGACGTTCTATCTGGTTGGTTGTAACATTTCTTGTCGTGCCTCGTGTGTTCCTCTACGCCTGGCAGACAAAGTGTATCCCTCGATGCTTGGCCGATCGCCGTGACCTGCATTGAATCGTCGTCTCAGAACGAGGCAACGTACCAGCCACGCGGAAGGCACGTTTTTGCACCACCGACATGACATTCTTTTGGCTCTCCTGCATTCATCTCACCGCCATCATGTCCCACTTCGGCAGACACTCTACTATTCCTGTCTATCTTTGCCGTTGTCATACTGAATCACTCTTCAACGCTCTCTTATCTTTGCCACTGTATCTTTGCCTCTGTAGACTTCCAATCGATCTTGGAGAACCTTTACGTTGATCTGGTCACATCTCACTTTACCTCTGCGCACGCACACTTTCATCGCTTGACTCTTGTTGAATCTCCTTCTCCCTGGCCCTGAGATCCTTCCCACAGTGGGGCCGCATCTGGAGAAAAAGCCATGTCGGATTCCGCTAAACCGTTGTGTGCCTAGCCTTGCCTTGCCCAAGCATACACCTCATGTGATCTAGATGCTCGCTGAGGTTTCAGCACAAAAGTCTCTTGAAGCCTATGCGGACTTATTTTTTTGTAGACATGTACTTGCCTACCTATGCATATGAAACTTCAGCGTCTGTTCTCTTGGACAGGATAGCAATAAGAACGCAAAGAGGATGAGAGAGATAGAAAAACGCCGTCCCCAGTCGCCTCCTTGAACGCCCCCAACCCTGTGTCCATCATGTTGCGCCGCCGGCCTACATAGCAATGCCGTGTCTCGGGCTCGGGCTCGGGCTCTGATAAAGAGTTTAAACAACAGGATTCGCACCTCATCGTTGCTTGACTCATGCATCAGATCTCATCCATGTTGCCCGCAGGCTCGTCGTCGTCCGAGTCGAAACTGCCCACACTGCTCATCTCATCATCGTCGTCCGAGTCTTCGCCCGCATCCTCGGCGGCTTCCCTCGATGCGTACTTGGACACGTATTCNNTGACAACGGATTAGTCGTGTCAAAGCATGCCAAGTACATGACAACGGTTCTCACCCTTGACCTTGGCTTCATAGCTTTTTGGCTCTCGCATCATCAAGGCTGCAGCCTCGCCGTTAAGAGGGTCTGTGGGATTGGGGTAGCGCAACAGTTGAGGGAGGAAGACCTCGAAAATGTTGACCATTTCGTACATTGGTGACCACGTCTGGTTGATAACGTCGAGGCAGACACTGCCAGNATCTGGTTGGGGGTCAGAGTATTGATCTTCGTTCGCTAGTGTCCATGCGTCTTACAGCTCGTCGATGTTGGGATGGAAGATGCGGTTTACAAAGCCGATGCTGGGACTCTTGTATGGGTACTGGTCGGGTAGCTCGACGTGGATCTTCCAGAGTCCGCCTTGAAAGGGNNTGCTGTGAAAGGTTTCAGTACCAAGCTGTCACCGCGTTCGCTCGTGTAGCCTACTCTCTTCAGGACCCTTGAACCGGACAAAGAACTCTTGCCTGTGCGNTATGTGAGTAACCTCTACGGCGAGGGGACTGGCAGCGAGCGGTTCGGTACGAACACTGCGGTATGTGTCAGCAGAGTGTGTCAAGGCGATAGGACTGGGTGTGTTGCTACTGTTGTCGTTGACTAGAGTAACCTCGTAGTCGCTCATCATCCTGGGTGAGTCGTCAAAGATGGACCTCCTGAAACGAGGCATCGTCTATACATACATCCTGTCGGTGGTTAGTATATGAGACAGCAAGTGCTCTCTTTGTACTCAGTATCTTACTTCATGACCTGTAGGCAGCAAGAAGAAGAAGGTGTCAGCCCATGGTACTTCCAGCTCNNTTTGTTCTGGTTCAGGTGAACCTACATCCGTCTCGATTCTTCTTTTCGGGCTGCTCATTTTGGCGGCGGTTGTGCGCTTCTTTCTGGGAAGGGAGGTGTATCGTAGGCTTCGAGAAGCTGATCAGGTCGTCGCCGCTTTTCAGGTTGGACGACTAGGTATGGGTGCGGGGCGGCACAGCGGGGCGGAGTGGAGGTGCTACAGGCTGTGGTTCGACGGTGAGGGGTTGGTGGTGGATTGGTCGTCGAGAAGATGTGGGCGAGGAGGGTTACTGCGTGTCGGTAGGTTCTTTGTCTGGTCGGAGACTGTGGCTGGTTGTGAGATGGAGAGTGCTGAGTGGCTCACTGGCGGTCGGATGTAAAGGCTGCTGCTCGGTGTTAGCCATCACAGTGCCCCGGTGTCGCATGACGACCGACTCACGACGCTTGGCATACGTGAGTCTTGGTTTCGCCTGTTATATCTCTGTTATCATTATTATAGCCAGGATTATACATGGAAACCTCATATGTCCAGGTGGTGTGTCGAACCACCTTCTGCCCTTGAGCTTCTGTTCAATAAAACTTCCTCTCTAAATTACATCTTGACCGAATAGACGCTTCCAACTCGGTGCATGGACAAGTTTTGTCACGACTCGCCAGCGGATCTGCCTCCTCAGCCTTACGATACGTGACCTGTAAGACACAACTCCCCCTTGCCGTCCCAAGAGACCCAATGTCGTCCTTATGCCAAACGAACAACCGCATCGAGCCGAAGAATGCACATGTATAAATGCAGCGGTTGCTGCCCCTGCCGGCGGAGCGTAGCCCGAGCTTCATTTTATCTGTGTGTGGATAGGGATGGCCAAGAGAGCAATATGCTAATTGTTAAGGCCAGGCTGATTGCCGTTTACGGTAGGTGCATTCTCTATAGCATTACTCACATAACGGTCGATGGCAACATGGTCGGCTTGGTGCGGCTCTGCCGCTCACGGCATCACCATGGTCCTCGAGGCATAATACCTATGCATGCCATGTGCCGAACTCACCTTGAAACATCACAGTCTCTGATATAGCCGACTTGTTCTTCGTGAGGCCGCGTGCAAAAAAATATTGTCGCCAAGAGGAGGCTGGCGAGCAGATTGCGGGATACGGTGCTGATCAGCTCCGCATGGGTATTAAAGCATTAATGATAACAACATGATCACCGATGGTGGATGGCTTGTTTGCCCTGTGCTCAACCAGAATCTTCCTTTGTTCTGAGAGGGAGGCAGCGGATTCTTTCGTACACGTTCGCAAGACCAAGCAGTCGTAGTCAGAGTCAGGTTCGCGGCGTCGAGATCGAGAGTCTGTGATCGGGCGCAACTTCTGCACTTCCTAGGCCGATAGAACGTCTCGTAAGGGAAACCTTGGGTGCTCGACAAGCCCAACTTGATTTGGTCCGCTCCGCCATTGCCACCCGCAACCAAGTCCAAGTCCAAGTCCAAGTTCGCACGCACCTCGCTCGAGTGTTGCCATCTCGCCTGCATACACGTCCCAGTCACCTCCTCGTCGCCGACCGAGTCGCAGGGCTTTCCATTGTCGCCGTCGCTCACAGCACGCAGTCGCTCCGTCCCTCTGTCTCGGCCGAACGTGGCGTCACTCGCATCCGCCATCTCATTCTCGACTCCCGGTCTGGCCCCTTCGCCGACAACGCCCGCGCTCCACCGACTTGTATTCATTCATTCAGATCAAACACCTAGACTCTTGCGCACCTACGCCCTTACTGCGACGACCCCTCTACAGTGCTTGGACGTCTTGTACGTTCCTCGCCATCGCCATAGCCATACCCACAGAGGCCGCCGCCCAACACCATGTGGTCTGAAGATGAGCGACCCCGTCCAGAAGACAGCTCCACCACCTCGCTCCACTCCGACTCTTCCCAGGAATCACAGCCCCGATCCTCCTCAGAGCGACCTCGCCCATACTCGAATTCTTTGTGGCCCGGCGCCGAGCAAGCACAGAACTGTCGCTCTCCGCTGGATCCGCTGAGCCCAGACGTCCACGATCGCGTCTTCCCCATTCGCTCCGTCGTCTCCGTCGACCCCAATGCCACTCCGTCGCATCGCTCCGACACGAGCGGCAACGGCTATTTCACTCAGGCGCCTCAACAGAGCAGGAGGTTTTCTGTCACCAGCGACTCGGATCACCAAAGTCACAATGGTACAACCAAGAATAGAGCCCCCGGCTCTTCCGAAAGTCGCCCAAGTAAACCACAAGACCGCAAGCCTTCGATAAGTGCGAACCAGAAGCAGCGACATTCGGCACAATTATTCAACGAGCTCGCTTCTAGCAGAAACGACAGCGACAATCGCTCCACCGACTCCCGGAGCACACGGCCACGTTCGTCAGATCGCGCTCCATCATTGAAGAGTACCGGTGGACAAGATGAAACAGGCACGGGGCTAATAACTGCTCGCTTCAAGCACGTAGTGTCCGAAGGCGGCCACGCTATCATCACTGGCAGGGACGGGGACACATTACAGCGCTGCGAAGACGAACCTATCCATATCCCTGGTGCTGTGCAGAGTTTTGGACTGCTGATCGCATTTGAAGAAGAGACCGAAGGGAAACTGATTGTAAGAGTCGTCAGCGAAAACTCTAAGAGGCTTATTGGCTACACCCCAAAGCAATTGTTTGCCCTCGACAGTTTCACCGACATTCTATCCGAAGATCAGACAGACAACCTCCTGGATCATGTCGATTTCATCAGGGACGAAGATGCTGATGTAGGCTCGAACGGCCCTGAAGTCTTCACCATGTCAATACGGACTCCACAACGCAAGTTGCAGAAATTGTGGTGCGCCATGCATATCACCGACAAGAATCCTGGTCTTGTCGTCTGCGAGTTCGAACTTGAGGACGATCCTGTCTACCCTCTAGTTCCCGCCAACGAAGGGACGCCCGACCTGCCCGAGGACACGCTCAGCTCGAATCCATCGGCCGACGAATTTGCGGAAAGCACAGAGATCGCAAGCAAGCCGTTACGAGTGCTACGTAGTGCCAGAAAGCGCAAGGGAGAGGCTGCCGCCATGGAGGTCTTCAATGTCATGTCGCAAGTTCAAGAGCAGCTTGCAGCCGCTCCCAACCTGGACAAGTTTCTCAAAATCTTGGTTGGTGTCGTGAAAGAGCTCACCGGCTTCCATCGTGTCATGGTGTACCAGTTCGATGCTTCATGGAATGGCCGCGTCGTGACCGAGCTGGTCGACCCCAGAGCGACCAAGGATCTTTACAAAGGACTGAACTTCCCTGCTTCCGACATTCCCAAGCAAGCAAGAGAGCTCTACAAGGTTAACAAGGTTCGCATGCTGTACGATCGCGACCACGAGACTGCTCGTTTGGTCTGCCGCACTGTCCAAGACCTTGAGAAACCTCTGGACATGACATACTCCTACCTCCGAGCCATGTCTCCCATTCACATCAAATATCTGGCCAACATGGCCGTACGTTCATCCATGTCCATCTCTATTAATGCCTTTGATGAACTCTGGGGGTTAATCTCTTGCCATGCGTACGGATCAAGAGGAACTCGCGTATCTTTCCCTATCAGAAAGATGTGTAGACTTGTTGGCGAAACCGCTTCGCGAAACATAGAACGACTTTCATATGCCTCACGCCTCCATGCTCGCAAACTTATCAACACAGTGCCGACGTCAAAGAATCCGTCGGGATATATTATTGCTTCATCAGAAGATCTTTTGAAACTGTTCGATGCTGATTTCGGCATGCTTTCCATCAGAGATGAAACCAAGGTACTCGGACACGTCGATGAGACACAAGAAGCCTTGGCCATGCTCGAGTATCTGAGAATGCGCAGACTCACTTCGGTCACTGCCACACAAGATTTGAAGGAGGAATTCCCTGATCTACGCTATCCACCTGGCTTCCACCATATCGCTGGTCTACTTGTTGTTCCCCTTTCCGCTGGAGGCAATGACTTCATTGTTTTCTTCCGCAGAGGTCAGCTCCGAGAAGTGAAGTGGGCCGGCAATCCTTACGAGAAGTTTGTGAAAGAGGGCACCGAGGGGTATCTCGAGCCGAGAAAGAGTTTCAAGACTTGGAGTGAGACCGTCGTCGGAAAGTGTCGTGACTGGACCGAGGAAGAGATTGAAACAGCTGCCGTCCTTTGTCTTGTCTATGGCAAGTTCATCGAAGTCTGGCGGCAAAAGGAGGCTGCACTGAAAAACAGTCAATTGACACGCTTACTTCTAGCCAACTCGGCGCACGAGGTTCGAACGCCACTCAATGCTATCATCAACTATCTGGAAATAGCTCTGGAAGGCAGTCTGGACGATGACACGCGAGAGAACTTGTCGAAATCCCATTCTGCGTCCAAGTCGCTAATCTATGTTATCAACGATCTGTTGGACCTTACCAAGACCGAAGAGGGCGGCAGTCTCGCTAAGGAAGAGCCATTCAACTTGTCGGCTACTTTGAAGGATGCCACGGATCAGTTTTCTGGTGACGCGCGTCGCAAGCATCTCAGCTACGACGTGGTTGAACACCCTGGTCTCCCTGCCACAGTCATTGGAGACCAGAGGAAGGTCCGCCAAGCTATATCAAATGTCACAGCCAATGCCATCCAAAACACCAAGAGTGGCGGAATCAGCATTGAGATGTACGTGCTTTCTAGAGAAGACAACCATGTTGAGGTCGAGATCACTATCACCGATACCGGTTGCGGCATGAATAGTAAGAAGTTGGACAGCCTTTTCAGGGAACTGGAGCAAGTGCAGAGTGAAGTGCACGACATGTTGGATGATGAGCCAGCTTTCAATTCCAAACAAGTCGAGGCAGGGTCAGATGAGAATCGCACCATAGGCCTGGGTCTGGCTGTGGTCGCGCGTATTGTCCGAAACATGAACGGGCAGCTACGACTCAAGTCGGTCGAGAACAAGGGTTCGCGTTTCACTCTACAGTTACCATTCGACCTACCCACCAACGGACAGAAAACACTTACTGGCTCCCTTTCAGAGGGATCTCAACGCTCCACAGTCATTAGCGCTGGTAATGAGGGCGAGATCACTCTTGTCGAACGTGGAAGTCATAGACGCAACTCGACCGAACATTCTCTCTCTCGCACGACGAGCAATGAGAGTATACACAGCAGGCGCAGTCTACCCAGCATGAAATCCGGACGCAGTCACGCGAGCGAAGACTCAACCCGTAGTGAGGCTGACAGACTCATTGATGCAATCTCATCCCCCGTCGATAACAAGCGGGGTGCTCCCTCTCGTGGAAAAAGCTCTAGCAGCTTACAAAGACCTGCATTGGGATCTCGACATAGCACGACATCAGCACTCCCAAGCAGCAGTCAAACTTCACGACCTCGATCAATGAGTCATGAAACAAACTCACAGGAACTAACCACTGAAGTGATCAAAGACTCGCCCGGTAGATCCAGTATCGTGGATCAGGGACGACCTGTCAAAGCTGTGCGCGTCCCAGAGGAGACAGATGATGTTCCTGCTGCAGCTCAAGACCAGCCACAAGAAGTATCGCGTGTTCTTGGCATTCATCAGCAAGAACCTCCGGAGAACACAGATGAAGCGCCTACAGCAGACCACATGCGTGTGTTGGTCGCCGAGGACGATCCGGTCAACAGCAGAATCATCAAGAAACGACTTGAGAAGATGGGCCACGAAATATACCTCACGTCTAACGGTGAAGAATGTTCCAGCACCCATGGCGACAAGAGCGGCTACTTTGATGTCGTCTTGATGGACATGCAGGTTTGTTCTGAAGATTCTTTTTGATGACGAATGTTTTCGCTGACTGCTCTNCAGATGCCTATTGTCGATGGACTCACAGCCGCTAAGGTTATTCGATCGTTCGAGAAATCACATCCTACACATCTACTCTCGACTCGAGCAGCTTACAATGGCCGCATCCCCATCATTGCAGTTTCTGCGTCGCTGCTCGAGAGAGAAATCCAACAGTACATCGACGCTGGTTTTGATGGTTGGATCTTGAAACCAATTTCTTTTCCACGACTACAAGAGATTATGACTGGAATCGTCGACAAGCGAGTTCGCCACAAGAACGTTTACGTAAAAGGCGAATGGGAAAGAGGTGGTTGGTTTGAAGGATCCCAGTCTAATGTTTGGGAAGCGAATACCAAACCCGACGACGAAAAAATCGCAATGTCTGGACCTAGCGACGCTGTACAAAAAGAAGCTGCCAGCGATGACCCGCAAGAAAAGGGAGATGACGAAGACGACAGCAGACAGACCCAGGAGCAGCACAGAATCGCCGCCGTGCAAGACCACGATGCAGGGATCGAGCCGCCTCCGGAACAACAGGACCAAGGACCAGAAGACCCAGACGTGAATGGCGAACCACATGATTTCTCTTGATTGTTCGAACGTGCGCGAGAACACAGCTGAGCCTTATCAAGCTCGGTTCTTTTTTTTTCCTTTGAGTGCTGTTTACTCTTTTCTTGTTTTGGGGATACTCGATATGACTCGGAGTTTGAGCATGTCGTGGTGTTGAAGGCGTTGCACTCAATCATGGGGAGGTTGCATATTTCTCTCCTGGGCCTACGAAGGTCAAGCCATGCAGCGGATGTTTGTTTGGATACCAACATGCTGGGTTATTAGAAAAGGGGTGCGCATGACGAGAGGTCTTTGCCCCATCCTGCAGCGTACACTTTATTCCTCCTTTTTGCTTTTTTATCATTTTGTTTGGTTCCATTGGCTTCGAACGACGACTCATGAGTACGATGCTCTTTTCCGTGTCAGAATATACTTCACGCAATTGTACGAAGAATCCGAAGGTCCAACATTTCTCCATCTGTCTCTCTTTCTCTTTTCCACTTTCCTATATCTCACCATTGCTTCTGCTTTTCCAATGTTTTTCTTCTTTTGCTGGGTGACACTCTAGAGAGTGCTTGTTAATTGCTCGTATATGCACAAGGATGGATACACAGGGCAAGATTGACTAACAAAATACGATAGCTACGAATCACACGTTTTCACGCAGGGAAACAAAGGTTTCGTCTATGTTTCTAGTCTCGTCCTTCGAGAAACGGGTAGGTATGACCTCGGTTATGTACGGTTATACATAGCCGTTGCCGTGGCTAAGGTCCTGGCTGTGGCGTTTGGACATCACTATCTCAATCACTGACAGGGTGACCCCTAAAGCTATCGTTTACAGATTTGCGAAAGGCGATTTCTGAGGCAATATGGTGGACTTAATTGATGTATATAGGTTTGTATGATGTTTGATGATTGGGGATCATGTCTTTATCTATTAGGATGTCGAAACTGCGCGGTCTGGCTCGTGGTTGTTAAAGCGCAGAGATTCGATTTCAAAGTCTAGAAACCAATCGGGAGAAGCCCGCAGCTGACCGTCCACCTTATCTGCCCTGCCAACCATGAACCCCATTGACTACATCTCCCATCAGTGCGATGCAACTATGAAATACAGCTGAAACCCATTCACATCTGATCCCACGAGAACTAAAGCTAACGACTTCTCATAACCCGCATTCGCATCCCTCGAAGTGCTCAAAGTCCAGATCTCGAACATCGCAACTGCCGTACAGGAGCGCTTGACCTAAGAACAGTCTAGTCCAACAAGGAAGTGCGCGTCCAACCCCGGACTCCCCGCGCCTTCCTATCGCTGCTGGCCCCAAGCGCAACTGCCGTCTTTTGTATCCGAGATCAACCAAAATGTCCAAAAGATACACAGTCGAGGGTTACGAGAAGCCTCAGAAAGTCTATTGAGCCAGCCGAGCACACCCGGTAGATCTGACAGCACGAAACGGCAGCAAGAAGTAAGGGCAAAGATGGCATAGTTGGGAGTCGGAAAGCCCAAAAAGGCTTGGGAATGCTTGAGTGCCCATCCCAAGTCGCACTCCACGTGGGGTCCCCAGCCAAATAACCCCGCATGGTGGCGTAGTCTGGGGTTTGTTTCTGCGACTTCAATCGCATCTGCCGGGCTGAGTGCGAAGCGGCGATTGGACGATGGAATGTGTGTGGAGCCCTTGTCGTTCGAAGGAGCTGGACGGGCAAGGACTACATAAGTCTGGGATGGCTGCATCTCTCGAAGATCTTGCATCGCTTTCTTCTGGTTCAGACTCCTCTTGTTTGGGTTTGGTCTTTTTGGACGGACTTTCTGATCTTCGATCTTCGCCTATCTGCTCTGTGGATACTCTTTGTGACACAATCTTCTTGATATTATACCATTCTTTGACTGGACCAAAGTAGCCATTCGTAGTCAAGATGGAGATGAATTACGATGATGCAGAATTGCATCAAATCGAGGCCGAGATTGGCAAGGAGATCTTGCCTGGCACAGAAGTACGTCGACCTCTTTCTCTTACGCATACAAAGGATCTCTTGCTAACAAGATACCCATCANNGATTATGACTGATGTCGGTAGCCACCACTTCGTCAAAGGCCACAACGGTGTCCTCGTCCCTCAACCCTCAGATGACCCCCACGACCCCTTGAACTGGTCGACGAAATGGAAGTTCCTCGCCATCACCTCAAGCAGTCTGGTGTCCTTCTCCCAAGGCTTTGGTCCCTTGGCGCTGGCACCTGCGTTTGGCTACTACATCAAGGAGTTCGATTGCTCGCTGGCAGATGCTATTCAGTTTACCGGTGTCTCTATCCTCATCCTCGGCTTCAGCAACTTTTTGTGGGTGCCACTGAGCAGTTCTTTCGGACGCAGAGTGGTGTATATCGCCAGTCAGTTGATCTGTCTGGCGAGTATGATTTGGAGGGCTAGAGCACAGACATATGGCTCTTTTATGGGTGCTTGTGTGCTCAATGGACTTGGTGCTGGGCCTGCCGAGTCCATTCAGCCTGCGGTGATTGCAGATGTCTTTTTCCTGCACAACCGTGGCTTCCAGAACACTGTATACTGGACAGCGTATATGGGTTCGTTGATGGTTGCGCCCATCATCTCTGGAGTCATGTCTGATCGCCTGGGCTGGAGATCTTTCTGGTGGCTCAATGTCGGTCTTGTCGCCGTCTCTTTGCTCATGGTCATCTTCTGTTTCCCAGAGACCAAGTATCATCGCCCCCATCCTCATGAGATTGCCACTGCAGCACCACGCAAGTACGACGATAGCAACTCTACCCTTCCCGTCCCTGACAAACTCAACTCTGGCCACGTCGAAGACATTGAGATCCAAAACATCGAATCCTCGCCTGCAGGTATGCCTAACCTCTCCGCCACCAAGACCGCAGACCGCGATCCCTTCCTTGGAAAAGGCTATCCCTCGAAAGCGCAATGGAAACTCTGGCAACCTAACCCTCATCCATTCAAGAGTATGGCTCTCGATCTTTGGCTCCCCTGGAAACTGTTTACCTTCCCCATTGTCGAGTTTGCAGCTTTTGTTTGCAGTTGGTCTTGCAGCAGTTTCTTGACATTGAACTTGACGCAAGCGCAAGCGTTTGCGGCACCACCGTACAACTTTTCATCCGAAAGTATCGGCTTCTTCAACTTTGCAATTCTCATCGGTGCCATCATCGGTCTGGCTACTTCTGGAAAGCTTAGTGATTGGGTAGCTGCCAAAGCGACAAGGAGAAATGGAGGTATCCGTGAGGTAAGCAATTGCATCTCTTCCCCCAAACCAAATCTTCGAAACACACCACTAACATATTTTGTGTCATCTAGNCCCGAAATGCGTCTCATCGCCATGATCCCCTACGTCCTCATCATGTACATTGGCAACATCGTCGCCGCCCTCGGCATGCAACGCAAATGGCCCTGGCAAGTCATCGTCGTCATCGCCTTTGGCGCCGCCGGCATCCAAGTGGCCTCCATCCCCTCCATCGTCTCCACGTATGCCGTCGACAGCTACAAACCCGTCGCAGGACCCCTGTTCGTGGCCATCACCGTCAACAAAAACGTCTGGGGCTATGGGTTCAGTAAGTTCATCACGCCGTGGGTTGAAGAGTCGGGATTCATTCCGCCAATCATGACGAATGGAAGTTTGGTGCTTTTGTGGTGTTTGTTTGGAATCTTGTTTTATTACAAGGGCAAGACGTTTAGGAGGTGGTGAGTCTTTTTTTCGCCCCCTTGCCCTCTACACTTTTCTCTTTCTTTTGAGTATCGCTGACAGTCATCTTCACAGGTCTCGTAACTCGTCGGTGCACAAGATGTAAAACGACCCGGATCAAGTCCGTCAGGCAATCCACAACAGAACAATCTAGTACTTCTATACTCGCAAAATGTAAAGAATTTCTACAAGCAGAAAAAACCCCTGCCTTGAAGCCTTTTTTTTTTCTTCTCTTCAGACGTGCTTGGACCGTATGAGAATGAATTTTTGATACCCTTCTTGAACACCTTTTTCCACGTTTTTTTCTCTTTTTGTTTTGGGATCGGGCCAAATGTGTAACAAGACTTTGTATTTTCTACTTCCCTCGGGGGGTGCTTTTTTTGGCTTTGCTCTGTATTTTTTTCTTTGTCTATTTGCACCGCTGGACTTGAGAGTTCCAAGTGCCGGTTATGGTTATGCCAACGTACTGTACACACTTGAAACCGCTCAAATCGCCCAAAAAAGATGCCCATTTCGTTAAACGTATATATACAATCACGATTGTCAAGGAATATCGTACGAGTCCTGGTGATGAAAGCCATTCGCGAAAGATAAACGTCTGTTTAAAAAAAAAAGAAAAAAAAAAGAAAAAGGCAGTATCAAGAAAACCCACAAACTTTCATATCCTTGTTTTGCTAGGGCTGGCTTCGAATACCCAGCTACAGCAATATCAGTGTGGTAAAGGAGGTCCTCGCGTATCTTTTGCTTATTGCCTCGAAGGAGTGATCTGGTTACTGTTTTGCACGTTGCAACTCTGTAAGGGGCAGCAAAGGAGTTCAGACGTTAAAAGGCAATGTTTGACGATGGGTGTTAACTGGCAATAACCGTATATAACCGAGGTCAATGCTTACATACCCGATATCCCAAGGTAAGGGATCAAGGACTCGATGGAAAGTGATTGCGCATACCCGATATCCCAAGGTAACGGTCGGGAAAAGGGATTAGGTATATTGCCAAGCACTTGCCAAACAGAGCTTTGAAGATGAGAAGAATTGACGACTTTCATTAATGTGCATGATCTGCTGTGGTGCAAGACTATGGTGATGCCCTCTCCAAAGGCGTGGCAGCAGCGCTGACAAACAAGTCTTGCGTGTTGTCGGTATTGTAGCCATCAGTACCTGCATCGTTCCCTGCGTCGTCGCCATTGGCTGCTTTCTCCGTTTCCGTCTCGCTGAGCGCGACTTCTTCGCCTTCGTCGTCGGTGAGGACTTCGACTTCTTCAGCCTTGCTACTCTCTTGCGCATCACTCGCGAATGCAGGAGTCGTCAAGATACCGCTTCCCTGTACCCACACCTCTGCCAACTCGGCTTCAATCTCTGCTTTCCTCTGCTTCCACGCCTCGACTTGAGATAATCGTTCCTTGAGTTCGGCGATTTCCTTCTCAGTGCTGTCTTTTTCACTCTCGGTGCCTATCTTTTGCATCTCCCACTCATCTCCCTGATTCCCCAATCCCAAGGTCAACACATAATCGTGGTATTTCTTGAGACTTGCGCGAGTGGATATGGTGAGCAATGTTACTCCCCTGGCCTTTAGAGTTTCATAAAGTAGACCTTCCACATCACTGCTTACAGCAGAAGTTCCCTCGTCAATGACTGCAAAAGCAGGGGAATGATACAGTAAACGTGCGAAACTGATGCGTTGTTTTTCTCCACCGCTGAGGACATCTTTCCACGTTTTGCGCGTGTCGAAGCCGCCTTCGCGGGAAGGCAGGTAGCCGAGTCGCACATCGGTGAGGATTTGCTCGAGTTCGGAGTCGGCGCGCGAGGAGGCGCGCATGTCGAATTCAGTGTGTGGGTAGATGATTTGGTCGCGGAGGGTGCCGGGAGAGAGGTAGGGTCGTTGAGGTAGGAACATGATGCCATCTTGACCGATGCTTCGAGGTCGAGAAACTAGGCCGCGGTAGACGGGCCATAGACCAGCTAGAATGCGTGCGACGGCGCTTTTGCCTGCACCGTTAGGGCCGATGATGAGGATATGTTGGTTGGATTGGATGACAAAGTTGAGGGAGTCGAGAAGTTCTTCTCCGCCTTGTGGCCAGAGACCGGGTGCGACGACTGGTGCATTTTCGAATCGTACGCCGGAGAAGCCTTTGTGTAGGGTTCCTTGCACATCGGCCAGGGAGTAGAGTTCGGGATACGTGTTGCGAGGTGGATGGTATGCAGAAGCGTGTACTCGATGGAGAGTACTGATCAAGGTATAGACACGAGAGGTGTAGCCAGCCAGCTCTGAAAGATCTTTCAAGCTGTACATCATACGACCGCCTGCGTCAGCAAGAGAAAGCATGAGACGCTTGTTGGTGATGAAGTTTTGGGTGCGGCTGCCTGATTCATCTGTAGGTGTCTGAGCCATGAGAGCGGCTTCCGAAGCTGGCTGTGCTACTTTCTTATCACCGATCTCTGCGAGTCCAGCCCATGCAGGGAGGAAGACCGGCAGAGAGGTGATGAGGTAACCGAAAGCACTCCAAGAGTACTTGAGCACGAAATCTTCAAGCATGTTGTAACGAATCTTGAGACTGTAGATGCCTTCCATCCACCGCTTAAGTTCTTGGAAGCCTTTGTCCAAAAACAGCTTTTCCATTTGGTCGCCGCCATAGAAGGCAACTTCTTCGGCATTGGCGATGAGGCGAGCATGAAGTGCTCGGAACTCACCCTCTCGCTTACCCTCGACGGCCTTCAGTTTGCCGAAGGGAGGAGATAGTCGTCTCAGCAATGTAGCGGTAGCAAAGTAGTTGGCTAGTAGACCAGTCAGAGCCAATGGGCCAAGAGAGCGATACAGCTGATAGTTGAAGACCAGGAGATCTACAAATGGCTTTCCCAGGCTCGAGTACAGACTGGCGGCAGAGTCACAGAAGAGAGTCAAGTCCTGGGTGACAAACTGATCAGCGCCATGACCAATGCCGCCGTCAAGATTGGTGAGTTTGTAGAAGTTGAGATTGTCGTTGAGGTAGAGGTCGTGGATGTAGCGAGTCAGACGAGTACGGAAGGCTATCGAGACCTTTGACTGCAAGAACTTGATCATGCTGTTGGTGTAGCTGGCTAGAGCGCCAATGGTGCACCATTTGGCAATACCCCAGAGGAAGGGCTTGCCCTTGCCAGCCACCAAGTCTCGCACGATCTCACCGTCGAGACGGGCGACAACGAGAGACAGGTACGTCCGCAGAAGCAAGAAGACACCGTGACTGAAGAGTAGACCAGTCTCTTTACTGCCCCATCGCGGGATCAAGATGTTCATCAGGCTGAGGAATTGATGCAAAAATGCGAGGTTCAAGCCAGGCTTGGTCTGGAGAGGAGGCACTTGTGGCAGATTGCTGTCGCTCAGGCCAACAGCCCTGGGCGGCTGTAAGAACAGACGTCGGTGGGCATCGAAGGTGGTCGGCTTGGTCGGGTTGATGGCGACTTTTGCCGTAGAAGATTTGTATGCGACATAGATGGTGCGCGTGCCGTCTTTGGCTCTCAGACCAGAGTTGCGACGCAGCAGCCGTCTCCCTGTCTCTTTCTCCTTGCGGCTATCTATCCACCATTTGTATGACCCCGCGCCACCACCGACCAGACCTAGCGTGAAGAGGACTGCCGCTAACAAGCGGAGTGCTCGAGGTGTTCGTCCGAGTCGACCACGTAGACGGTCGAGTAGGCGGCTGAAGAGTGCCCGGAGAGCTTCGTCCGGGCCATGCCGTAACGTCGACTGCACTGCCATGTCAAGTCTCACATTACGCGATGTGGTTGACAGTGAGTATGAGATCCAAATCGCAGAGACAGTGAGACAGATAGCAGCATGTGCACAATGCTCTTTGATGATGTTGACGATGCATTCCGAGGTTCAAGGGCCGCATGTGATGCTTGGCGCCACCCCGCATCCCGGCCCGCCTCCACTTTCTCGTCATCAACCAGTTGCCTTTTTGGGAAACGTACGAAATTGAGATTGCTTCTACTCTAAAAGTACAGTAAGACTAGAAGACAAGAGCTGTGAGACAAGCGTAAGCCGTAATGAGGAAGAAGACAAGAAAGAGCCAGGATAGCAAGAAAGCCGATACGAAAACAACAGACTAATATCCACGCCGGGTATATTCGCTCCCAGAAACAAATGCATACAAAGCGAGAGGTTACTCGCAGTCCATGGGCTGGAGGAAAGCGACATCCTCATCAGAAAAGTCCTGGGCCGACTTGTGGGGCGAGCGAGTCTTCATACGAGCCTTGGGTCTGCTTTGTGGACTGACGATGCTGCTCTGAGCGCTCAGGTTGGGCATGGATGAATGGCTGAGAGGGTACTTTGGCTTGGGAGAGGCCGTGTCGTCGAGCATCGAGTCGTTCTGCTCAAGCTCATTGTCAAAGTAGGTGTCGAGTTCGGCGTCCATGTCGTCTGCGTAGCTTCTCTTGCGTGTGTTTGTCTGTGGAGTTTGAGGCATGTCGACTGAAGATGCGATGGTGGACTGGGTGTATGACAGACTGGGGGCAGACGAGGTGGGTTGTGAGCTGAAGCCACCGATCTTGTGAAGTCCACAGAAAGGGGTGAGTTCTGATGGCTTGGTGTAGAGTTCTGGAGCGCTGCTGGCGGGCAGGTGGTTCTCATTCTGCGTTGGGATGCTTGCGGGATGCATGTATGAGATGGTTGGCACTGGCAGTGACTTGTGCGTCTTGTATCCTTCAGGCACCGACTTGCGCACGCGCATGCCGACATTGATGAGCAGCGACTGAACATGATCGGGCACGACGGGTTTCAGCGGCAGGGCATATTCGTCGACGTCTGCTGAGGATGGAGCTGAGCTGGAGCCGACGGATGTGAAGAAGGACTTGATCGACGACTGGTTCGATGGTTGGAACTGGCGTTTGCGAACGTGTGCCATGGTTGTCTTGTGCAGTATGATGTATTTGGTAGTTATGCAGGGAGATGGTGTATAGGTGGTGTTGATGAGAGGATGGACGGATGAATGTCGAAGATGGCCGTCAAAATGCACTTTACGGAGACGCGTCGCGCGGAACTTTCGCGCCCGCTGCGTTGGCAGGGCAATTGCTCAAATTCACTCAACCACCACCATGTCTCGACGACATCCTTCAACCATCGAGACCGACCGGGTTTCCATCGGACCGCTAGAGTTCGAGGTCCTCGGCACACTTACGCTGTGTCTAGCCTAAGGTGCTCAACGTGTCGCTGTCAGGTCGATGGACGACTCGAACGGTCGTTGGCGCCGTCACAAAGAACATCTCATTATTGCAAGGCAGAGAATGACCTGTATTTGACTCTGATAGCATTCATGCATATATATCGCCGCTTCTTGTGCTCGTGCGGCATCGGATCCCTCGAGGCTCTGCATATCCATGGCTGAAACTCGATTGCTGCGCTGGCTTCGCTTCCTCCTTTTTGACTTTCCTACTACCAGACCCACATCCTACTATATGACAGAGAAGTTTACCTGCATATCACTGCCTGCCATCAAAGCAGTCTAGTTGTATACTGCAGATTCTTCTACACATTCGCTCATCTCGGTCTTACTCTGAAGAACCATTAGCTCGGTTAGAGGCACTGCGTTGGGAGCCGCATGAACCAAGCCTAGCCCTACGCTCATGTGGCGCAATATGAAACAAACACATGGCCCACCACATCCGATCCTTTGCTCCATCGTCACTTCTTCTAAGGTCTGGTATAGATGACCTTGGCATGGAGGACGTCTCGTTGCCAATGCCGACCCCTCGCTTACCTCTATTTTCTAACACGCTAACGTAGCTTTTGGTGAGAGTGCCGTCTTTGCACAACCTCGACCACAACCACTCATCGCACTTGCTGACATACAAAGTCGACGCTATACTCGATCCTCGATCTCTTCGAGTCGGCCACAACCGGTCCAATCTCATTGGTCTCGTCTACAGCTCTCTCTCACGTAATTCTGTCACCACTCCATCACTGACTGGGCTGATCAAACCATGATACATTCGCTCATACCTCCTGCCCCACTATCTTTTGTCGCGAAACATGCTATACCCCTGCCAAACGGCTATGCACCGACCGATTTGACGCTGGCTTCTACAAGCAAAACCTCTTTCTAGACTTTCCCATGGGTGGATACATAAGATGTAAAATGTTGCCGCAGCCCAGAATCTCGCTCGTAGGTCAACCTCCCACCTTTCCTTCTTCATTCCTTCCAGCCTTGACGGCTCAGGCCCTCGTTTGAACAGTTCCCCGGTGGAATCTGCTTTCCTTTCCAAAATCGTCCCAAGGCCTTGACGGTCCATTTCCCCCGCTCTTTTACCACTCTTGAAACAGTCCTCGCGACTCACTCTATCTTCTTACAACATGGCTCGTTTCGCCGCTTTTCTTCCCTTTGCCTATGCATTGGGCGCCGTTGCTCAGAGCGTGGCATACAATGACCCCGTCACTGGCATCGATTTTATGAGTTTCCAGGACTCCGAGTCAGGTGCACGATTCGGTGTCGCTACCCCCAAGACCCTCGGCAAAGACTTTATCGGTCAGATTGTTGCCCCCACTATTCAAGGATGGGCCGGTCTTGACATGTCCGCCCAGATGGCGAACCACATTCTGGTCGTTGCATGGCCCAACGGCGACGAGGTCATGGCTTCCGTTCGCGAAGCATCTGGCTACACCACGCCCCCTGTCTATACTGGAAACGCTACCACCATTCCCATCGCCAACGGCACTTTTGTCAACAGCACCCACTTCTCCTACACGTTCGTATGCAGTGGATGTATCACTGGTGATGCCGATAGTTTCCCTAGCACCGTCAAGGGCAATGCTTTTGGATGGGCTTACTCTTCAGATGCACCTGCCAAGCCTTCAGTAGCCGACACTGACTTGAACTTGCATTCTGGATTTGGCGCATTTGCCGTCATCTTCGCCAACTCTGGATCTGCAGACTACGACACCTGGGCTGCATGGGCTGAAGCAGTTGTTCCTGTCCCTACAACTCCCAGCAACGGCACTGTTGGCTCAAACTCGACCACAGGACAGGACAGACCTTCTCCCGCTCCCATTGCCACCACATTGAACACCACATATGACTACATCATTGCTGGTGCTGGTCCCGCTGGTATCATCGTTGCCGAGCGACTTGCCGAGTCTGGTGCCGAGGTTCTCTTGATCGAACGTGGTGACGCTTCCACCTATGCATCGGGTGGCCGTGCCGTCGAGTCTTGGAACGAGACTGTAACTCAATACGATGTCCCTGCTATGGCCTATTACCTCTCCACCGCAGGAGTTACTAACGAGTACTGCACCGACACTGCCGATCAAGCTGGATGTCTGCTTGGGGGCAGCAGCATGGTTAACGCTCTCATGTTTGTCCGCCCTCAGGAACGCGACTTTGACGATAAATGGCCAGCCGGTTGGAAATGGTCTGATGTCTCGGCCTCCGCCGAGAGCTTCTACGAGAGAAACCCTGGTACTATTTCTCCTTCTAAGGATGGCCAACGCTATGATCAAGGTGCTTATGATGTTCTGTCTACCTTTCTTTCTGCCAACGGATGGTCCTCTGTCAATGCACTCGAGGAACCCAATAAGAAGACCGATGTGTTCTCGCACCCGCCCTGGAATATTCAAGACGGCCTTCGTGCTGGTCCTGTGTTGTCGTACCTCCCTCTTGCCAAGGCAAAGAAGAACTTCCACATTCAGTTGAACAGCACTGTCCTTCGCGCTGTCCGTGAATCCTCCTTTGTCAGTGGTGTCGAAGTTGAGCTGTCTGATGGTAGCCGTAATATCATCAACGTCAAAATGGGTGGTAAGGTTGTTCTTGCAGGTGGTGCACTGAGCACTCCTCGTATTCTGATCAACTCTGGTATTGGCCCCGCCGATCAGATCAAGATTGTCCAGAGTGGCAGTACTGCCGTCACCCTCCCTGAGGAATCCGAGTGGATCAATCTCCCTGTTGGCAAGGGCCTTAAGGATCATCCTATCGTCACTCTGAAGTTCAAGACCAAGTCTCCATTGTCTTCTCTGGCCACTACTGCTTTCACCGATCCTACCCAAATGAACATCGACTCGTTTGCTCAAGGCAGCGGCTTGCTTGTTCAAGGTGGCCAACGCCTGAACTTCTGGTCATCAGTCAAAGGAAGCGATGGTATCGAGCGTTTCGTCCAAGGAACCTGCAACTCGCCCTCAGACGACACCATCAAGATGAAGATCTACCTTACTCACGGTCTTACCTCCGTCGGCGAAATCGGTGTAACCAGCGATGGAAAGACGAAATATATCACTCAGCCCTGGTTCACCACCGCAGAAGATAAGGACGCCATTGCCTCTTTCATCGACCGCTTGATCTCTTTCTCCACCTCTGCCAACTCGACCTTGACACTGGATGCTGGACTCACTGCTTCCTCCAATATTACAGGTGCTGATCTGATCAAGACTTTTACTACCGGCAGTCATTTCGTGGGTACTGCCAAGATGGGAACAGACGATGGCAGAACGGGAGGCTCGGCGGTTGTTGATACTGACACCAAGGTCTATGGCACCGACAACTTGTTTGTGGTCGACGCTTCCTTCCATCCTGATCTCCCCACTGGCAACACCCAGGCCATCGTTATGGTTGCTGCCGAGGCTGCCGCCAAAAAGGTCGCTGCCGTCAAGGTCAGCGGTGCTGCTCCGGTGGCTTCTTCCTCCACTGCTGCTAGCTCATCTACCACCGTGGCTTCTTCGACCGCCTCTTCATCTGCCGTTTCGTCTTCCGCAGCTTCGGTCACAGACACCGCATCCGCAACCATCACTTCCGCTCCTGCTTCGTCAACTTCTGAAACCGCGACCTTCACGGGCACCACAGCGATTACCTCTGTCGCTGTGCCCAGCCCCGCTTACACTCAAGTTCCCAAGTATGGTCGTTGTGGCGGTATTGGGTATGAGGGGCCTACAAAATGCGCTGCTGGGTCCACATGCAAGTACCAGAATGATTGGTATTATCAGTGTGTTTAGTACATGGGTCGGTGTAGTTGTTGAGAGAGTCGAGAGGAGGTTAGAGAGAGGATGTGTATATAGTTTTCTTTTTTTTTCATTTGATGTGGTGAGGTGTGTTGGAGACGCCAGTTTAACTTTTTTATTCCAAGATATATAGCTTTTTTCGCCTTGAACGATCACTTTTTCTTCTCGATCATTGCATCTACCAGAGATGTTTATGGGCTGCTGTTACTAAATTGTCTTGTCTGTGGTGACACCTAGCTTACATAGCCGACGACAAGGAATGTTTGACTCGATCTGGCGTTCATACCCTACCGACCACTTTTGCTTCCCGCAATTGCCGATTCATTCTCTGATCCGGCAACTTCACGGGGACGTGGACTAGTCGAATCCGCTGCGCAGTTGTTGCACTTTGTATCCACAAACAAAACTTTCATAGCATCATCGATACATTTTCCTGCGGGGTCTTCCAAGCAGTTGACGTTCTTGTTGATGTCTTGTTGGTATACTGGTGTGTGTAGAGGGCATTTGGTTGCTGTCTGATGATTGCTGTCTGATGGTTGCTGTCTGAGGAAGAGCATTTCGGTACGCAGTTGGGTGTCGACGGAGCTGTTCGGCAAAAAGAAAATGCGTGTTGATATGCTTTGATCGAACTCTGGTGTGTCAGTGACACAATTGCGTGTGTCAGTGGTGGGCTGATACTTATGGGAACATTGTATGCAAACGTCCTCTGACGCAGAAGACAACAAGTGGAAGACCATGCAACCTATCCATTGTCGTTTGGTAGATCTCAGAGGCATCAGACATATCCCATATCAAGATTTGAGCAACAGAGACCAAGTCATGGAAAACGAATTGTGGCTACATTGACCTCTCAGTATAGCGAGCCGAGCGACGTCAAGAGCGGCGTTTTTGTTTTTCGATTGGAAACAGAAAAGACAGACTGGACTTCGATCGAACCCAAGAGTACAAAGCAACAAAGAAAAACACCTCTTTTCCTGCTCAGTGTGTTGTGCAGGCTGTTTGTGGACAAAGCAAAAAGCAAAAAGCAAGAGCAACAAAGAACTTTATGACCAACTCTCTCCCATGCTCCATACCAATTTCAAAACGCTCCACGATGTTTTGCCACCTCTTGTCGCTTCTGCTGCATCACTAACGAGCAAACAGAGCCTTCCTATCCAACTTCGTTCCCTGTCATCGAAGCTCAGACTTCATCTCTCCTATGCACACGAATTAGCATGCGCCCATGCCGCAAGAGGAAACCAGCAAAACTCACAAACCACTCAACTCAGCAACTTCCTTCTCCATCTCATAGAGTCCAGTCCTGAGTACATCGACAAACTGTCTGAGCGCAGCTGTGCCCGCATCAACTTCGACGCCAGGAGTGTAGGTCTGGGTGTCGAAAGTATCGTAGTCGTGGATCAAGACGCGTTGGCGCTTGAGTAGGTTGTGGGATACAGTGAGGATCTTGTCGATGGTCTGTTTGGGATTGATGGCGTTGGTCGTGGCGGCATTGGCTGTAGTGGCATTGGTTGTAGTGGACTTAAGTACAACCTCGCGGGCAAGAGCGATGGCTTCGTCAACTGATTTGGTGAAGGAGGTTGGATCGTTGATGTTACGAGACAAGGCGGCAAGGAGACTGGTAGTGTGTTCAGGTATTCCTGGCACGAGACGAGGGTCGGGGTGTGGGTGGGCACCAGGTGGTGGGTAAGGGAACACAAGACGTGACAGAGGTCCAGCGGGGATGGCTGACGCGGGGATCTTTACATGGTCAGTCGAGTAAGGGACATGCTTCTGCAAAGCATGAGCGATGGCAGTGCCTTTCTTGCTCTTAGCTGCTGCAGTGGTCTTGGGCGCCTTGGAAGCAGTCTTGAAGATCCCGGAGGTAGGGCCGGTCTTCTGGCCACCGCGGCGCGAAGGAGGCGTGATGGGTATCTTGGGGTAGTCCTCGCGCACGAATGGCTTGGGAACGGTTGGACGCTCAAGGCTCTGCTCGGCGCCAGCGACCGCATACTCCTCAATAACTTCGGGGATGGTAGGAGAGGCCACAGGAGTGAGAGGAGACCAAGGAGGACTCTCCTCTTCGTAGCTGTCGTCAATCATGATGATCTCTGTGGGAGTGTTGAGCATTGCGGGATCTTGGGGAAGCAGGTGAGCGAGTGCGTCTGCAACAGTCTCGCGGCCGCCTTCGTTGATGGTAAAGGAAGAACGCGAGTCAGTGTGTGGAAAACTTCTACCAGAGCGCACTGGACGCGCGAGGTTGATGGCGTTGGGGGTGCCGTCAACCGCACCGTAGCGAAACTTCGACGCTGATGACATGCTGATGGTAGTAGAATGTCAGGTTTAGAGGTGAGAAGAGGAGAAAAGAAATAGATCCAAGAAACTTACCTTTGTTGTGATAGGACTGGTGGTGAAAGTCCACAGTGAGAGACTATCAACTGTACGGGACTGAGATGACAATGTAAACAAACGGGGAGACGATGGCGACCGGATCGGGTTTCGTCGTTAGCTGTCGAGACGACGGATTTCGCTCCCGAAAGTAGACACACGAGTGTGAATCTGTTATAAAAATGCACAATCAACTATAAGTAAGGTGTTCTGTCCATGGAGACAACACAGTATCTGAGCTCTCAGTGGGAAAGACCATGTCTTTAGAGAAGTTTCTGCATTTCCATAGGTATCACAGATGCAAACAGATCATACGAAAGTACAGTTGTGTTCACAGACTTACCACATCTCTCCAATAACACAAACATCTATGAGTATGCTATCGAAGCACACGAAAAGATATGCTTGTATCAGTTTGCTCATTGAGACGTCCCTCGGAATCAAGAGTTTGCAAGCTTTCACTGGACAACATAGCATACATGGAAATCATCATGAGTTTTTATCGGTGCTTTAGAAGCATATGGGCAACAGCAGAACCCACTTGAACGAGAGGTTTGCACAAACATGGAGAAGAAGGTGATTTTCATTGCATATCTTGGGGAATGAGAAAGCTCTGGGTCTTCTATCGGAATACACAGATGAAGGTGATCTGAAGTGTTCATGCGTCGAGACACTACTTTTATCGACGACGATTGTCTCGAAGTCTGCCTGGATGTGACCTCGGGCTCGTGAGAAAGAAGAGGGGCACGGTCTAGTGCTCGTTCTCATCGGATGAAGTAACGGCGTTGGTACTGTTCTCCCTATCGATAGGGATCAGCATTGCGACTTGGAAGAGCCGCATCAGACTACTTACTCGATGGCCTCCTGAGAGGCAGGGTCAGCCTGCTCGCCATTGCTACCGAGGCTATCAATCGCACAAGTCAGCATCGAGGGTCTCAATGAGGCTCATCAGGATAACTTACCGAGACTTGTGAAGTGACCAGAGGCCCTTCTTGACCTCATCCGGGGCTGCGTTCATGGCAGCGAGGTGAGCCTCGGCCTCCTTGGCCTCCTTTTCCTTCTTCTTTCCGGCGGCCCACTTCTCGATGTCGCCAATATCCTGGGCGGGGACATCCTTCAGAGCTTGCTTGAGGTATCTCATCTCCTCCTCATCCTTGATAGCGTACTGCCAATCTTCAAGATCCATTTCCTGGGGGAAATCGTCCTCAATAGTGGGGCGAGGGGCGCCGGTGGAAGAGATGGCCCAACCAGGACGTGCACCCTCCATGGCGGAACGAGACTGAGGGTCATCTTGAGAGCCGGCAGGGGTGGGAATAGGAGAGGTGCTGCTGTTTGAGTGGACGGAGGTTGTGTCATCAGGGGCAGGGGAGGTGCGAGAAGAGGCACGGTTGGCGTCCACAGCGGCGGCCTTACGGGCGGCTGAGCGAGTTATGGGGGCCATGCTAAATCCTGTACAGAGTCAGTATACATATCTATAGTAGGTGTGAGAGTTATAGAGTGCGTCAAAGAGAAGCAGGCATATCATGGTTAGTAGTAGGGGTCGCGTACCTTCTTGTGGTGTTGTGTGAGAAGAGGAAAGCGGTCTGGTCAAGAGTTCGGACGCTCTACGAGAGAAAGGTGAGAAATAGAAGCTGCGAGTGTGGGATGGACCTCGTCGTCGATGCCGTCGTCGCCGAGCGACAAGCTTAGACCATCCGCCGGCGACCGCGAGGTTCTGTCACTTTCTCCTGCACGGCATCAGATTCGTACCGTTCGTGGATTTATTCGGGTTGGTGTTTTGTTGGTTAGTCATGAAGGAATGGTATACTATCTAAAATCTCTACCCCCTAGATGGACTTTGACCACGCCCAATGTTTGGAAACACCGGTCTTACTTCCCCTTACCTAGGGGTACCTCTGATACTTTCCAGCTCACTCAAACACCCGCACGTATGGTTGAGAGCGAATGTATAATCTTTTTGACGTGTGTAATCTCTTTTACGACGCATAGGTCGGCGACGTTAGGTGTCGAGGCAGTGAAGCTTTCTGTTCGACTATGCGGCACGCACCAGACAATGTCCAGGTTGTTCTCGAGGCGAGAAGCATGAGCTGTTCGCTCCTCACATTTTGGATTGTTAGATCCTTTGTAATGAGCAGGTAAGGTTAATATAGTCAGGTAGTGAGGCAATCCTTGCTTGATTCTCTGAATTTGGTATCCCTTGCGTCAACATTTCACATCATGCCCGATTTAATCTTTCTGGAATGAGAAGTGTACAACACGATTGCATATTCTTTGTTTTGGGTGATTGATCGGTAATTCTTCGCTCATGGCATCTTTGGAGTTCGCCTGAACGACGTATCTGTTCGTCCTTGTACAGACAGCACATTCTTCGGTGGCAGAGCCCTCCAAGAATCTGCTTTATCTTTGTCCAAGCCTCGTCTCTCTCTCTCTCTCTATAAGTCTGAGCCGCTTCCTCCTGTTGTATCTAAACATTTCGACTCTCGTAGAAACTTATGAACGGGTACTTAAAACTCGAGTCGTTTTATTCGAGTTCTTCCAGCTTTCTCTTCCTATTGAACAGTGTCAGCAACTTGTTACCTCCTTCACAAGACTAACGTTAAAGCTTACATCCAATCCAGGCGTGCCATACAATGATAGTTGTGATGCATTTTGACCATGTCCCACGAGTCGGGGTCGAGGTCCTCGAGGCGGTAGTGACCTTCGTCCTCTGCCGTCACAGGGGCCTCCCAAACAGATATGCGAGTCTCATCATCGTTGTAAACATCGTAGAAATGTCTCATGTCTTCGATCAGAGGCAGCAACATTTCTTTGCTGGGTTCGGTGCATGTCGAGCAAGTTTCGATGATCTCGTGCTGAGCCCATTTATAGCGGTTGAAGTAGCCACGCACGGCCGTTTCGTGGCAGGCCATGTACAGGATCTCGAAGACGTAGTTTCTGAGTAGAATGGCGCGATCGTGAGCTTCGACAGTGTTGGCGATGTCTTGCTCGGTGGATTGAGATTGGTGTTCGTTGGTTGTTTCGGGAGGAACTGGGATGCTGTAGGCAGAGGTCACAACCGCACCGGCGTCCTGGAGGCGTACATGCAGGGGCACAGGGCTTTCTGTCTTCAGACGCTGCTCCTCGCGCTCCTGTGCTTCGATGTCGCTGAAGAGCTGGTCGAGTGGTGTTGAAGCAGGCAGGCGAGGAGAATCGAGTTCAGGAGAGGGAGATGGGCGCCCTCTGTCTTCGGCATGCTGATGCTGTTGCTCATGCACGTGCTCGCTGCCGTTTCCTTCTTCGTGCTCTTGATCTCCTCCGCCATCTTGTCCTTCGTCGCCATCATCTTCGGTCTCCCAGGAAGCGCTGTCGCCATCATCTGATGCGCCATCGCCCTGAGTGCGAGTCCAGTACTCTGCCCAATTTCTGTCGTGCCATTTCTGCCAAGTCATATCCATCTTTGATTGTGAGGTGATTCAGGGATATGTCGAAAGGGGAAGTTGCTTGTCTTGGGGTTGTGTCAGAGAAAGTTCAGCTTTAATGGAAGGCGCGCGAGCGAGACGCGACTGGACGGAATCTTCAGGAGCAAATCAATGAACGCGGTGGTGAATTGCAAATTCGTGATCGCGTATCGATGTTTTGGCAGCCGTACCACTTCGATACCCATGAGCTACCTCGCATCCTTTGGTCCCGCCTGGAGCTCTCGTGTTGTATGTCTTCTCGAAATCTATAGGAACATCTGTCAGAATCTATGGTGCGTTGCAGTACTTTCAGATTACGAGGGCCCATGTGTAATTCTCTATGCTCTATGCACTATAAACGATGATCGACCCTAGCCATCTTCTTCAAGATGCCTGAGGTGTGTAGCTCCAACAGCAGGCATTCTTTCATCTAATCCAACATCTTACACTCATCAAGCCTGCAAACCTGGCGCAGCGAAGAGTATTGCCGTCAATGAGTCCAGCCCAAAGTCCGATGTTGGAGTGACAGCAATATCACCTATCGCCCACCCATTGGCCTCAGCATCACCTGGACTTTGTTTGTCTTTTACAGGTTTCGCAAACTCTGACAAAAACTTTAGCATCCATGCATCGAGTCTGAACGACGTCTCCATCGAAGTCACACAAGCTTTGTGGAAAACTTGCAATCGCGTCATACAGAAGTCGAGCGACGGCCAAACATCTCGCAGGCGAAGCAGTATGGTGTAATTGCGCTCGAGACGGCTACGAGCGGCATCAATCTCTGAGGTGTCGGTCGAAAACAGCAGAGTGTGAATCTGTACTGTGGAAGCGATGACAAGGACGTGGCCGACCATGTTGTATAGGACGTCGCAACCCGGTGTGTCCAAGGCGGCGTACACCATATCACACAGCTTTCGAGCGTGATCTTTGCACCTTTGAGAGAACGCGTTGACAGTCGGATCATCGCTGGCATCAAGATGGAGGAATTGGTACATGAGGAGTTGACCGTAGTGATAGTACCCAAGATACACGGCAACAAATATGCGGCCGAGACCTTGTGCAGCGTAGTGTGCAAGATTTGACCTATTGTCTCGCATGTAGTCTGGCAGGGACGCCTCCCAGATGTCGAGCTTGTTCGTCAAATCATGGATAGCGGTAATGTTTGGAGGTGTATCCTGGCTCTGAGCGACCTGACCGTTCAACTTGTTGACCTGGCGAAATATGCCGTTGAGCACAATCATCTGCCCGAGTAGAGACGTGGGTTGAAAGGGGTGGTGGACTGGGTTCAGGGCGTAGAGAGGGTCTTGACGCCGCAGTCCCATGAAAGCCATCTCTTCCATTGGTAAGGGCACATGATCTGGTGGGTTCGCAATCTGTCGAGGTACACCAACACCCGAGGAGGACCATTCGTCGATCATGACAAGGGTGTGCCAAACTGCTCAAGCGGGTCAGCGAACAGTTTCATGATACGGGAGATGGAAGCTCAAGCAGAAACAATGTCGATGCTTTTTGCTGCCCAGCATATATATCCTGACGGAGGCATACACACCACGAACATTGATCTCTCTTTCTAGCCGACTGTCACAACTACAATGTGCCAGGTCGAGCAACTGTGCCATTCTGCAGGCCATGCCATAGTAAACTGCCTCTCCAGCAGAGTCTCCCTCGACGATACGACAAGCTCCGAGTAGGACGCATGCTTGTATGCAGGTCAAACTGACATCACTTGGATCGAGTAGTTGAGAAGCTCTTCTTGCATACTGTACACCACGGGTACGTGGACTTGAGCCTTGAAAATATTCATGAGACGAGAAACGTGCCGAGAGTGCGATGATGGCGAGTAGGATGACTGTCGGCACTCTGTCACTGGCCAAATCGGCCATGAAAGCAGGTTTCTGGAACAGAGTATGAAATTGATCATGAATGTAGTCAAAGTAAAGATTGACGAGGTGATTGCAGACCGCCGAGGGTGGGAGAACACCTAGATGGCTAGCTCCATACTGGTCGAACGGAATCTCATAAACAGAGAGTTGGTTCGAATTTGATGTCGAAGTGGCCAGCAAGTCGGCAGAAGAAGAAGACCGCTGGGATTGAGCAGGCAGCGCAGACGTGGGCAAGCGTTCTTCGCCCTGCTCAAGCAAGGGGCCAGCGATTTGCTGCAACCTGGACTCGGATGATGATGAGCTCGGGATGGGCTGAGGATATGGAAGCGGCCTTGGATGGACAGGAGCAGTCGTGGTACATGGCACGTTGTGTTTGCGACACAATGAGCACGTCTGCCGGCCTTGATTCTCGTCCCGATCGCATTTCCGCCGCCGTGACCTAGCCAAGTCGTGTTAGGTTACAGATTCATACGTTTCTACGCTGCAGTCACGCTCACATACCGACAAAAGTGACAAGCAGTCGGGGCACGCATTGATACACGACCGCCGATTCGTGATTTCCGCCTGTATCAGCGGAGCACGGCGGAAAATGGAGAAAAGATCGTGGGTTGGATTCAGGAGCGAGACTGCAATTGCCGTCGAAATAGACTTCGCTTTACCCCACTCGCGACTCCTTTCCCCGCCGCCGACGCCCGAGTCGTTCCTCGGAAGGGTCAAACCTTCCAGGCACACTTCACTCATGTTTCCTAAACAGCTGAACTGCCTGTGACAGGCTACCGCGACTGACATGGTATCTGGCATCTTCAGCGAACTGCAAGTTGTTTGCTATCTACCGCAAGCTCAAGAACACACCCCATCCCAGCCCAGCCAACGATCCAACGAGCGAACGGTATCGCAGAGGGATCAGCAAGAGGTTTAAGAGACAAACAAAAGGCCACAGGCGATAGCCAGCCAATATCAAAGACCAGAAGTTCTGTTGNNTTCGTCTCGTCAGCAGGAACACCCTTCTTGTGAGTCGTATCGGTGTGCCTACCCTCTGAATATCCTCCAGGATGAGATGCCAGCTCTGCCCTTTTATAAGGCCCATGACGCAAAAGTAGAGCATTGTGTTTACCATGGAACCGAGCGACTGGTCCAGTAAGAACTTCACGACAACGTGTCCAACACTGAGTTGTTGACGACAGGACTTTTCTTTGTCGTCCTTCTCTTGTTTTTGTTTCATAGTCGGCCATTGCTCCTCCATCCAGCTTTGCCAAAGAAAATTTGGCGCCGTGGTGATTGCACTGAAGAGCATGAACTGCACCACAGAGATGTGATCCAAGTCGGGCGTTGTCTGTTGTGGGATCGTCAACTCGGTTTGAGCATCCTCTCCAGCCATAAACTGAGAATACCTTCTTCTGCTGAACTGCCGTGAGGACCTGACCAAGCAACCCGGATATCGCACTCATACCCACTCCTTCGAGAGTCACATAAACGAGCGGCGAAAGAAGTCCTTTTTGCTGTAGCTCCATGGTCCTCTGTTGAAGGTGGATAATAAGAGGAGACGGATACAAGAACTGATCTGCTTCTTGAGAATTTCGATGAATCAAGTTCTGGTCGGATTTCTGGACAAAGAGCGTACAATTAGTTCGAGTGGAAACAGGCCCTCGCGGTCATGAAGGCGGTACAAGCGTCGGCTAGTTTATTGTTCTATTCTACTTGGATTAGAGCAATGTTCGTCTCGGCTTCTCGACTGCTTCGCGCAGGAGAATGGAAGGACCATGGGAAAATTGCGTACGCTCCTAGTAAATTCTCCACCTCAATCCCGCATCAAGTCGTGCGACACTGCAAACAAGCCTGATGCATTTCCGCCGACTCTATCACAGCTTGCTCGACCTCACAACCCAATCACTCCTCTCGGCCCGATGACTCTCATTCTGTCTGTCGCGTTTTCATCAATTCCGTCGTCTGCCTGTGCCGTCAACCCTGATGAGCCCGCCAAATCCGCCAATACCACCGATCCCGTCGATCCCGTCAATACCGTCAGTACCGCCAATGCCGCCGATTCGGCCCAGGTTCGCAGACTCTCTCAGCTCCACCAATTCCGCACAATCCCGCCGGTCTACTGCAATAGCCAATCATCGGCATCGATAGATGGGGGATGTATAACCTTCCTTATGATCGTGTTGAACTTTTGTGGCTTAAATCATTCCCTCCTTACAACTTTCCTCTGCATTTCCCGACTCCAACAAGCTGTATCACAATATCAAACTTAACATCACCGTCAACATGAGCCGCAACTTGGTCACCCTCGTGGTGGCTTTCACCGCAGGTGCTATTGCAGTTGAGAATGGTCTTGCTAGAACTCCGCAAATGGGTTGGGTATGACTTGACATGTTCCTTGATTGTAACAACTTCTAGACAGCTTGACTTACACGCATGTCCAGNAACAACTGGAACACTTTTGCATGCGACGTTTCCGAAGACTTGCTTCTTGGAACATCTAGAATCATAATCGACACCGGAATTCGCGACTTAGGCTACAACTACGTGGTACTGGACGACTGCTGGAGCGAGAAGCGTGGTAAAGATGGATACCTTGTTGTCGACAAGTCAAAGTTCCCCAACGGGATGAAGACTGTTGCCGACGGTCTGCACAAGGAAGGCTTGCTCTTCGGCATGTACTCATCAGCAGGAGAGTACACCTGCGCAAGATATCGTGAGCACATCTGGCATCGCGCCTGGGAGTTCCAAGCTGATATCTTCCACNNAGCCGGATCGCTCGACTTTGAGGAACAAGACGCCGAAAGTTTTGCTTCATGGGGCGTGGACTACCTCAAGTATGGTGAGTAGCCGTCAAGAATATATCACGACGCGACTAGAGGCAGGTGCTGATGGTTTGACNNAGACAACTGCTACCACATGGGCCGTATGGGTACACCCCTGATCTCCTTCAACCGCTACAATGAGATGGCCAAGGCTTTGAAGAAGACCGGCAGATCGATCTTGTACAGTTTGTGCAGCTGGGGAGAAGACTTTGTTCACACTGTAAGTCAAGCTGAAGATGTGGGGAGGATAGCAACACAAGCTAACATGCTCCTGATANNGTGGGGTGGTTCTATCGCGAATTCCTGGCGCGTGTCTGGCGACATTTACGACTCATTCGCTCGTCCCGATGAGCTGTGTGGATGTGGCGCTTCTACAGATCCTCATTGCATTGCGCCGGGCACCCACTGTTCGGTACTTGCAATTCTGAACAAAGTCGCACCATACATTGATCGCGGTATGCCTGGCGCTTGGAATGACTTGGACATGCTCGAGGTCGGGCTTGGTGGCATGACAGATGAGGAGGTAAGTCTTACTGCCGCCATTTTCCTTCAAGAACAACCACACTGACACACAGAACAGTACAAAGCTCACTTCTCCATGTGGGCTGCTTTGAGATCACCCATGCTCCTCGGAAACGATCTTCGTGTTATGTCACCCAGGACACTGTCCATCATCAACAACCCTGCCATCATAGCAATCTCGCAAGATCCCCGTGGTCGTCCAATTCATCGGGTTTCTCGCAATACAACCGTCGCTAAAGACCAATTCGGAATTGGCGAAACTCATGTNCTGAGTGGACCCCTCGCCAATGGCGATCAGGTCGTTATCCTGCTCAATGCTGCCCATGAAGCTGTAGACATGGAGGTTTCACTAGAAGAGATCTTTGTTTCTGAGGGTGTTGGTGGCACGGCACCTCAATTGGCTCAAGAATGGCACATTCACGATCTCTGGGCCAATCGTATGGACGACAGCGATGCTAAAGCTATTCTGGATGTCTCGAACGCTAAAGAGCGTGCAGCCATCTTTGACAAGCTCGAATGGTACAACTCTACCGCAACACCCTACGCCAAAGGTCTGGAAACCAACGACGTTCGCCTCTTTGGTACCAAGATTGGCTCTGTCTCTCCCCATGGCAAAATTGCTACGCGTGTGGAAAGACATGCCGCAAAGGTCTTCCGGCTGAGAAGCTCAGCTGGGAAGCAAGGACGCAAGTCATTGCTGAAGCAGGAGCTGTGAAAGGGGTCGGAAGGATCAAAAGTGTCATGGTAGAAAAGTCATGTTTAGCATTGGATCTATATCGTTTCCCAATCAAGACAGCAAATGTTCATTCATCCAATCATTCATCATCTCCAGCGCACATCAGTGATATCAGAACATGGATGTCCACTCGGACGGTTCAATGTTCAGTGGTTAGACTGGTCTCCAAGAAGGTTTACCTGTAGCATAGACATATAATTCCCCGCAGCGGTCCCGCTTGCTGTGTGTACAACCCTGTTGGTGAGCGGCCAAAGCAACATCGCACCTACACGACTCTCAAATCAATTATCTCACCCAATGTTGACAAAGTGATACGCGAAGTAGTATTCTCGATGGTAAAGCAAGCGCATGTTTCTTGCATAAGCATTGTGGGAGGCATATAAGTGTTACACCTACTGGAAGCGTAAGAACAACATAATTCTGGTGACACTCTGGCCACTACCATGGCGACACAGCCTGACAAGTTGGTGGAACTCTCCATGTGGGCTCATATGTGAATGGAACCCTTTTCCTGCGAATACCCGACCGCTGGCAAAGTTGACCCCAAGATTCATACTCATTATCCTGATATCCATTGTCCTCCATCAAAGGTCATTAACCCGTGACAATCCAGTCTCACTACCGACGCTCAGGATCACTCGACGGGCCGAGTTGCAAACTGCGCGAACAACGGTCACGCGAGCAATATGCCGTATGCCGGCATCGGCGATGGCATACAAGACGGCCAGCGGACAACCACTGTATCCCCGCAATCCCGCCCCGTATCCCGCAATGAAGACGCGACTGGGAAGCTTCGCATTGGCACGCATCAGTCGGTTTCCCTATAGCGATTCCCCATAGTATGACTGCTTTAGGTTGAACGGGCCGTTGCATTCAGCTTGTTCGCGGGGGTAAAACCAATTCCGCCGGCGGATTAGGATTGCACGCGACTCAACACCATATCCCCGCACCAACTCCACGATCTCTACCCCGCAGAGAATCTGAATCGACTTTCGACGAAATCCTCAATCGGACCGAGACTGTTTGTCGAGTCGTAGGCGCTCTCGAACACTCTGCGACCCCGGATCTGCTCCGCCAATGAGTTCGCGCTAGTCAATCCCGCCGTTCGCGACTTTGACGAACCAAGAAGTCTGCGGGCAACGTTACGATACTTGCCACTTGAGCTACATCTTCGCTTGTTCACAACCAAGTCGCGAGCGGGTATATCTAACTCGTGGTCCTCGCTGATCATCCATACCATCTCATCACAGCGACAATTTCATCTCCATCAGCAACATCCTCTCTTACAACTGTAGCGTCTTCACAGACTCTTCTTTCATCCGCTCCACGATGGCCGAAAAGATCGATCAAACCGTGACTAGGGAGGTCCTCCCAACAATGAGCGAACTCGACCACGAGAAGACCGGCTACCTTGCCGAAGCCGTCCACGAGTCGACCGCCATCGAGCATGAACTCGGTACCTGGGAGGCCATCAAGGTCTACAGACCTGCTGTGCTCTGGTCGCTCGGCTACTCTTGCTGCGTCATCATGGAGGGCTACGACACCAACCTCCTCTCCAACTTCTTCGCCTATCCTTCTTTCCTGATCAAATATGGTAACTGGGTTGGCATCACCCCTCAACTCCTGTCGGGTACCAACGTAAGTCATCAAAACCTCTGTTCTCGAGACTGCTTCTGACAATTGATTATAGTCACTGCGGCTTGGCAAGCCGGTGTTTCCCAAGGTGGTGGTGCTGGATCAATCATCGGATGTCTCCTCAGTGGTCTTCTGGTCTCCCGATATGGGTCCCGCAAAGTCACAATGGGCGCGCTCATGGCTCTGATGTGCTTCATCTTCATTGTCTTCTTCGCACCCAGCTTGCCCGTTCTTGCCGCTGGTGAAGTCCTTTGTGGTATCCCATGGGGTGTTCTGGCCACAACCTCTCCAGCCTACGCTTCCGAAGTACTTCCCCCTTCTCTTCGCACCTACCTTACCTCATGGACAAACATGTGTTTCATTCTTGGTCAACTCGTCTCGGCCGGCGTTCTCAAGGGACTTTCGACACGCGTTGACGAGTGGGGCTACCGCATTCCCTTCGCCATCCAGTGGATTTGGCCTTGCTTCTTGATTCCTCTTGTCTACTTCTCTCCCGAATCCCCCTGGTACCTCGTCCGTGTTGGCAAGCACGCTGAAGCCGAAGCATCTCTCCGTCGCCTCCAGTCAAGCGCTCACCCATCTGCTGTCAACCCCCAGAACACCCTCGCCACCATCGTCTACACCGACAACCTGGAGAAGGAACTCTCAGTGGGTACAAGCTACTTCGACTGTTTCAGAGGCACCGAACTCCGCCGCACAGAGATCGCCTGTCTGTGTTTCGCCGGCCAGATTCTTTGCGGTATCTGCTTCGCCTACAACTCGAGCTACTTCTTCTCTCAGGTCGGCATGGGCACGTCTGCAACCTATTCTCTTGCTCTCGGCGGTACCGCTCTTGCCTTTGTCGGATGTATTTGCAACTGGCTTATCCTCATGCCTCGCTTTGGTCGCCGCACAATCTACATCTGGGGTATGGGTGGCATGTTTGTCATTCTCATGATCATCGGTATCCTCAACAAGTGGACACACAACCATCAAATCGCTATGACTCAAGCTATCCTTACTCTCGCTTGGACATTCATCTTCCAACTCTCTGCTGGTCAGCTCGGCTGGGCTCTCCCCGCCGAGATGGGATCCACTCGTCTGCGCCAAAAGACCATCTGCCTTGCTCGTGACGCATCCAACCTTACCGGTCTTGTTGGTGGCACACTGCAACAATACATGATGAACCCCGAAGCCTGGAACCTCAAGGGCTACACTGGATTCGTTTGGGCCGGCACTTGCTTCGGCATGTTCGTCTGGTCATACTTCCGTCTTCCTGAGACCTGGAACCGCACATACCACGAGCTCGATATCATGTTCGCCAGAAAGGTTCCTGCCCGCCAGTTCGCTTCTACTGTTGCTGACGCTTTCGAGTCCGATGGTTCGGAGGAGGATCTCGTTTCCAAGGCTGCCAAGAATGCTGCCAGGGATGCCATCAGAACTGGATCTATCACATACCAGCCTTGATTGTTGGACGAAGATGTATATGAGATGGACAGGTGTATGAGGAAGAAGCGCTGGATTCGCTGACTTTTGATCTTGATGAGATTTGCAAAGAGCATATCTTAGATGCAAATTGTTTACATGAGTATATTATGATTCTAGCTGAGGCAATACAAATTTGCGTACAACCAACTCTTCGACTTCGCATTGTCCCAAGTGCCTGTTGCATCTGGTATATGAGCATGCTGACTTCTTACAGCGCAAGCTGCGACCGAAATTCAGTGGAGTCTTAACAGCCTCAATACAGTCTGAGCACAGAACGTGACTACTTCTGCCAGAGACACGTAGATTACAAAAAGCGGCGATGAGTCTCTGTCATCGCAAGTCACTCCATACAAAGGCTTATAGTGGCGCCTCTCGCATTCCAGCGCCTTCTCGAAGAAACAAAGATCGGTTCTCGATGTGGCGTAGTCTATGGCATCACTGACGCCATGTACCCGCATTGAAGATCTTCCTTTTGCTGAAAATTGTATCTCAGCGGCGAACAATTTGGGACGGGCGTGCTTTGTGGCCTTGAGCCTACCTTGAATTTTCCTCTCGAACTATGGTTTACAACATCTCTCATTTGTTGGCGGGAAAATGTAGTCTGGGCCATAGAAGGTGAAACTATACATGTCAAGAATAGATAAATGGTGCGCTATGATCCCGAATCCCCTAGATGCATGTTCCAGCCATCATCGCAATCTCCGAAAACCAAAACTGCCGTCAGCCGAGCTTGATGTTCATTGAGCTCAAGTAGATCTTTCGGACCCTTTGTCGTTGTTTCAGCTGACTAGAGGCCTGGATGCATTGTAAATCGCCGAACTCTGCATCCCGGATGGGTCGAGATGTTAGACAGACTTCTGTGCAGTACTTTGTACTGGCGATCAGCGGAGTTCGAAATCAAATGCTAAAAACCCCAGACGGCGGAAAAACGTTGTGCAGAAGCGAGAGTTCGTGATTGACGGAATAGACCATGGGTTCCAGAAGGAAATTTACGTTTCCTGTTTACTTGTCTAGAAAACTTCGTAAGCCTTGTTTGAGTCACGAGTGCAGCCAATAAAGGACTCCGCAACCCTCAAGAGCCGTAAGGAGGCATAAGATGTCTGAGGTCTGGAAATACGAGGGTGAGAATGACTGTAAGGCTCGATCACATCGGAAAGATGCTTGGTGTCTAGATCGCGACCTTTTCAATGTCGTCAGATTGATTTTATCTCTGCGGGACTTCTATAGATAGGGAAGATGCATCGAACTCCTGAATCACGCGAATGGAAGGGACCAAACAAACCGAATACAATGCAAAAGCCAGTCGGCTTCTGTCGACTTCGTTGGGGCGTTACCCCCCACGCGAGTTGCGGCAGAATTTGATTGAGACGATGATAGATTTGCGTTGGAGATGGGCATATTGCCAGCACGTAGAGCCTCGGAGATATCTCCAATCAAAGAGTAATCAGTGTTTCTTCCGCGACGGGCAGCGCAACGAGAAAGGGAATGTGAATGACTAAAGTTGAGCCGGCCTCCTATAGACTCGGCTGTATTGCACCGCTCGAGGATCATCCACTTCCATCTTGTGATTCAATCCCACTGATCATGTGGAACACCTGTTTCTACGTAGTTTCTAACGATACCCGGGATGGTTGATGTCACAGTCCAGACAGTTGGATCATTCTAGACGAACTTGTGAGCCGTTGTAACAGAAAAAGCGGGTGGAGGAGAAATGCTGACCTCCTTGTTCAACCGAGCAGCGCCTATTCTGTGCTTGACGTGATTGCAGCCCTGTTTTCCTCCAGCCATACTGAGGAAGTTGAGCAGTGTGGTGGTGTTGTAGAATTGGAGCTTGTAGCTGTAGAGAATCTGATATGCTTCAACGGCGAGCTAGACGACAATGATTAGTTTCTGTGAAATGAGAAAAATTGGAAGCGTATTGTGCGAACCTCTTTGTTCAACTGAGCGATGGCAACTCTGTGCTTGGGGTATCTGCAGCCATCCTTCACCGTAGAATCCTTAGCATAGTCCTTGGTCTTGACATTGCGGCTCTCGTTGTCAGTGACCAGCTCGATTTCCTTCTTGGGTTTAGCAGGAGCAAGGTTAATAGCCAGAGTTCTGGTTCAAACAGCCTTGGGGAGCTTCATGAACGGGAATGGTGCGGTGGGCTGGACGATGATAGCCTGGAGACCGTTGTCAAGCAAGTGAGAACCGTCTCTAGAAAGGCTGGGCAGCAGCGAGCTTCACAGTACGGCCACAGTGCGCGTTCGCGAGTTCAGTCACGACGACATGGAGGCTGTGTTAAGCATGAGAAATCAAAAATACCAAAGCCGGGCAGATGCGAACCTGAGCGCTCCCACAGACTTGGGCTGGTCCTAGCCAGTATCGCGTAAGCGGACACCGAACGTGTAGTCGATTTGGTCGCTGCGAGCTGATCATGTCGAAGCGTTTGAGTCTGAAAAGGTTGCTTGTTGTGTGGACTAGCCATCGGCAAAAGCAGGACTTTGGTTGGAACTTGTACGCACTGGCCGCCAACCAAGCTCCACCTGTCAACACTGTGCTCCTCAATGCACGCAATGCCAGTTTTGAGGGTACCATTATCCAAAGGCACACTTTGACAGACCGCAAGGCGCGGTAATTCGCATTGTTGCCGAAGATTTGGTTCCTTTCGGTGTTGACGACCTCAAGCGTCGATCTTTTGCAGGAACGGTCTCTGAACGTCTTGATGCAGTCAGACTCGGCGTCAATCCTCTTCGCCATCGTTCGCGGGAAGACATCTGAGAGAATGTAAAGTTCTCTATCTCTTTCTTGTGTAGCATACATTTCGCATCATGTCGTCGATTCATCCTGCTTTTCAATCTTCTGAAGCTCAACCAGGAGAGAAGTAACCCGACCGACTGCTGTCCAGAAACCAATAGTCTCCAGAAGAACACGTCTGACGATGCCCAAACCTAAGGCTACGCGCTCTGCCGCCGAGCGGAGGAAAGCAATCACCGGTCTCAATGAGCTGGAGATGGTCGACTGTGAGTTTGAGTTAGTGTACCTGCTCGCATGGAGCATTGAGACACAGAGATGAGAGGAGACCTTACAAGCAACCAGTAGGTTCTGTGTAGCAATAACTAATATCGAGTTGAGAGCCAAGACTCTGTCTTGACTGGTCAGAAGATCTCGTATACGTGCGGTTTCAAAGCGATTCGGGAGGAGCAACTAATTTTCACAAGACTGTGCCTTCGGAGTGAGGACTCTCAAAAGCCAAACGTGCCAAGACAAAGGAAAGGAGAGTAAGCGAGAGTGCTATTACTTGATTACGAAGGTGAAACATGAACAGTATGATGTCACAAGTGAGGGCTGTTTTTGTGGACAAACATTCGATTGTGAACTGGAAGAGTGAAATGCCTTCTACCATACTCCATTTGCTCCTGCATGACTCTCAGTGGACACCACGTTTCGCCTCAAAGACTACTGCATTTCTATACATGGCCAGCGCTGGATCGTCTCGAGACGAGAGACTCCAAACGTGATCGTAGCGCATTACAGGAAGAAAGTCTTGCCGATCTCCTGACAGCTATTGTAGTATATCAGCAGAAAGATCAGGTCTTCGACGTGTCAGTATATATCTCTTACAGAACACCAAGAGTGTTCAAAGACTTCTGGCTCTTCAAAAGCTTTGTCAAAGCCTTTACGAGCGTAAGAAGTTCGTTGAGAAAGCAAGCTTGTCTAAGACCTTGCGAGCCAGCCTCCTTTCTCATAAGCTTGTGATATTGAATTCAATCATGATAAGGAATGAGAGACTATATACATTGGTGCCCAAGTTATCGCAGACGAGACGTTTCGCACACCTCGAGTTATGAGTGCATCGCTATCGTGATTCACAGTACTTTCGTGATCTCAAATATGTCCATAGAGAGTGGGTATATCGACAGATCTTCACGGCCGGACACATGTTCTAAGGGTCTGTAATGGGTTACTATATCTTGTAGATTTGCTTTGGGCTACTGAGAGACTACATCGAGATTGACATTTCGAGATGCTTGAGTTGTCCGAGCATGTCTGAGAGATACAGTATAGTAATCCGTTGAAAAGCGGTATGCAGAGAAGAACATCTCGCGGGTAGTCTCTATGGACATACTGCGCATCGGTACACTATCTTGCATTTTGGAAGTATGACATTGCTCTCTGTCTGCCATCTAGTGAGGCCGAGAATTGGCCGCGGAGACGGGCTTCGGGCCGACTCTCCACCTCACGCCCTACTCTTGACAACTTCTTATCAACCTCGAAATAACATTTTCATCTTGTTTACTGTATATCTTTTCTCTGTATGTCATCCTCGATATCGTACACTGATGTAAAACAAAGACCAAGAATGAACAAAGAAAAAAAGATCCTTATTGTTGGGGCAGGCGTCTTCGGCCTCTCAACAGCTTTGGAGCTCAGCCGTCGCGAGTACAACAACATTCTCATCCTCGATCGCCATCGCCCGCCAGTTCCTGATGGCTCTTCAGTCGACATATCCCGTATCGTCAGACCAGATTATGCAAACAAATTTTACGCTCGAATGGGCATGGAAGCCCTAGCCGGGTGGCAAAAAGACTTCTCTCCATTCTTTCATCGCAGCGGTCTGCTTTGCGCCCAATCCGGAACAGAGTTTGGCAATGCTTATCTGAAGGAAGCGAAAGCGAATCTTGAAAGTATCGGTGCTGAGGTCAACCTTTGGGCATATACTGGCACAGAAGCGAGCGAGAGGTATCCTGGTATTCATGGCGACTTGGCCCAGACGAGTGGCTACTGTAACTTGGATGCTGGGTGGGTCGATGCTGCAAAGAGTGTTGAACACCTAGCTAGCCTATGTGAAGATGCTGGAGTTACATTTTTGGTTGGTGAGGATAGCACTGTCACCGGTCTTGTCACAGCCGACAGTTACGATGGGAAAACAATCACCGGAGTACGAACAGCGAATGGAGAAGTTTTGGACGCTGATGCAGTCATCATGGCTACTGGAGCCTGGACACCACATCTCATCGAAGCTGAAAACCGTTTCATCTCGACCGGCCAGCCTGTCGGCTATATGCAGTTGAGTCCTAAAGAAGCAGACGAGATGCGAGGAAGCCCAGTGATGATCAACTTGAGCACTGGCTGGTTCGCTTTTCCCCCAACCTCTGGCGATAACATCTTGAAGATGGCAAGACATGGCTATGGCTTTGAAACAACACATACCTCAGGTTCTGCTCGATACTCAGCACCTAACCTGTCCTCGCAGGCTGACTACCTGCCTGCCGATGCAGAACAAGCTTTGAGAGATGGGCTTGCGCTCTTCCTACCTAGATACAAAGANCCCTTAATAACTAGTCCTAGTGCGTTCAAGTTTCTACCTATCCTGGGCGGCTATGTCGTTGATAGCTTTGAGGGAGTCGCATCAGTAGAGCAGGAAGAGAAGTGGAAGTGGACAGAGAGTGCTACCCCAATCATGCCTGGAGATGGCAGTCGTGGTGGCCCTCCGAGACGAGTGCTCACAGAAGAGGAACAATCTCGGTTGCAATAACGTCTTTCTGTCGATAACCTCTTGCCTCAATGCGAGTGCTGCGTAGGCATGACAAGCACATGAGCAGATCACCACTCTATTTGAGACCTTCCCCTGACTCCATCCCCCTTTCCTAATTCATTCCCCAGTCGAAGGCTTCCATTTCTTCCTTTCTTGTGCTTTTGTGTCATGTAGTCTTCCCGCACAAACCCCCCTTCTCCGAGCGCTGGTATTGCTCATGCCCGAAGAGTTCTGGCGGTGCCTCTCAAACGGTCCAGGTCTTCGAGGTCTTCATTGGTTGCATCCATCTCATCACCCTCGTCCAGCTGACTGCGGTACCATCTCAGAACAAACATCAGGCGGCGAAGGTGTGTGGCGGTTTCTCTTGGGGTTGGGTTGCCCGAGAGCCCGTGGAGGTGATGCCTGAGTAGACCCACCCAAGTCTCTCTTTCATGGCGGTTTGCGAGGTTGCGAATTCCACGTAGCCTGTCGATGTAAGGCTGGACCAGGTTGAATGCTCTAGCCGTCAGGTCTGGGAGAGCTTCGGTGGAGGTCGGAGCGATGAGCTTAGGAGGGGGAGAAGGGGTGTTGCCGAGTGGAGATAGAGGACCAAAGTCCCATCCAACCTTCTGGTCAAGCGCATTAGCCTCCTGGTCGGTGGCGTTCATATAGTCGACAGGTTGGAGAGCTCTGGGGAGGGGAGCTGCAGGTGGAGCGGCAACATATGGGGCCTGGTGCGATAGTAGAGATGCGGTGCCTTCGGCAAGGAGGGCAGCACCCAGAGTCGCGTCCTTGACTGCCGTTGCACCAGCACATTGGGCTCTGATGTGAGTCTGCACTGCTGATCTGTTCGTAGGTGGTCAGTTTTGTTCTGGAGGACTGGTTTCAAATCGACGTACTGTCTGACCCTGGCTTGACCGCACGCTGAACAGACCCAGGCCCCCATCCCATGGTTCGTAGATAGATGGGACATAACGTGCGCCTTCGAGCCGAAGTCGGAGGTGACATTTGCGTTGACGCAGAGGCGACATCGCCATACTCTGTTCGCGATCGCCATGGTTAGATGCTGGAGGGAAGTGGAGAGTGGATTGTGTTGTGGGGAGTGCGCGGGCGATGCTGCAATAAAATTGAACCGTGAGTAAAACAACTGACTTTCTTCTACCAGAAGCGCGATTCTGGTTGTAAGAAACTCTGTTGGAAGATGTTGTTTGGAACGAATCACAGTTGTGAGATGGAATAGTTTGTGTCGACGCAATTGGCGCGGAAATGGTAAACACCATTGACTAGTCTGGTCGACCGGGCGCCGACATCCCGACCACCACTCAGACCAACACTTGTTCTACTATGGCAGAGAGCATCGATTTTGTCGTCTGCAATGGTAACGATTTCCTAGAGAAAGAGCACGAGGAAGGTATATCTTGATTTCTAGGATCTATTTCCAACATGAACCTCCAGATCCTTGTGCTGTAACGGCACTACTCTCCATCTTCAGCCTCGTCCATAGTATCTTCATTCTCCTCCTCCACCTCAAAGTGACCGAAGACATCTCTTCCCATGCAGGTCAATCTTTTCATATCTTGCGATATCTGTGCAGTGCTAGTGTCATCGAGCGTCAAGGCCTGTTTGAGTGCGACGAGCATCCCGTGCAGGGCCTTGAGGGCATCCCGGACAAACCTCAACAGTTGTACCTCCTGCAAATTATTGCCTCGCATACCGGACGCCGACGAGGCCAATTCTTCGTTGACACGTTGTAGAGTGACTACGGCAAGGTCTCTTTCGCTAGCCGGGCCCTCAGCAGCGAGCTCGAGCTCTCCAAGGTAGTCGGCGTAGTAGCGGCCAACATTTGCGGCTCTGTCCAGGATGCCAGCTAGTTCTTCGGGCAGGTCGGGGTCGACGTAGGTAGAGGCGACGGCAGAAGAAAAGGACGGGCGAGTGACATCGTCCTCGTCCATCTCATCGTCCCCATCCTCGTCCTCATCCTCACCAGGCACATCCTGATCGCTACCAGCGAGGGTGGCAGCGATGGGGGCTGCAGACGAAGATCCAGCAGCAGGCCGACCAGGCGCGACCACAGCCGGGGCGACGACAGGGGCAGGAACAGGGGCAGCCACAACGGCAGGGACTGGAGGGGCCCAGGGCACGCTATGCGGCAGTAGGCAGAGGTCGCTCTCAAGACTGATGGCATCTTGGAGGACTTGGCTCTTGACAGCCGTTGCTTGGGCATGACCGCCCGCGTTGACCTTCCTTTGCTGGCTGACGATGTGCTCGTCCACGCGGTTTCTGCAAGACTAATCTCAGTACACTGACATAACGACGAGGTTGATCTTCGGACACGCTTCGTACCTTCTCGTGCTCCTGTATGGGCACACGGAGCAGTGAAACGGGCCCATGTTGTGGATCCCTCCTTGGTGGGAATTCATGCCCGTCTTGCTAGCGCAGTTGACCGTGACACCGCCGGCGGCGCACTCTCTGCAACGATATGCCATGACGTGTTGTGATATTGCTGAGGTGCGTGAAACGGGGGCGTGTGCGTAGAGAGAGTTGTGGTTGCGAGATAAAATTGATAGAGACGCAGGCTCCTGCCGCGAGCACGACGGGGCTTGTCTGCTTATGCCAAACCAAAACAAGGAAGCTGTGTCGATTTCAGACGAAAGTGTAAAGCTATTGTGCAAAACCACTGTGTGAGAAGTGATCGGTACAAGGATTGGAGAAGTTATAGCAACAATTCTTCCGAGAACATTCGTGACTCTCCTTGTCCCATGTAACCTCCTCCCACACGGCTTGGATGCATAATCATAACTCCATCTCGTGTTATGTCCACCGAGACTCGCTCTCAGTTGTGCCTCTCTCTGGCCATATTCGGGATCCAGATGTATCTATGCATCTTTATAGTAGTCATAAAACCATGTATTCACCGCTGGAACAACAGTGATATGGTTATGTGACAATCATGTGACGAGATCTTAGATCCGATACCCTATTGCTAGTATACTGTAGAATTGCAAGAATGTCTCACCATCATAATTGACCTCCATTGGAATCTATCATCGAGTCGACTCTATATGGTAATAAAAATTCTCTGACAAGGGTCTTGTATTTTGATAGTAGCTTCATCTCCATCCCTCGAGACTCGAAATTGGATCTGGTACCTATTTAGTTTTTTTGATCTTTCGATTTTAGATGAGTGTATCGTAAGCTTCCATGAGTTTTTTCTTGCCGAGACCGACTAGCCTGCTTTGTCAGATGTGGCTAGTGGTGGAAGTCGGAAGTTTGTTTACACTTTCACCTCTCGATGCTCCTCAGCTTCTAACACTCTTCATCTTTCTACCACATCTCTAGGCATAGCTTTGACGTGTGAGTTGCATGTAGCCTCACGTTCCTGCTACGACCCCATCAGAACAATTATTTCCTATCGAAACACCGCCACAACTCCAGTCGACAGCCACTCTCTCGAAACAGTCTTCGCTCTCAGAGCCGGCGATTGTATCATCTCATCTTGTCTGAACACGCCAGATAGAACGCAGCACTACGCTCCCACTCCAATCACGTCGAGCAATGCCTACCACTCAACCTCATTCTTCGGCTGGCGATCGCATCGACACTGCTATCATGATCGACGACGCCAGCAGCTCGAGTTGCTGCTTCTCATCCCCTGAACCTGACCACGGACTATCCTCGAACCCTCTGCTTTCGCCGGTGTTCACTCGCACAGGCCTTGGTCCTGCCACAGCAGAAGCACTCCTTCGTGCAGTCTCTCCATCATCCAAGAACAAACGTGATGTCAAGAGCACTGGGATGATCGGTCCTGGTATCTCGTTCCCTCCCGACCAGCCCATCGGTGCCACGAGTACCAATCCCGTTGACATCAAGAAGCTCTGCACTTCTGACCAAGCTCTGGAGATCGCGGTCAATGATGAGCACACAACGCATACCCAGCACAAAATTGTCCCCACAGTTCTGTCGCCTCATAAGGGCTCAACACTTACAGGACGTATCTCTCAGATCTCTTCTGCAATCTCTTTGGAAAAGCAGCCTTCTTTGCCTATCATCAGTACATCGCAGTCCGAGAACAACATTGACCACAAAGTCGCTGTCGTCAAACGTTATCCCAGTGGTGTTCCTGGTCTGGGCAACACTATCCTAGGTCCTCGTCGTTCTCATTGTACAGTTCTCTCAACCGGTGTCGCTCCTGTTAATTCTAAGAAGAACATGTCCAAGACAATTGTACGCGTCTGCGAGAAACGCAAAGCGTCCACCTCACCCTCGTCACTTACCCATGCAGAGAAGAGAACCAAGGCAGCAAAGTTATGGCAGGAGCAGAAGAAGCAACTCTATGACACTTCTATTGAAGGGCACTTAGAAGGCAGCTCCTTCTCCTCTGAGGCCGAGAAGATTCTTGCGTGCACCTACAGCAACTCTATCAACAAGATCCCCACCACTCTGGCCAAAGTCAAGAAGACACCCAGCACCCCATCCTCTTTGATGAATTTGACCCATCTCGCAAAGATCATCGCCGCCGATAACGAGCGTGCCTCCCTTCAGGAAACCTCTCACCTCACTGGTCTGATTAATCTGGTCCGCAAAAGCCTTCTTCCTTACAATCGCCTACACCCTTCCTGCTCTATCGCCCGGCCCCTCCAAATCATCCATCAATCGCTCTCTTCGTCTGACCTCACCATCACCTCCCTGAAACAACTCCTCATCGACGCAGAGAATCTGCTCAAAGTTCTTGCAGTCGATCAGTACGGTATCTACCAAGGTCTTGTTTCGAAGAAAGTCTCATTGCAACGGGGCGGCATGGAAAGCTTGATTGACGATGCCCGAAACAAGTTCGGACAGACACAGGATGTTGTCAAGATCATTGCCAGTTGGATCGAGGATTGCCATGACCTCGCTGGTGAAACTTGAAGGAACACAAATGGAGAATGGCCTTTTCTCCGCAGGCTGTGGGGGGAAATGGTGGTTGAGTCTGCTCGTTGTTTCAATGGGTCAGGCTAATGTATCCTTGGAGCTGAGAGCTC